CGCCTGTTAAGTATCGACGGCAGACGCTACCCGCTAGGCGCGTAGAAAACGCCTACGTAGTAACAATTCTACGGAAGAGTCAAGTCTTCGTCCCGGGACGATATAGCCTTCTGCTAAGGGATAGTAACGACGGGAGCAAAACCTAGCACTTCTACCTAATATATAAGGGAGCGATCTATAGCATGGTAGATCTCGCGACCCTAGCGCTATTTCTTATCTATAATAAAGGAAATTTAGAAATGCGAATCCCTAAAGGCTACCGTATCAGTTACCTTACGAAATAACTACTAGGGGATACGAGTATCCTGCTTAGCAACCTTGAAGCTAAAAATAAGTAGGATAACATAATATTTAATATAACTAATAAGGAAAGTACCTTAGAAGGAAGTACTAAACTATAGATAGACAAGATACTAGACTACGGAATCTCTAAACCAGACGACGTGCCAGTGATTCTTAGCAAGCACGGCGTCGAGATATATAACTTCGATAAGGAATTCGCGTAATAACTATAGAAAATCCTCGATAGGTACGATATCTATTATAATAAAGGTATTATACTACTCCCCGACGAGGAATATATACGAATCGACCTCGTCGATAGATAGTAGAACTAAAAAACTAATATAAAGGTATATCTACTCGGTCTTAAAGACCTTGCAGTTTTAGACGAAACCTATAAGCAACTTTACGCCGAGGGAAAGATAGATTAAGCTAACAGCAAGCTAATCCCGATTGCCTATCCTCTTTTTATCATATAACGATAAACGGAGACTGCAAGAAAACCTAAAGTAGTCGTAGACTTACGCCTACTTAACCGCCTAGCAGTCCTAGATATTTACCCCTTGCTAAACTAAGATAACATAATAAACGCAATTCGTAGTAAAAAAAGAATAACCTTTTTCGACGCTACTAGGTTTTTTTACTAACTACCTATCTACTTAAAACACCGTAATAGGATAGTAATAGTAAGTCCCTATAGTATCGAGATCTCGAATATAATGCTTATAGGATTTAAGAACTTGCTAGCTTACGCCTAACGATTTATAGATCGTATCTTCTAAGACTATAAACACTTCGTTCGCGCGTATATCGACGATATCGTAATCTTTAGCGATACCGACGAAAACTACCTTAAGCATGTTAAAACAGTCCTCAACATAATCAACAACAACAGGCTCAACATAGCAGCGAAAAAGTCATTCGCTGGTTTCCCTTCCGTGAAACTTCTCGGCCATATCGTGGACGGACAAGGGATACGCAGAACGGACGATCGAATCGCTGCATTTAAGAATCTCAGGTTCCCAAAAAACCTTAGCGATCTCGAGAAATACCTCGGAATGGCAGGATGGCTTCGAAAAGACATTCCATGGTACGACGTGATCGCAGCCCCCCTTAACGAAAGGAAAACCAAGCTAGCCGCGATCCTACGCAAGGAGGACTAGTTGCTAACAAGCCTTAATAAGGCTATAAGAACTAAACGGTTCTAACATACGACTTTCGAGCTAACGCTAGAAGAAATGGAAGCATAAGAAACGTTATAAAAGAATCTCTACGACTAGGTCGTAAGATACTACTATAACCTAGAAAAACCTTTATTCTTTAAGATCGACGCTTGCAAGGGAGGATTTAAGCTTATAGTATTCTAGATAGATATTACCTAGGACGGCATAGGAATTCCCGGAAAAGACATCCTACAAAAGCATATCCAACTAGTACTATTTCTCTTAAAAGTAATATCCCTAATAGAGAAGCGATACTTCGTAACTAAGGCGGAGGTAGTAGTAGTAGTATAGGTAGTAAGGAAACTTAGGAAACTAGTATAATCAAATAGGAACCTAGTATAGATCTTTACAGACTACGTAGCTATAAAGGGAATTCTTACCTATATATCGTTAAGAACGATAGATCTTAATAAAGTAAATCTTCGGTTAGTAAGTACTACTAACTACCTTTCTTAATTTAACCTTAACGTTACCTACGTCCTAAGGAAACTTAACGTTATACCCGACGCTCTCTTACGTCTACCGTTACTAGTAGCAATAGGTAAAGCAAACCCGTTCGAAGAAAGCAACATACTCGTAGATATCTATAACGATAAGAATATCATAGCTTTCAACTTAGAAGACGACAAACGGCTAGGAGAACTAGGCGGGTTTATAATTAGGATAAGCAAAGACTTCGCTAAGACTATCGTTAAAAATTACAAAGCCGACCTAAAGTATAGAAAACTTATCTAGCAACTTATAAGATAACGAGAGAGTAGTAATAAGTAGTAGTTACTTAAGGAGGCAGACGACGAGGAAAATCGCGCTCGGAACGAAAGGCGTACGCCGATTCGTCGTCGAATCTCCCCGTAGCAACTATTAGAGACAAGCTTCCTATTCTACTATATATATAATAGGATAAAAAGGCTATATATCCTACGCAAAGCCGTCGTAGAAGTCCTTAGCCTTGCCTACGATCAAAAGCATTATTTCGGTATAGACTATATACTAGCAAAGCTAGCTAGCTTCTAGATACGAAACAAGCGATCGGTAGTAAAGCGATATATCGCTTACTACCCGAGATATAAGGAAAACTAAGTCGACTAGCAGAGACTGCTAGGCAGCTTATAGCCGATTCTAGTCGTAAGAATCCCCTTCGATATTATAATAATCGACTTCGTTACCGATTTACTAAAAGTAAAAGCATAAGGGAGTCTGTAAGCATTACCCGGATTCGAATAGTTTGATATGCTTACGCTTATAATAGATAAATTCTCGAAGAAGGTTATACTTCTACTAGGCTATACTACGTACGGGGCTAAGGAGTAGGCAATAGTCTTTATTAAGGCCTTCTAACTAACTAACTAGGGACTTTTACGTCGTATTATTAGCGATAAAGACCCTAAGTTTATCTTAGCCGTCTAGACCGCGATATTCCATACTTTCGGAGTAAAACTACTCTTATCGACAGCCTACTACTTATAGACTAACAGCTAGAGTAAGAGAATAAACTAAATAGTAGAAATTACGATCCGATTCTAGCTTTCAAAGTACCTAGAAACCCTATAGCTAGAGATTCTCCTAGCGCTATAATATAACCTTAACAACTCGTATACCGTAACGATTAGGAGATCTCCTAATAAGGTTGTATACGGATTTAAGCCTCGAAGCACTCTCGACGTCATCGCGGAAAAAAACGCTCTAACTAAGTCTATCAACGTTATAAGAAAGATATACTAAGACAAGGCAGCGGCTTTAATCGATATAGCAAACTCGCTAAGAAAGGAACGCTATAATAAAAAGCACTTAGACGTTAGATTCTCCGTTAGTAATAAGGTTTAGATAAGACTAGGGAAAGGCTTCTACTTACCTAGCTAACGCTATAATAAGTAGACGTTACGATATATAAGCCCCTTTCGAATCGTTCGAATTATAAGCCTAACAGCTTACGAAGTCAACCTCCCGGCCTATTAGCGAATTTTTCTAATCTTATCGGTAGCATAGCTATATAAGCTAGCCTAGGGAGACAACCTATTTAACCGTAAATAATAGCCGCCCTAACCTATCGAGGTTAACGGTAGCGAAGAATAGGAAATCGACTATATTATAAGCTGTAAAATCAACCGGAGAAAACGCAAGCTAAGGATCGAATATCTCGTTTGCTAGAAGGGATTTACTATAAGGTTCGATACCTAGGAGCTTCGCGAATCGCTTAAGACTAACGTAGCAAAGCTTGTTAATAAGTATAAGGCGAGATATCCCGTCGACGCGGAGGTTATACTAACCTACCGCTCTAAGCAACGCTAACAACGAAACAACTAAAACAACGTCGCTATTCTATAATAAAATAGCTAATTCCTAATAAAGCGATATTAGCAAGATTATTCCCTTTATTAACGTAATAGAATTTCGTATAAAATACTTATTCTTTCCCTTCGTAAGTACTTGCCTTATAAGTAGTAAAAAACTCTGCTTTTTTACTTTTACTACTACTATTATAAAAGTAAACTTTTCCTACTATATAAATCCTACTTCTACCTATATAATAGAAAATTAATAAATCTCTTACTTTATAATATATTATAAACCCTTTCTATTCTTATTAAGACTTTTAACTTACTACTATTATACGTCCTAATTATAAGATTCGATATTAAGAATGCGAAGATATCTTCCTAATATACTTACTAAGATACCGACAAGATCGCCGAAACCCCTACCGGCTCCGTCGTAGCCCCCGGAAGCGACGTAGGCAATAACAAGACCTAGACCGACGACGAGAACCTCGGAGACAACTTCGGCCTAGCCGACAAGGAACTTTACGTCGTTAGCAAGAGCGCTGCCGAGGAAATTACTATAGCCGCTACTAAACATACTAGTAACTAGCAGGATATTACTATATTCGACGCTGATAAAGCTAACAAAGCCTACGAAGCCTATGCTAAACCTACCGAGATAGTCGAGGAAGACTAGCCTAAGAAGACTAGCAAAGGCAAGGCTAAGAAGAAGGCTAAGAAAAGCAACCCTAAGCTAGTTAATAAATCTAGCAAGGAGGAGGAGTCTAACGCCTTAGCCGTCGAGGCTACTCCCGCCCCTAAGGCTAAGAAGGCTAAGGCTAGTAAGAAGTCCGGCACCCCTAAGAAGAAGATGTCGAATTGAGGGTTCAGAACGATGTATATTCCGTTATGTGTGTAACTGTCTAAGGGCCCTTCAGGGGCGCGTAGGGAAGGGGGTATGCCACCCCCTGACCCGGGGCTCGGCGCTCGGAAATAGTGTTCTGCCGAGCGTTGCCGAAGCCTCGCGTAGCGCGCTCAATCTGACACACCCCCTCAGGGGAGCGCCGAATCGGGGCTTCCCTGCCCTCGAGTCGCCCTCTCCCCCTCGTATTTAGATTACACTGCGTTCAGAGCTCTTCTTTCGCTCATCCCTCGGCTGGTAGGCTTTCTACTGCGCTGTCTCCTCTCCTTCTGCTAAGAGGACGTTTTATACGTACAACTCGCGTACCACAGCAAGTCACGAGCTTCCCGTGGCACTCGGAGCGCGCTTCTCGTGGTCTTCGACCGCCCAGACGTCTTCCTGCGCGGCTCTCTTGGCCCACGCTTCTTCGTCTTCTTCTAATTCGCGTCTCCGATTCCGCTTCAGGAGCTCTGCCTGTTCGCTCATACGGACCTGCTTCCGGAACTCGCGGAACTGTGGGAGCGCGAGACTCTTCGTCAGACCGTCTGCCATAAGCTCTGACGACGGTGTGTATGCCACGGATACGCGCTTCGCTGCGACCTCTTGTCGTAGCCAGTGGTTGTGAATATCCACGTGCCGTAAGCGCGTCTGAAGGGTCACTAGATCCGTTGTCACCAGTCGAACGGTCTGTAAGTTGTCGCATTGGATCTGAATCGTGGGTACGCTGCGCTTTTCTGCGGGAAACGTCGCTTCCGGCGCTTCTTCTGTTGGAAGGTGTACGTTTAGCGCGGAGATCAGGCGGCTTGCAAATAGCGCTTCCTTTGCTGCTTGCGAGAGGGATAGCAGCTCAGCTTCCGTCGTAGATGTGGTGACCGTGGCCTGTTTGTTAGCGCGCCACGCAACGAGCCCGCCGAATAGCTTCATAGCGAGCGCCTGAGAGCTCTTCCGATCCAGGGAGTTGTCTGCGAAGCTGGCATCTGACGCTACGATAAGCGTGTCTTCCTCGCTGCCGGGTTCGCAGCCGTATTCGAGGCAGAGGTAGCGGGTGGAATAGAGGTAGGCGAGCGCTCTGTCCGCTGCGCGTTGGTGTTTCGGCCCGGGATTCTGGTTGAAGCGCGCGAGACGGCTTGCCGCGAACGCGACGTCGGGTCTCGTCATTATTGCGGCGTATAGGAGAGTCCCGACCTTCTTCTGGTACTGGTTGACTTCCCACGCGCTGGCCTCTCCTTCGTAGGGTAGAAGCTCCTCCAGGACCATAGGAGTGTACGAGCGCGCTTCAGAACCGTCTTCTAACGCGTTAGCTGTGGGTGGAAGCAGCCGCCTCACCTTCTCGGCGTAAACTGCCTGCGAGAGCCATAATCGGCGTGTGGCTCGGTCTCGTATGACCTCGATTCCTAAAAACCACTGGAGGTCTCCGCCTCCTTCGAAGTGGTAGCGCTTCTGTAGCTCAGAGACCTCCCGCAGCGCTGCCTCCTTGCGCGCGCGGGGAAACGCCAGTACGCAGTCGTCCACGTAGAAGAAGAACATGACTTCGCCTTTTTGCCAGCAGCAATTCTCGCCTGCCACGCGTTCGAATCCACGTTCTACGAGTCCCTTTTCTAAGTGGCGTTGCCACAGGAGAGGGGAACGTCGTAGGCCGTATAGCGCCTTTCTCAATCGCAGGATTCTTCCTGGAACGCGGTAGCCCGGCGGAAGCTCCATATAGACGGTCTCGTCTAGATCCGCGTGGACGAAGGCGTTTACCGCATCGTATTGTAGTAATTCTAGGTCAAAGCGCGCGGCAACGGCCATCAGAACTCGGAACGACATACCTGCGAGCGTCGCGGCGTACGTCTCCCGCGCGTCTCTTGCTTGCTGGTCTCCTCGAATAACCAGGCGTGCCTTGAATTTGGCTAATCGCCCGTGCTTATCAAGCTTGTAAGTGTATACCTAGTGGCATCCGAGGACCTGGTAGCCGCGCGAGGCGCTTCTTGCGACCTCTTCCCACGAGCGGGACTCCTTGTGCCCGTCTAGGTGGCTTCTTTCAGCGCGCAGGAACTCCTCCCGGAAAGGGTGACGTTGCAACTGATCGTGAGACGTTGGCAAAGGGGCCAGATCCCTCCAGTAGGCGCCTTTCTTTCGGCCTTGCGCTTCCACGCGGGAGCGGAGCTTGGTCGGCGCCAACGCAGTCACCATATCCCGGTTACCGCGCGCTCTGAGATCCTTCGTCTCTTCTGCGAGCGTCTGGCTCCGGTCTCTGTGGGAGCTGGGCTCACTTGTCTCAAACGCTTCTACCACGGAGCAACCTTCCTGGGATTCACTTGCCTCTTGCTGACCTGTAACTTGGTCTTCCAAAGGGCCTTCATCCGCGCCGTCATTCCCGGATTTCACGGTGAAGGTTGCCTCGGAAACCCTCTCAGGGGCGCGCGGCTGGCCAGGCACAACGCGATCCCTTCGTGGGCCGTCTTGACGTCTAGGGTTTTGTTTGTGAAGCGTCGTTCCAGCTAGAAAAGCGGCTTTGTACGACGTCCGTGGTGTGACCTTCTTATAGATGGGCTTCGTAGCGGGGATATCCCGCGTATGCTCTTCTCCCCACCCCCTCACGTCGAGCTCGGTGAGCACCGCGAGAAAGGATGTGGGAGGCGACGCCTCCGGCGTCGGAAAGGGCTCAAACCGCGCTCCCGTGTATTGCCCTTCCACTTGCTTAGGCGCGTCCGCTTCAGCGTTATGGTGCCCGAGCGCTTCTGCTGCTTCCAGGGCAGGCTCACCGGGATCGGCGTGCTCTGAGACTTCTTCTGCTTCTTCGTCAGCGCTTTGTATATAGTTTTCTGAGCCCGTGGTCTGTCTGATCAGCTCCTCTATGCGCTGCTGAATCGCCTGCAGGTCGAGGTGGTTGATTTCTTCCACTAGGGACCTGACGTTGCCGTCGAAGTGGCATTTCTCGTTAAACACCACATCGCGCGTGGTAAATACTTCACTACGCAGGGGATTCCATATCCGGAACGAGTTGCTTGATGTGTAGCCGACTAGGTAGCCTATCCAGGCACGCGGAGCGAGTTTCTAGCGCCTGTTGCGAATGCCGCGTCGATCTTTCGGTAGTCCAGGACTTGCTGGCCAGCAACTTCTGTGAGAGCGCAGAGAAACGTTCCGTCCGCGCGTCGTAAGCAGTTATTCCGGGGACTCATATCCCACCAGAAGCCTCTCCTGCGTAGGCGCGTGAGGGAAACCAGGTTGCTCGCGAAGCCGGTATAGAGTGCGACGTCGTAGAGGCGGAGCTTCGTAACAGTGCTCCCCTGCTCTCTGACTCTGATGTCGACGGTTCCGTATGCTTCGATAGCCACTTGCTGAGCGCCTGCCCATAAGTAGTCGCCTGCTGGCGCTCCTGACAGTGTGGTGAACCACGAGGGGTCGTTGAATACATGGATCGTTGATCCAGAGTCCAGGATCGCCGATCTGAAGAGCTCGTATGTCTCCGGAGCGGTGTGGAAGGCACTCGGGACGGTCCCCTTGCTTCGGCCATATAGTCAGTGTTCTTCTTTCGCTGGTTCTCTCACCTTCCTGACACGGTTTGCGAGCGTTTCGTCTTTTCTCATCCGCTCGTCGAGGTTCGCGAGAAGCTCTCTACTCGGCTCGTACCACTCAGGGCGCTCCCGTTCGTTGACGAGCCAGCACTTCGAGAGCGGGTGAGGTTTCAGGCACGCAGGGCACAGCCGGTTGCCCTCGCTCTCCCCATCGCTTCTCTTCCGCAACCGGTCTCTGCGAGCTCCTCCTCTGGAGCGCGTGTTTCCTCGAGATCCCCGGCTGCTTCTCATTAGTACCGTTAGGCGCGCGGGGGAAGTTCGTTCCCCTTCCTCTTCGTTTCTTGAAGTGGCTTCTGTGGTAGGACCAAACGCTCCGCGTCCGGCCTGCTTCTTCGGGTTGTGTTGAGAGGTTGTTTGTAGGAACCGCCGCGCGTCTGACAGGACTTCTCCAACGCTCAGTTTCTCGCTTTCGACGCGTTCGTCCTTGACGGTCTGGTATGAGAAGATCCATGTATCGGCGTAGCTATGGCTCACGGCGTAGGTGAATTCCGGGAACCATATACTGGGGAGCTCGGTACCCGGGACGCCCGCCGCTGCTGCTTCGTGGATTGATTCTTCCCACTTCGTAAGCTACTCTTCCAGCTCTTTCTTCGTTGCGAGTCGCTTCCGCTCCGGTATCTGGAGCGCTCTCTTATATGCTTCGCTCGCGGCGGTGCGTCTCTCACGAGTGGTTATCCCTACGCGTTCCTTCAACGCGTAGACCCAGCGGTCCAGTGCGCGGTCCGCGGTACAGCAGCTCTTGAGGAGAGAGGTGCTGACTGTATCTCGGACCCAGTCTTCGAGCACGCGAATCCCTTTCAGGAACGCTTCATGGGTCTTGGAGCGCTCCATATATTCAGACCGACGTTCCTTATACAGGGCGAGATTGGCTGCCGAGAGCTCCTCCAGCGCTTGTGCGCGCGTTTCGTAGTCGGCGTCTTCGTTTAGCACTTCGGCTTTGCCGGTCTTGGGGTGATCGTATATTTCGGGGCGCTTCGGCCGCTCCATCCGCCGCTCGAGACGCGTTTGTCCCGTGTTTAAGGCGCCTGGGCGCTGGGGATCGATATATCGCCAGAGGTCGTAGGACTTGGCCTTCGACTGCAGCTGGTCGATCCATAGGATCCAGTTGTCAGATTGAGCGCGCTACGCGAGGCTTCGGCAACGCTCGGCAGAACACTATTTCCGAGCGCCGAGCCCCGGGTCAGGGGGTGGCATACCCCCTTCCCTACGCGCCCCTGAAGGGCCCTTAGACAGTTACACACATAACGGAATATACATCGTTCTGAACCCTCAATTCGACAATTAACAGTCTGATACGTGCTGCGTTTACGTTAAACGCCGCCAGCCATCTATTCTACGCATACGAAAGCCCTTTCTACGCGCCCAATTGAACCCCTATCGTCGAAATGTCCTCCTCAAGCGCGAAAATCACCCTGAATACCCCTGCCGACTGGTGTCGAATTGAGGGTTCAGAACGATGTATATTCCGTTATGTGTGTAACTGTCTAAGGGCCCTTCAGGGGCGCGTAGGGAAGGGGGTATGCCACCCCCTGACCCGGGGCTCGGCGCTCGGAAATAGTGTTCTGCCGAGCGTTGCCGAAGCCTCGCGTAGCGCGCTCAATCTGACAGAAGAAGCATACCGCTACTAAGGTCGATAGTACCTAGGTCCGAGACGCTAAAAAGCGCGCCTAGGACGCGTTTGCCTTCTACCTAGACGATATATTACTCGAGGAGATCGAGGCTTGTCTCGACAACTTTACTAGCCTAGCTACCCCCTCCTCTAACCTATTTATCCGTCGCGTTCAGGACGCTTACAAACACGCCTATACCGCGTATAATAATAACGCCTTATATACGGAATACTTACCGTCCTACGCCTAGGTTCTTACAACTATCTTTTATACTAGCAACGGTTAGGTTAATAATACTATTACAAGCTACCTTATTACTATTTACTAAGCCGACCTCTTCTTAGTTCCCCTGCTTATAAATATTAGCTATATAACCGCTACCGATATAACCGCTTATAAACAACTTAAGAATATAGAAAAAGCGTTTTAAGCTTTCGAAGGTAATATTTACAAAATAAATAAGACGGTTACTAAGAATATAAAGAAAATCGTTAATAGCGTTAACAAGGAGATTATCCCTCGCCTTAACAAACTCGACGAGAAAGCCTAGTCTACCGTCGACGTCGCAAGCGTTAACGATCGCCTTAAAGTACTCAAAGCGACTACTACTAGCAAGGAAATAATCGCTATAAAGGTTAACCGCGTTATCGCTACTAAGGATAACGAAATTATAGTCCTCCGCGGTAAGATCGTGGAACTGCGCGAAGCTATTGCTAAGTTGCAGAAGGGCGACAAGCGCGTCGCTACCAAGAACATCGCAGGCCCGACTAAGCAAAGCCGCTTTAGTAACATGCTAGACCGCGATTAGGATAGGATTTTATCGTTAAGGTCGTAATTCTTCGCGATAGATAGGTAATAGAAGGAATAAATTCATATAATTAGTTTTCATTTTAACTATCGATCGGGACGATCGTCTTTTTTCGGGAGGGGTACTTGTCATAATTCTATAAATAGTTATCAAGGGTACGTAATATCTTACATGCTAGCCGTACCTGTATAAGAGACGCCTTCGACAGCATTATCGTTAGTAAAGCAACTCAATACAAGACTAACTACTTATACCTACGTTTATCAATTTATCGTTATTTATTACCTTATAACCGTTTGTTTGACTTCTGCACTATTCTATTTACATCTCTGTTCTTATCACGGTTCCGACCTCTGCCTGTTATAGCTACGTGCTAGCAGGAAGAACTGTGACACGGTAGTAGTAACGGCTAGAGAGGCAAGACCCCTACTGCTGGTAGACTTGCTTCTAGGTGTATTGCAAATAGTAGCATAATTATGCTTTTGATCTTCGTCTTAGGTAAGTATATAAATCGTATCGGCTACTTTATTCTACGTAGGATAGGTAGCGCCTTTCGAAGTAAAATACTTATATATATTAGGAAGTCGGTCTTTAAAGAAATTAAGGAGAAAAACGGCAAGGAAGGAGTCTAGTAGACGACCGTAAATAGTCTTAATACGCTTTCTAAGGTAGTAATAGCGATTAAGGGCATCGTAAAGTATCTTATAATCGTTAGTAGTAGTCTTAGCAAACTCGTTAATAAGGGTAGCTATAGCATCTTATAAGATTCTCGGAATATGCTTCTCGAGCGCCTACTATAATTCGTAAGGGTTTCTATCGTTAACCTAACCCGCTATATAGAGTCTATTAAGAACCGATTTGCTAGCGTTTATAAGGAGACTATACGTAACGTTACGGTTCTTTCTCTATTCCTCTATAGCAATAAGGTTAGCAAGGCGAGGGACGTTAGTCTCGAGGAATATCTCGAAGTCGTATCCTCGCAGGGTCGCTATAATAAGCATACGCTAGGTATTCTAGTTAGATTTATCTTTTCAGCGAGGGAGAGGCGTAAAGACGGTTTTGAAGTCGTTTTAAGACATCTTGAAGTAAAAAATAAGGGTATTATAATAGTACGGGATAGACTTATAGTCGTACCTCGATTACAGGCGTTTCTCCGAGGCCGTAGCTTTAGAGGCGTGTCTATACGTTAGATGGCTTACTTTCGCTGCTACCTACGCGTGCTGTTAGAAAGGGAAGGTATTGAAGGGAAGGTATTAATAAGTAAATAGTACTAAAGAAGTATAAATATTATATAGGAGGGAGAATCTTGCGTAAGAACGCGAGAAATAGGTAGAATTATAAGATCCGACCGTAGAAATATAGTAAATCGAAGGGAAGAATAAATACTCGTAGAAGATACGAGAAACTGATAGGCTAGTTTGAAAAACCGAAGCTAAAAAGGTTAAATCCTCGTAAGAACGAGGAAATCGAAGTAAAAGTATAGTTATGACTAAAAAGTCTGTTATTATAATAGAATTCCGTAGTATTCGTGAAAACTAGTAGGTTGTAGTAGTCGGTCGCGTGCCATGTAATATTCGTACGCGCCAGGCAGCCAATATCGCGTTAGAAAGTGAAATTCGTTAGCGAAAAGGAAGGAAAGAAAGCGAGAAAATCGCACAGAAAGGTAAATAAAGCGAATAAAATCGCAAAAATTCGTGAATCAATAGAAAATTAACAGACGAGTAGAATAATAGGTAAAACGACGTTATTCCGAAAGAATAACGCTAGGCTTATAACCTATAGGCGAGAACCGGCACAGAACGCTCAGAATGGGAAAAGTGGTGTTGTTGGTTGGAAGAACTAACTAACTGGCTAGAGGGCTGTGGAGGCTGGCTAAGACCAGTGGTGGCGGCCGTCAGCCCACGTGACGGGCCGGCGAGGCCTGCCACCCACAAGAGATTCGGGAAGCTGCATAATGTGAGGACTCTGAAAGTTAACGAAGAAACAAGAAACATCTCGGAAAACGACTGTTAGCGCCGAGGGAAAAAGCCGAGAGTCCTTTGCTAAAAAGTTTGCTAAAAAGCACTAAGAAACCCACATGACGTTACTAATTCAAATAGCATGTGGGAATAAAACGGAAACAAATGTATGGCGATGAACAACGGCATTACTATGTACTTGAAGGTGCTAAAATGACAAAAAAATAATAGACTAATCAGGGTGGGGTGCCGTTGAGGGTCCAAGGATGAGGTCACTAATCTGGTGTTGGATTTGCTTCATAATCCTGACTCGGTTTCCGAGCTGTCATCAACTTCACGTAATTCCTCATAGGCCCACGTTCCTCAAGGTACAGCCGCCAATCGTCTTGACCAACTTCACTACAAGATGAAGCAGAGCCACAAACAACTTGGTCAGCCGTGAAGCATCTTCATGACAGCAGCAAACCTCAAACGCGATTATGCAGTCGCTGCTACAATACCGCCGGGCTGGTGCAGCTGCCCAGGCGCAAATCGACAAAGACATGGGAGCGGCGTCCTCGTCTAAAACACCAGCACATGAGCGCTCCGTTCAAGAACCTCATTCCGACGAAGAAAAAGGTCCTCCGGGGGAATCAGGGCAAATTCCAGGTCATATCTCAGGACCACATGGCAATGACGAAGCAGAGTCCTGCAGCGAAGAGTCCTCCGATGCTGTTGGGCGCAACCAGTCATTACGGACAACGCGGACCCAGTATTCTGAAGGGACCGCTCTCGGCCGGGTGTTGACCGGTATCCACGTCCGAGACCGCACAGCCCAGGAGGGCCACGGAGGCCGGGTCTTCGTTGTCGGGTGGGCGGGACCGGATGACCCCTTGGACCCTCACAACTGGCCCGTGATAAAACGCATTGGTGTGACGCTGCAAATCTCGGTGATCGCCCTCTTTGTTGGAGCGGCGTCGGGTATCGATGCCACGGTGCTACCCCAAGCTGCGGTTGACTTTGGCGTCAGTGAGGTTGCAGAATCGCTGGCTACAGGTATGTTGACCTACCTACCTAGCCAAGGTAGTCACTCTTCAAGGTTGCTAATTGTTGCTAGGCCTCTACTTGGTAGGCATGGGTCTCGGGTCCCTCGTTGCAGGGCCCTTTTCCGAGACATTTGGACGCAACGCTGTCTACACCGTCTCCATGGCAGTCTTCATGATCTGGATTATGGCGTCGGGACTGGCACCAAACTTTGGTGCTCAAATAGTTTTCCGGTTTCTTGCCGGCTGCTCCGCTTCGACACCACTTGTTTGCTCAGGCGGCTCAATCGCCGACATGTACAACCGCCTAGAGAAGACGTGGAGCTTCCCCCTCTACGCCATTACCTGCTTCGGCGGTCCGATGATCGGTGCAGTCATGGGAGCGTACATAGGTCCGTCATCAGCTGTTAGCTGGCGCTGGACAGAATGGACCATGCTTATTGCCTCTGGGCTGGTTCTCGTCCTCGTCTTGCTCTGTATGCCTGAGACCTACGGTCCGCTACTCCTGCAGTGGAAGGCTGCACATTATCGGAGGATCACGGGCGACAACCGATTTCGGTCGGAACACGAGATTGTTGATGCAACTTTGTTCAGCCGGTTGAAGACTAGCATGACACGGCCATTTCTCATGCTGACGGAGCCTATCATCATCGCCATGACGCTCTACATTACCGTCGTCTATATCGTGCTATTCACGTTTCTTGTCGGTTGGCCGGATATCTTCGAGCGCACCTACGGTCTCAACCAGGGACTCGCTAACATCATCTTCGTCGCCATGTTTATCGGAACCCAGATCAACTTTGCGTTTGTACCTCTTGTCTACCGAATGACACTGAAGAGAATTAATCGAAACAACAGCGACGGATCGTTTGTTCCGGAAATCCGTCTTTGGTATGCCATGTTTGGAGCAGCAGTATCTATCCCAATCTCGCTCTTTTGGCTTGGTTGGACCAACTTTTCCAGCATCAGCATCTGGTCTGCCATCTTTGCGGTTGTCGTCTTCGGCTATGGAGTGACCGGTATCTTTATATGCGTCTATATGTACATCATCGACTCATACGAGATATACTCTGCCTCGGCGCTTACGTTCGTGTCATTGATCAGATACATCGTCGCAGGGGGGATGACTGTGGTTGGCATTCCGTTTTATGAGAAGATGGGCAACCATTACACGCTGACGATTTTGGCGTGCATTTCGGCTGCTCTGGCGCCAATTCCATATGTGCTGTACTACTACGGTCACTTGATTCGGGCTAAGAGCAGGTTTGCAGTATCGGTCAGGCAATGAGTCACGGATACTCTAGTAATCTAGCAATCAAGTCGTAGGTCATGAGTTGAGGTTAGAGTCGTATTCACATCCAACTGAATGCTTGAGAACATCCTAGGCTTATTAGGCCGCCACACGCTTACCGGGACTCGAATCTGCACAGGAAGTGGTAGGAGAATTGACAAAATGTGAAACCCTGCATCAAGGCGCAAGTTCCAACACAAGAATTACAAAAGTCTCTTTCGTAATTCTGCAAGGCCCACTTGGAACCAACAGAGTTACTAGATCTGGTTGGCATCAAACATGGCATCGAGCGGGGGGGATCGGGCTAATAGACAAAACCATCCGCTTCTCCCCTCACACTCACGCGCCAAACCCCCAAGGCCCCATATCTCTGTTCACCGTGGAAGGACTTGTATAGGTGGGTAATAAGCACCCAGTCACATTGCACACTTTGCCCGACTCTAATGTGCACAATAACCATTACTACAAGGGAGCGAGTCAGTGGGTGGGAGAAAGAGAAAGAGAGAGATTGTGAGGGGAAACATCAACATACCAACATCGTGCAAGGCGCAGCTCTATCTTTCATGAAGCTAGGAATAGATATGGAAGGATCAAGCAACTCTATTTCTATCTTCGTTAGATAACAATTTGACTTATCCAAACATCCAGATGCCTCCTTCAAGGGCGAAACAGGGTAAGAAACACTAGCCAATAAGCCTCCTGACAATCAAGTAATGTTGTAATCCTTGCTGTCTTTCCTTCATGCTCGGTGCATCTTCCCCTGATCTTTGATTTGCATACTAAGCTCCCTGCCGCTTGATTGCGGCCCGCGTCTTCGGACTTTTACCTTCCCATTGACTGTCGAACGACCCCTGTTCAAGGGGTCTGGTTCGTAAGCATGCCCTAAGCTGAAAGCGAGTCTGCAAGTCCCGGTGCACATTATCTCTCGTTTCCTGCGCGAGCGCAGCCAACGTCATCGGAAGCTTCCACCTGCGCATAGAACTACAATGAGCGTCCCCAACCCGAGCTCTCAACGGCATGGAGAGGCAGAAGAGATGTTGCAATCCAAATCTTCCGAAGTGGTTGTCGGCTGCCGAAAGTCGGAGCTCGCTCTTGTCCAAAGCCTTTCCGTCATATCCAAACTGCAACAGGCGGTGGGCTCCTTGCCCACCTTCAGAATCGCCACGGGAAGCGCCGCCGGTGACACGGATAAGCAAACGCCTTTCATGATCCTCTCCAAGCAGACCGGCGGATCCGACATTGGTAAGAGCCTTTGGACGAACGATTTGGAGTCAGACCTGGTTGCCGGCAAGACCCAACTCCTCGTCCACAGCTTGAAGGATATGCCAACAACGCTGCCCCCTAAATGCCTTCTTGGGGCCGTTCCAGAGCGCGAAGATGCATCTGATGCCGTCATTATGAGGGCCGACTCAAAATTCAAATCGATCGATGAACTGCCGCCTGGTTCTGTTGTGGGGTCGAGCTCTTCCAGAAGGAAAGCTCTTGTTCGACGAAATTGGCCTCATCTGGAGGTAGTAGAATGTCGCGGCAACGTGTAAGTTTGGCTTGATCCCCTTGCGGCCTGGGATACACCACGTCTGTCGGCACGAGCCCATCTAATCATGTCTATTAGAGACACTCGCCTTCGCAAGCTTGACGCGCCGTCTTCGCAATTTTCATGTATTCTTTTAGCAACAGCAGGACTATTGCGTCTGGGACTCGGTCATCGTATCACGCAACGGCTGAATGCTAGCACATTTCCCTATGCAGTCGGCCAGGGTGCACTGGGCGTTGAAGTCAGCACGGATCGTCAAAACATACAACAACTCGTCCGTCATGTCGACCACCTCCCTTCGAGATGGCGCGGCATGGCGGAGAGGGCAATGCTTCGTAGTCTGCAAGGGGGATGCTCATCCCCAATTGGCGTCTGCTCGACCTTTGAGGCCCTCATGGAAACCGAGACAGCAGACACAACAGAAGAATTTCAACAGCAATTACCAAGCCTTGATCGTGGCAAACTCCACTTGCAAGCGACAATTCTTGACATGACAGGAACAACGGAAATCTTTGCTGAAGATGTGGCTGTCGTCCAGTGCGATATCGAAGCAGAGCAACTTGGTGTTTCAGTTGCCAGCTTGCTTCTTCATAAGGGGGCGCGAAGACTGTTACCAGTTACGATCTGATTTTTGACAACATGTATTACAGCAAGTTAGAAAGAGGTGGCGGAATGCATCATGTGCCTCAAAATCTAGTCCGCCTGTCTTTTAACATGGACCACGGGAGCGGTTCCTGCGACTCCTCGCAAAGAAAAGAAGACATGTGTCCTTTACCTTTTTCTTCTAAATATTGTCCAAGACGACGGGGTCCTGGGGAAACTTATAGGAACGGCGCTGAAGTAGCGGAGGATTTCCTGCACGAGGCTATTCAAACCAGGAATGACCTCCTCGGAGGCCACGCCCTCCCAGGCCTCTTCAAAAGAGGAGTAGTGAGCAAGGATTTCGTTTCTGATGTCGTCTTTAATTTCCTGACCTTCCTCAGTCCCAAGAACTGCAACGCCCTGCGACAAGTTGGTAGGAATACTGTCTAAGCAACCCCTCCTTTCCTCTCCGGTGCTGACACCACCCATCGTCGGTCTGGATATGCTAGTAGGTAAGCTAGAAATCAAGTAATAATCATGAATCGAGATTGAAACTTGGACTCATTTCTCATTACCAAATATTGGATATGCATGAAACTATCTACTACCCTTGTACTCCTAAGACAAAACCTTGTCATCATTAAAACAGATTTTCCCATCCGAGTCAACGCCACACACGTGCTTCCAATGCGATCAAATGCATGTGTAACACACCCAAGTCTCAGAATCGAAAGTACTTAGTCTTCATCCTCACTGCTGCCTTTTTCGTCGACCCAGTTCTGTGCCTTTGATGCGAATTTGGCAATCATCAACACGAATACACCTCCTAGAATTGCCCCAAGACCAGCTGGTTTCTTGTTAGAATTTATACAAGCTTGTTGCTCAGAGCCAAAAGGGGTTGTACTCACTAATAGTAAAAGACCAACCAACTCCGATGGCATCTATCATCGGTACCAAACCTCCAACAGCACCGGCTCCGAAGCTGTATTGAATGATGTACTTACCGCTTATAACGGCGGTACGATGCTCGGGAAGAGCCTCTGAGATACAGGTAAGTAAAAACGTCATAGAGGGGCTATACCAAGGTACTTACCAGCTGAATATGTGTTTAGGCCACTGAATGACCACATTAGCCCAAGGCCCTGGATGAAGGAGCTCACAATGGGCAAAGCCATTCCACCGAGCTCCTTTTGCACGCTCCAACCATAAAGGAGTGTCCCAAGTGGTAAGATGATAAACACGGCCGGCAAGCTACTTCTCAGTCTGTCTTGCGGCAATCTGAGGCCATTGCGTTTGCGAATGTAACGCTTGACGGTATGATCTGACAGCCGACCGCCCAGAGTACTGCCCAAGAGGAAGCCCGCTCCGGGAGCTAGGTAAAACAAACCGCTGATGAGAGGAGAGGTTAGGCCGAAGCGGGGGTTGATGACACGTCGGACAGAGCTGAGTAGACCATATTGATTGAATCCCAATAGGCCGCATGTGATGTTCTTACATTATGTTAGTGATGATAAGTAGGAGACTGCAACAAAAGGTCATACCGTTGCAAGAATGTTGGGGTACTTAAAAGCACGAAACACGCCTGCTGGGTTGAACGCATTCATCACGTCTTTGGCGGAGTGACATGGTGTCTTTTCAGCAACATTTTGATGCTTTAAATCACTCGCTTTCGGTACGAAGAAGAAAGCCAGAATCAAACCCACGCATGTCATGCCAGCCTGGACTCCGTAAATGACTCTCCAGCTAGTAAAATTGACAATAACGCCACCCGTCAACGGAGCTTTTTGAAGTCAGCAAGCGCAAGTTTAAGTCGGACAACATGTTTACCTATCGTGTTTGCGGCAACACAACTTCCTAGGAAGAAACCAACTGCGGTACCTCTAGTCGTCTATTGATCATTAGAGTTGCCAAGTCAACTGGGAGTCTTGGTATCTTGCTCACAGGCTCAAAGATATCCGCCAAAATGGTCTGACCCGCAACGAGGAAAAATGGACCCGTTGTTCCTCCAATGACCCAAATCGTCGTAAAACAAGCCAAGTTCGGGGACAACGCCGACCCGACGGAGCAGAGAGTAAGGAGAGAGTTGGCCAAGAGGTAAGCAGTCCTACGGCCCACAATATTGCTGATGGGCAACCAAATAAGCGCCGACATGGCCATAGCAATGAAAACACCAGCGTTGGCCGTCGTGATACTATGTGTGGGCACGCCAAAGTCGGCGGCCACCTCTTTAGTCGCCGTCATAATCGAACTTCCTGAGAATGTCACGGGCAGGGCCATCCAGCAGACCACAAAAAGAGTGACCCATTTCTTCCAAGTGGGCATCTCCATAACCACATCGTCGAAAGCAACGGGCGGAGGAGAATCGGAGGCAGCCGTGATGGGGCCGGAAAGCGGATCGGGGCTCAACTGCGGCGCGGAGACGGCAGCTATATCGTCCGGCTTCTTAACTGTCTGGGAGTCCATTGTAGCGACGTAGTATCATCAAGATGGCTTAAAGGGAATTGTCGTAGCCTCAGAGTTGGGACCTTGTCCAGACTGCAACTGACGGTCTGGGACCCAACCGGGTATATACCCCGGAGTCACTCCGCCATTCGGAGATTCGACCGGCATTGTGAAAATTCACCATTTATTTGGTTCCTATCCTATGACTCAAATGTTTCGATAAGTGGGCCTAACATGGCGAATTCTAAGCGAAGCCGGTTCAGCTGCAGAAATCCTGCGGAAACAGTGTCGGATTTCCTTGGATCAAGAGCTTTTGGTGCAGCCATCTGAGTCGGCAACTCAACTCACCATGTAGCCGATTTGGAGAACTGAGACAGCCGAAGATATTGTGGAGACGATGAACAAGGAGCTTCGGCGAGACTAAAGAGGACCGAGCTTGTGCGGTCTATGACTAAGCTTTGTTGTCGGTGAAAATTGCGTTTTGCCGACAGACATCGGCCAAGCGAACGATTCTTCCTAGATGTGTGCAAACTTGCCAACAAAGAATTTTTAGCTTGCCTAGTGCATACAAGGTGGTGTTTAGTGGTTCTTCTGATATACAGGTGACGTTTTCTAGCTCTCTCAAGGCGAGTGGGCGTGGACAAGGATCTATTCACACCTTCGGCATTTCGACATCTTCCCGAGACTCATCGGAGCTCACGAGGGCACATTCCCCATCCAGTATCAACATCGACCATTATGGCATCGGAGGCGGACATGTCTAGCACGGAGGATAGAATACTGGGAGGGTCTTCTGCGATCTCGACAGGGGTGGCTTCAAAGCCAAGAGCAAAGCCTACAGCGTAAGCTACCTTAACTCTCTTCCCGTTGCTGCTCAAAGGGACCCTAACTGACGTCTATCTTCATCTTTCAGCTGTCGTAGATGCCACTCTAGGAAGGTGAGATGTTCGGGTGGTCAGCCATGCGAGAACTGTCGCCAAGCCAGTAAGGGCGCAGAATGCACTTATCCCAGACGAAACCGTATGGTCAAAGTGAGCCAACGGTATGTTGCAGCTACTTTGCAGTGATGTTGTACACTTCCTTATCTCATCCTGTAGATATGTCGATGACCTCATCGCCGAAAACCAACGGCTCAAGACCCAAAATGCCGGGGATCATGCTCAAACCAATGCCAGCATCATCCTCCCCGAGATGCCTCCCTCTACAGGGAAAGATCCCGTGGATAGTGCTATTGCTGTTCAAGCTCCTTCATTGGATCAGCGCCCGTGGTTCTTCGATATGAACATCCCGCATACACCAATTCTCATTGGTGAGGCGTCAGATGCGGCGTTTGCAACTCGGTTCAGGCAAGCAATTGCAACAGGAGAGCATAGGCATATCCCCAGAGTCAATTACGCCACAGATGAAAGACTGCTAGCCTTGTCAGATATCGACTGTCCTTGGCCCAGCCCTGCGAGAGCACGCCTGCTCGTCGGTGTTGCCCTGAGATATGTTAGCCGCTGCTACCACATCATCCGCAAGAGCATTATCTTGGACGGCTTGGAGCAAACAATTCAGAACCCGACCGAGAGCGATTCTCTTCTCAAGAGTAAACTGTGGGCGCTATTTGCCATTGGTGCCATGTACTCAACTCGTTCAGCGACTTCGGAGAAAGACTTCCCAGGCATGGGCTACTTTGCTCGCGCAACTAGAGTACTTCGCATCTCCAGCGAGAGGCCACGTATTGACGTGGTTGAGCTGCGACTTTTACTAGTAAGTCATTTAATACACCCCTCATCATATATGAGTATGCTAACTCGGCCAGTCGTTTTATTCTCTGGCACTTAATCGCCGTCACTCAGCTTACACCTTCGCTGGCTCCGCCACAAGGCTTGCCGTCGTCATGGGCCTACACTTGAATGTCCCTGAGTCTCAGTTGAGAGATAAGGCTGCCCGCGAACATAGAAACAGGGTATTCTGGACCGCATATATTTTCGACCGTATGTGGGCGGCAAAGCTAGGTCACCCTGTCTGTGTGCAAGACGTTGATATTGAAGTGGACCTTCCATCGAATCCTGCAGTCGACGAAAGCATATCAGAGGATTTCGCAGATGCATCCTACTTTATTGCTAGCGTCAAGCTTGCGCGGGTGCTGGGAAGGATTGTTCCATCCATTTATCGCCGGAGAAACCAACAAAGTTCACTCTCGCACAGAGTTCAAGAAGCTCTCAGCGCCCTTCGTGGCTGGGTCGAGGAACTTCCGCCCCAGCTCCATATCGATTTCAAGGTCACATCAGAGCATATGCAGAAACCTATTTCCCTTCATCTCAATTTCAACCAGGTAAGATTTAAATGTTTTAAAAAGATGTTAACCATCTAACGAATGGATACAGTGTGCTATAAGTGTAACCCGCCCAATTCTACTCCACGTCCTGCGCACCAACGTAGCGTCATGGGGGACTTCATCAACTCCCGAACCGCAAATACCTGCAACAGCCATGACCCTGGCCGAAGCATGCATCCGTTGTGCTCGACATTCTTGTCGACTTCTCACTGAATGCTGGATCGATGGCTCTTTCGCCACCTTTGACTACTTTTACACCCAATACCTGTTCTCTGCTGCCACAATCCTCGCAGTTTCCAGTCTTTTGAACGGGAAGGATAGTCACAATGACAGGGAACAATTCGAGGAAGCAGCCCAGTTCCTCTCACAGCTAAGGGATAACGGCAACTTTGCAGCAGGAGAGTTTTGTCAGCACATCGACGCCATGAAGGCCATGATGGCCGCTGCCAACGCACGTCGTGGTGGTTACCCCGTTGCCGGGGACACTTCTACTCTTTTGAATGAGGCTGCCGCTACCTTTGGAGACGCCATAAATATTGGCCAGCCCTTCACGACACAGAATACGACGGCGGGTATGGCGATTGCCGAGCCATCTCTGCAAGAGCTTTTGGCACAGCCGATTCTCGATTTGCAGTTCATTGATGCGTCGATATACAATGATGGTGCCCAAGGCCTGTACTGGCCTGACCTCAGCCCAGAAACATGGACGCCTGACACTTGGACTGGCACCTAACTTAGGCTTGCAACTTTACATTTGTTGAAACAAAACACTTAGGAGATGAAGACTTGACATTCTGTGTCCTGACCGAATCCTCGAACAAGAAACTTAAAGCAAATACAACGGCAATAACGTTACAGATGTAGTTATGGCTCTACCAAAACTTGAAAGGCACCGCCAATCTCCCAGCAGCATTCGGTGTTGCCGTAGGTGCAGCCGCCGACGTTGTTACCGTTCCCGCCCCGGCCGACGATCCAGTCGACGATCCGGTCGGTGATTCACTTGGCGAATCAGTAGATGATTCATCATCTGGCACACTCTCCGTCGTTGCTACCGTAGCAGTTTGTGTTACAATCGTCGACACAGTCACCGAGGCAGTAGTCTTCTCAATGGTCGACGACCCTGGCGGCACTCGACTGCTGCTTGGAACACCGGTGCACGGAACCTCTCCGGGAATGACGGTGTAGCTGGTGCTGCATCCGATCTGGCCGCAGGTGCCGTCGCATGGAAAGTCTACCCAGGCCGTCGAGACCGGCGTCGGGCACCCGCAAACTTGGACCAGGGTCGAGATGACGATACACTGGAGCACCGCGCAAGTGGCGCACACCTCAAGAGTATCAGTTACTGTCGGACATCCAGTTTGCACCGGTGTAGAGAATGAGATGGGCGATGTGGCGAAGCGAGTCGTGAGCTCCGGGGGGGGCACTTGGGCTGCGACCGGCGCCGCCCTGGATGAGTTAGCGATTTTAGTTGGTAGAGAAATGATGCGGGCTCCTACGCTGCCAGAATGGCGATGAAATAGCTGGAGGGCTTCATTTTGGAGATGGATTTGTTGTAGTCACTATGGATGATGGACTCTTCTTAGGACATTCGTATGGCGACGCTCGTCTTTTTTCAGTCAGGCAATTGAAGATCTGCTCCTCACTAAGAAGCCCGCAGTTCATTCGTCAACTGCGCTGGTCATTTCACCAGCCTTTTTGGGCATTGGTGCCTTGGCGGGAGGGGCTGCTGAGAAAAGCTCGTATCGGGAGATCTGTTGAACCTATCACAGCCATCACATGTTGTTCACGAGGGTGATAGGAGGGATGATGATCGTGATGGAATTTCTTTTTAGAAATTAAAAACTGAGAATGAAGTTTACCATGTTTGAAAGCGATTACTGCTAATTTCCTCAAGATACCTGAGTCAATACGTGAAGGTTATAGCTGTAGTTGCAGAACTGCGGCTTTCAATTGTTGTTATTTGAATGGCAAGATACGGCTCAAATATATCTTTAAGCTTGAGCTTTAGTTAAATAACGGATGAGATTATTGATTAGAAGCGGGTTGCGTTTCGACAGAGAGGTAATTACATGTCAACACCGCGAGGGATCTTGGAGTTGCTGTTATCTTCTTAAGAATGATTGGATATAAAGATGTAAAAGACATTCTCATGATAAGAATAAAAATAAAGTGTCTTGAAAATACAGCTGTTAAATCTGAAGGGAACAGCTCATACAATCCATGAGCTGCGAGGTGGTACATGTTCCAAATCCACAAGGAAGAAGAGTCGAGGGTGGCTAGTCGGATACGAAGCAGTAAACCTCCGATTGACTAAACAACTTCAAAAAAAAAAAATGATAAAGTGCATAATCAAGAGTTCCAGAGAGTACTGGCCTATAAACTTCAAGATTTCTATGCGACTTATGAAGAATGGAAAATGTTTGTTGGGCAGCAACTGTTATAAAATCGAAGGCTCAAGAGATGTTCCACAGCAGTAACGAAAACCTCTATCACTACTAGTTACCTACGTAAAATCTGATCATTATTGATTATTGTCTTATAAGCCGACGAAGCATGGGTACATCTATATTTGTAAAGTTTGGTAACTAAATGTGCCGACAACATTATCAAGGTAATACTCTTCATCGTCTTTTAATGGTAACTCACGTTGCTAATGGGTAGTGGAATAGAAAGGATGCCTGCTAGATTATTTAACCCTCATCGGCTTGTAATAACATGGAATGATTTCATTATGGTTGTGGTGATGCTTAATTGGTTATGGTACGGAGGGGAAAACGTTACGCAATCAGTTTGGAAACCACTGTTCATGATTAATGGACTTTAGGTTGCCCTCATTAATTTTCTAGGATAGATACATTGACATGGAAAATGGAGAACACCTAGCATCCCTTAGGCAGCTTTAGCAATAATCTTGGCAGCAGCGACTTCAGCAATTCCGTAGGCAGCGGTTTGGATGTGGCCTGACAGGATAACAGGGATGATACTGTTGTCGACCACGCGCAGGTTGTGGGTTCCGTAAACCTTCAGGTCGGCGTCAACGACACCACCATCCTCACGCGGCAGGAGGGAGCAGGTACCGACGGGGTGGTAGAAGCTGTTAAGAGTGTTGACAGTGAAGTCGCGGAACTGCTCATCCGTCTGAACATCCGGGCCGGGCTCGGTCTCGGCCTCCCAAAAGGCCTTGATAGGTCCAGACTCGGCAATCTTACGGGCGAACTTGGAGCCCTCAATCGCGGCCTTGATGTCGTGCTCGTTGCTGAAGTATTTGGGGTCAATGATGGGCTTGCCCGTGGGGTTGGCGGGGTCAATGTGCACGTTTCCGCGGCTGAGGGCGTGCATGACGGTGCTGAAGATGGTGATGAACTTGCCCGAGCCAGGGTAACCAGCTGCGCCGACGTGGTTGGCCTCGAAGATGAGCTCATAGTCAGGAACGGCATCGTTCTTCAAGAACTCAATCTTCTTCTTGTCAATGGGGCTGGTGCTGTTGGCGACGGCGGCTTCAGCAAGCGCGATGAGGTCGGCCTGGGCCTGGCTGTCGACTTGGCCCCAGTTCAAGAAACCATAGGCGGCAGATGTGTAGTCGTACAGAGAAACCTCTCCATCAATCCACTTTTGAAGCTCGGCAGTGGCGTTCTCTCCACCAGCCTCGAAGATGAGGTGATCGAAAGAGTCGAAACCCTCCTTGAGGCGGTACACGTTGGAAGTACGGATGTGGTCCTGGTAGTTCTCACCAACGCCGGGAAGGTCGATGAGAGGCTCGACTCCAGCCGCCTTGATGACCTCAGGCTGGCCAATTCCAGAAAGCTCGAGAAGGCCAGGGCTCTGGATTGAACCAGCCGACAGGATGACCTCCTTGGTTGCAGTAATGACAGTGCCATCAGCCAGAGTGACACCGGTAGCGGCGTACTGGGTCTCGCAAGTCTTCTTCAAGTTAACCTTGGCAACCTGAGTGTTGGGTTGAACGACAAGGTTGCTACCGGCCAGGGGCAGGTAGCTGTTGGCGCTGTAAGACCGCGAGTAGTCCCTGTTGTCAATATTGGTGCCCTGGATCATGAGACCGATAGGGTTGCCATGCATGTTCCCCTCTGCGTTGAGAGGAAGGCCAAGCTCGGTGGCAGCAGGCTCCCAGCTGTGAAGAACGTCGAATAGAACGCGGTTGTAGGTGTTGCGAATGGGACCGGAACGTCCGCGGGGGTCCTTGTCTGACCCGGTGAAGTTCTCCGACTTGGTCATAGCCTCGATCATGACGTCCCAGGTCCATCCCTCGCTGCCCATCTCACTCCACGCCTCGTACTCGGGAGAAGAGGCGCGGTCATAGCACAAGTAGTTCATCGCCGAAGAACCACCCAGCACCTTTCCACGGTTCACACCAATCTGTCGGCCACCGAGGCCGCTCTGGTCGACCGTGGTAAAGTTCCAATCCAAAGTGCTTCCCAAGATGGATCCTCGCAGACCGGGAACATTGATACGGAGGTCGTCCAAAGCCGACGGGCCGGCTTCAAGAAGCAGGATCTGAGCATCAGGGAGTCCAAGACTCAGACGCGCTGCCAGAGCAGAACCAGCAGTACCGCCACCAACAATAACCTATATTTTCCCGTTAGCAGTGTAAGGCAGCTTAGGACCAAAGCCCGAAGGAGGATTCATGACTTACGTAGTCGTAGGACTGGTCACCGGCCGCAGAAGCGACGCCTAGCAAAACAAACGCCGGCAAAGACTTGAAGGACACCATCTTGGGCAAGAATTAAAAAGAGTGACGGCCGTTGATGCTTGAATTTCCAACGAAGATTCGATGCTAGGTGGTCTAGAAGAAATGCCTATTGGATGGGAACAAGGCGCATTTTGTACATGCCGGCTTCCTCGCGCTTCCAGCGTGCAACAATGGTATCCGCCTGAATGGTAGCTTGAAATCTCGGCCGACTAGCCTATTTCTGGGTAGAAAGTCATGCAATTGCAAGACTTCTCATCATTACAAAGCTGTTCTTCATGCACTGCCATGTGGGACTGAGATCGCTGGCCCCTGGGGACAGATGAACGTCCGATTGGAACGTTCCAGGACGCCGCTGGTAAGAATCAATGTTCAGGGTGCGAGATACTCGAGGCACTACTCTAGACGTATGTTGCTTTCGAGGTTCCCTGGAAACCTACGTACGCCGTCAGGGATAGTGACTTTTTCCAAGGACCCAATAATCCATATGTCTTGCGACCGAAGGAACCAACAGTCCTCGGGGTAGTGTTCCCCCTGTATCCGTAAATATGGTACAGGGGCTCCCAATCGACAGGGGGGGTAAGCGACATTAAAATCGGGGGTATGTTCCTGCGCTATAGCTTGTCAGACGCAAAAGAGACGATGCTTACTGAACTGTTCTACGAGAAGAAGATCCAATGGACACTCCTGAAAAAAAGAAAGAAATCAAATCCGCTTTCCAACTCGCGATGTCGGCTCCGATGATTGTGGGTTGTGCGAGGGGTTCAAGTACGGATGTAGCCGAGTCTAATGATGAAGTTAGGATTGGGGAGCCACTGTTTGCCCCAAAACCCCCACAGCTTTAGGGATGAGTGAAGGGCTAGAATCGATTAAGCCCGCAACTCGACCCTCCCTATGTCGGTGATTCAAAGTTGACGGATGGTTCGGAGAGTCTTCCGGACATCAGTGCGTGGCAGTATCCAGAGTTCTCAGGGATTAATACGTCTTTTGTTGGATGACCCCTCCGCTCAGACCTCCAGAAGGCGGAGCAGCCGTGATGTGGACAAAAGGAATACCCATCCAATCCTGGTATTCTTTCCCCTAGTCTCTGCAGGTTAGTGCGGCAAAGAAAAAAACACCATGTGATTACGCGAGATCAAGCATCCTAGGGTTCGATGTCTCCTTCGGTTTGGAACTTTGGCTCGTATTACAGGATACCCCTGCCGGTTGGAGAGTCAAGAGGAGTTGGGAGAGGGGACGGTTCAAAGCAACCCCGGGGTTAGCGCCCACGGTGACAGTTGAAGGCGGGTCTCATTCGCAGCGAAAGTCGGATTAAGAATAACACTAAGCCTTGTATGGGGCAAAGGAATACTCTGATATGGTTGAGTCTGGGGGACGGCCCGTCAGTTTCACACCCACAAAGCTGTCAACCGAGCACATGAAGCATTCGTGGGGGCTAGAGACGCACTTGGCTATCGGTTAGAAACCTAGGCAGAATGTTCTAAAACCTCAATCGGTCGGGCTTTGTGCTTATTCCAGTACTAAAGGGAAATCATTGCATTTTCATCGGTTGGCGGCATTTTGCCCAAGAAAGTCTTCGGAGTGCAGCCCTGGTTCCCGGATGGTTGATTGGCTGATTGGTTGACTACTCCCACACTGCCTGCTTTTCTCTTCAATCCCCCGGTTTAACCCTTGCGTACCCCCATGTATGTGCATTTCTTCATCGAGGGAGCAGGGGACAATGTTTTTAGTTCCAACAAGTTTGCGCAGTCATAACACCTAGTAGCTACGGGAATTTACTAACGTTAACCAGGGTTCATCTGAATTGTGTCCCCTTTAGGTAACTTGGCCCGGTCTCAGTAGCAGTACGTCTTCGGGTAGGCTAAATCTTTGCCTCTTAACGACAAAGACGCTACTGCAGGAGGGAGGCACATATCACAAAAAGTTGCGTGTCTTTTGCAACATCAAGATGCTACCCCTCGCAGCATGTTGCGGCTTCAGCTAGTATACAAGGGATCCTTCCTGAAGGGGACTACTCCGTCCAGTACACGAGGAGGCAATCTTCAGACCCAAGGATCAAGTCCCTTGTAACCTTAAGCAGCAAGAAGGGGCCCGAGCGATGGTGCGGTCTGTCGATGTAGGGGATTTGAATAGAATATTGTGTGCCCGAAGTCGCATTGCTTTAGTGACGGAAATACCACCGAGAAATGCATGTATATACGGAGCGGCCGGATATCCCAATCGGCCGAGTAATTGTCGATCTTAGTCTTCCAGGTTCAGAGTATCATAAAGGTGATTAAAGAAAAACAAGGCACAAAGACACACTACCATGGTTCGGCCTTGACGGTTATCACCCAGTCGATATCGACCACTAGAATTGTGCAAGTTTCTCGTCGATCCCATGTTTGACACAAAATTGATGTGCAAATTTCTTTCATATCGACGTAGATAAGCTCGATGAAAGCCGTTGAAAAAATATTGTAAACCCACTAATGCGGCGCCATCTCCGCCCTCTGGCTGCATGAACGCCCGGCAACTCCTGGTTAGGGGACAAATGACTGTACAGGGTTGAGGCTCCTTGTCAAAAAGTCTTGTTTCTGTTGTCGTGCCGTCGGGGATTAACCGTCACCCTACATTCAGAATGCAAGTGGGTGAACTATCTCTTTAGATTGCATCTGCATCCGTTGCTACCGTCTCGGACATCCCACCCCTACCGAACAGTCTTGTGGATCACTTTGGAAGTTTCTTCCGTGCTGGTCTAAGACGTTCGACGTTGGACAGTTGCAAGAGAAAAGCTACACAAAATCACAATCCTGCCCCTGGATTAGTAACAACCTTCTTCCTATCTAGATGGTCGACATCTCCAGTATAAGGCTGGGTCGATAGCGCTGGGTTGTCTTTCTTTGCTCTGGATACCGAGACTGGATCCGCGAATCTCTTGATCTTCCCCGCCGTCATTCTTTTTCGTCTTGCGGGCCAGCATCTGCAGATATGGCTACACCCGCCCCTGTGATCCGCACGGAGTCCAATGGCCACTTTGTAAGTGGAATTGCGATCGGGTTCGTCGTCGCCTCGGCGATTGTCATGTTGCTCCGTCTCTACACAAGACTTGTGCTTCTGAAGATAGCTGGAAACGATGACTGGACTATTCTTCTGGCAATGGTAAGCTCATTAACACCCCACTATGCCCCCTGGTATCACTAACCGATTCGATAGCTCTTTTCCATCGTGGTCACAATAGCAACATGTCTAGGTACGCCGCCGTTCATGGACTGAAGCCTTTCGAGCCAGCACACTGACGTGAACGATCACAATAGAGGTAAAATATGGCATGGGAAGGCATGTTGAGAATGTCTCTATAGAGGAGACTCTGCAGCAATTAAAGGTAAATCGAAGCCCGAGTATTATTACATGATTTGTTAACAATACTGATGAGCGTATAGTTCCTGCTTGTTGCCGTTCTTCATTACAATGTTGGTATGAACGTCGTCAAAGTGTCATTCCTGTTCCAGTACCGGCGTGTGTTTGTATCAAAGGGAGTCCAGAGAATTTGTTTCGGGGCGATGCTTTTCGTCATTGTTTGGGCTTGTGTGCAAGCCACGCTCCTTGGCCTCTCTTGCCTACCGATATCCATCATCGTGCCAAGCACAGCCGGCTTCTGTCTCAACACTCTACCTATCTGGTATTTCTCGTCGGGGATGAGCATGGCAACCGATATCATGATTTTCTGCATCCCGTTACCGTCTGTCTTGAAGCTGAAACTGCCCACCCGACAAAAGGCTATGCTATTCGGCGTCTTTTCTCTTGGCTTTTTGTAAGTTCTTAGCTCTTGTTTGGAAGTTCCATATATCCCCTCTCTATTCTCCCAACTTTGCTTTTGAGCTCGAAGGGCTAACAAAGTGGCTGGTACAGTGTTTGTATCATCTCCATCTACCGCATGTTCACTCTCCGCACCGCAGTCTACAGCGAAGACCCTCCGTGGGAGAACATTGGCGCAGCGATCTGGTCCGCCATCGAACTCAACACCTCCATCATCTGTGCCTCTCTACCTACCCTTCGGCCATTGCTCGCTAAGTGGCTGCCAGGCGCCGGGCTATCTTCCGGACACAAAGGAACCAGCGCGTACCCACGTTATGCCACTTCCTCTGGTCTGGGCCGCAGCAACTTTCAAGAGCTCAAGAGCAACAACCAGCGGGAAGTCAGCACAGAAGAACTTGTTCTTAAAGACATGGTGGCAAGCAAGCCGGGGGAGTTGCCATCGGTTTACTCGCACGTTACAGCTGAGCCCAAGAGACACAGCGACGAGGATTTGAAAGGGGGATTCAACAACCACATTATGGTAACGAGAGAGATGACAGTCAGGAGAGGCTAAAACCAAAAAGGTTTGGGACCTTTTACTGGGAGTTTGGGCAAATGAATTGGCCGCTTTTTATTCTTGTGTATTTTTTATGCTAGTTGGACACTGCGACATACAAGCCAGTTCTAAACTTCACAAAACTGAAACTGGGATTCCAAAGCATTTACATGATTAGTTCCTTTTTTATGACTCCGTATGAACCAACTCAGTATTGCATGTTTGAACCTACTTCAATGTGACATTCGAATTTGTTCAACGTACATAGAAGTCACTTTTATGTTTTATCCACTTCCTTTGTAAAGATGTAGGGTTTCGGAACCTTATAACTCATAGTTCTATAGCCATTGGTGTCATAAAGAACTAATTGTCTCAGTAATTTACCTTTGATTAATAACATCCAGTCGAAGCAGGTCGAGATATGAGAAGAAAGTAGAAAACCTCTTTCTTCGGACCTGAATTTCATGGAGGAATCCTCTTTATCTAGTAACTCTTATGTATATGAGAGAATCTCCTAGTTACTGATTTTTAGCTTCTCAACTACCGAAGGCAAACAAGAGAAAGCTTTATGGGCAATAAAATGAACCAGTAGCTCTTTTGAAGTTAACATTTTGCCATTGACAAAGCAGATATTGACAGGTTGAATCGCCCCGACGCTTAAAAGTGACACAGTATGTAAAACTCTGTTCTACTCTCACTTTCCCATGTCAGATAATTGCTTCTCTCGAATGCGAAGGAGTTTTCGTTAACGTCCCACACCCACTTCTGGGCACCCCATTTACACCAAAAACGCCGTTTTTCGAAATTCTATATTAAACTAAATACTTTACTTATTAAAGAGAATAAATATATGTTAAATAGATTAAGACTTAATTATAATACTTAAGTAGCTATATACTAGTATTATTGATAATAAGTATTATAAATTCAAGGTTTAACATTTATAATACTAATTTACCTAGCCTATATCTTAATATATAAAATAGGTAGAGATATTTAACTAATATGATTAGAATTTTTAAGTAAGATATAGTAGATTTATATATTCTTATACTTAGTAAAAAATTCTTTAAGCTTAGAATAATATTTTAAAATTTCCCTTAAGAAAAGTTTCTATTATAGAATTTTAACCCTTAATTATACTATATTTACTAAAGTAATACTTTTAAATCTCTTTTAGATATAATTATATACTTTTAATAAGTATAAATATTAATTTCCTAGATTTTTTAAATAAGTATATATAACTTAAGCGAAAATATATTTTTCTAATGTTAAGGAATACTAGTAAGTTACTAGTATCTACTAACATTTTAAAGCTTTTAGTTTTAAACTTCTATATTATAACTATTATTATATTTAAACCTTTATAAAAAATTAGATGGCTATAATTATACTTAACATAGTTTATATATATTTTCTTTTCTTAGTAAGTATAGTAGTTAGTTTAATATAGAATTTCGAAAAACGGCGTTTTTGGTGTAAATGGGGTGCCCAAATGTGGGGGGTGCCCAGAAGTGGGTGTGGGACGTTAGCAGTCATTAAATCTTAGCTTTTGTGTTGGCGTCTCAAAGATTCCCACAACATGCTGGCTATCAGTAGGAGAGTAGTTCTGGTGATCCATAGCAATACTGACATGAGCGTTCTTGATCTATTTAGTACCAAAATAATTGCAAGAACTGAATGATTATTTGATTCTGCAATTCGTCTCAAGGTTACCTTCGAGAGAAGTTGTGCTTGTCTTTTGCCCCGCTAAAGCGAACAACTCGGCACCTATTCCTGCGAAATCCGAAGCCCTGCTCAAGCCTCAACCATGGTAGACAGGGGCCTTCCCCTCATTCGCCAGCCACTCAACAGAGCTCACTGGTGGACGCGAAAATGCCCGCCTGCAGAAACTGGTGTACTAGTGCTATTTAGTGATATTAAAGCTGGATATTCGGCCGACTCGCGGCTTCTAGTTGATACCCGCCTGACAGGTTTCCATTTCCCCAGAGCGGGGAAATCATGGAGAAATGGGGATTTTTATCAGCTTGCGTTAAAAGGCGCAGATTCCGAGATCTATAATTGCTAAGATTTACCCAATTAATGAATGAAGTTGCCCTGAATATTGCTGTGTGGTGAAGATTTTGACGCTGTCCGCAAGTAGCCACCCCGCAGTGTACGTCACAATGTCACTCTCCCTGGCAACCTTGCTTGGAATGGCTTCCGCAGCGGCCCTTGCATCACCTGTGGCACCCGATGTTCCTTTCGATTGGCAAAAGACCGAATATGTGTGAGTTTACGACTTCCTCCGATGTTTTGGATGAATAAGTATAGTTGTATAAAGTGGCAGTTGCTGATGTCAAGACATGCAGTTTAGGATTTGGAGATTCCTATACATTCGTTCAAGGAACCTACGGCTGGCCGAGCTACAGCTTTATCGGATCCCAGTTGAACATCTCTTTCACTCCGGAGCAGCTTCTTTCTGATCGTATTGTTCCCGGGCAGAATACATCTTCCGCAGGCGGTCCTAATTGGATCCAAGAATTGACTGGATGCAAAGAGGGTCTACCACGAGAGTGTGAGGTCCAATTATGGAATTTTGCCTTCGCTGGTGCCGATATCTCTACTACTTTGTGAGTAATGCGATTCTTAGTGGACGTAGCTTTAACTGACACCACATAAGTGTTCCTCTTCACCATGACTACACCACGTCATACCTGAACCAGATCTGGCAGTGGAATACATATGCAAAGTCGGTCATCGATGCCGACACTAAGAAGTCTTTGGTAGCCTCTTTCATCGGAATCAATGACATCAACGACATGGCAAACTTTGAATTTCCCTTCCAGAACCTCACAAACTTTGAGGAACTGTACACAGCGGCCATTGCAGAACAGTTTGAAGGCCTTGAGACAGTTCACGACGCCGGATTCCGCAATTATCTGTTCCTGAACCTGCCTCCTTTGGACAAAACTGTAAGCGGTCTACTCTAATTCGAAATCCCTAACTGACACTTGAATCAGCCGGCTTCTCAAACAAACCCTAGCCGTAAGCCGGATACGCAGATGATCAACACGTTTAACAGCGTTGTCAATCAAACTGCCAAGGCGTTCACTGAGAAGCATCCGGGAACAACTGCCCTGGTGTTTGATACCTACAGCTGGCTCACTCATGTCTTCAACAACGCAGCGTCATTTGGAATTACGAATACTACGTCAATCTGTCCCAAAGCCAAAGCTTGGGATATTGCCACAAACTATGCGTCCTACGGTTGCCAACCCGTCGCTGAATACTTCTGGTACGACTCAGGTCATATCACGTACAGTGTTCAGGAACTCCTTGGCTCGAAGGTAGACGAATTTTTAGCTCAGAAGAGTGGAAAGTGTGGCTCTTCGGATAACTCGCAGGTATCGTGGGGCACCCGATGGATCAACGGCAAAGCTACCTAGATATTGTTAAAGACATGGAGTGACTATTTATTGTAGACAAATATAATGCACAAAATTGCTCTTAGCTAAATGGCCGATACAGGCCGAACCTGGAATTCCTGTGACACCCGTGCAAGGATGTAGACAGCAATATACAGTTTAAAGCTGTAAATAACAGATTCAGAACTTAACGAGTAGTAAACGACTCTAGACGGGACTAGCCTACATCTACAGGCCTCACTAGCAACCTGCAAGTCACGCTGTATCGAATGTAAAGTCAGTTTCCAAACGAAACGAATGAAGGCGCCTTTCTGCAATCTTGTACCTTGCCACAGTTTCCAATGAATGGTTTTTCCAATCATGCGAAAATCTTGTGGCCATATTCTTGATTCAGTTTCGTAAGCGTCTTTTAATAAACTATCTTTGAATTAAATCCATAGTGGACAGCGAAGTAGGAGCCTGGACAGCGAGACTGATGAGAACCCATAAGGTGAAATGGCCTCAAGCTTTAGGCAGTTCAGAGAGTAGCCGCGTATTCGCTAGGCAAATGTGACATAATTTATGCGTTTCTGTGACACAGTAACCTGAGAAGCAAGATGCGAACACGTCGAAAAGATCGTGCAGTCATTATCTGTATGATGTGCCAGATAAATACCCAGTACATCCAACTCATATCCAGCTCGCTTGCCGAGGTTATCATCATTTGCAACTACTAAAATCCCGGGCATAATCGCTAACAATTCAGAAACGCCTAATATGCAGATATGGCGAGGAGCCTTAACAAGAGAAGCTTGCATTTATTCAAAGCCAAACAGTGAGAACATGGAGAAATCTGTTCTACTGAACATATCTGACCAATATGGTGTAGTTGAGACTCTGACCGTCTCAATGTTTGAATCTGGTTTGTGTGAAGCGACTGAAGCGTTGAGATTCACTAGATCACCTTGATCTCCTAGAGATCGCAAGACCGCTTGGTTTGAAATCGTTAGCCGCCGAATGGCCGGTTCCCTTCGTCTCTGGCAACACAGCGCTGCCGAGGCATCTCACCGAAGAAGGTCGACCTAGCATTTGAGTCGTTGACGGAAGAACTGACTTAAGACTCCTGCCCCTATCACAAAGGGAAATCCCTGTACCACCCCCCTGTTCCAGTCGGTCGTCTGGATACTACCGAAAATATAATCAAAGATATCCCAAGAATGGGCACCAAAAGGTTCTGGCAAGCAAGTTTCGTATTTTCAGCCAGAAAGAAGAGGTATGTAGTCATAGAACGCATGTCAGTCTAAAGGTCTCCTAAGCTATCGGTCAATATGCAATGTAGTGGCTGGTGATGGTCAATCTTGCTTGTGATTGGCGCGCGTATTGCTGGGGAGTCAGCAGCAGACCAATAAATGACACTACACAATGAAGTTCTACAAAGCCAGCCAACGATATCGGTAAAAGTGGAGGCCAGTGCCATCGATACTGGAATCCACTGGGCCGACCATGGGTTTTGGTTGCTTATTCCTCAAAGTCCAATGTTGAAGACGTCATCATGCTTGAGCAACGTCCGGATGACTACTTGCATGTTTGTGTCGACAAACAGCTGCTCTAACAAAAGACCAAGACTTCAAATGCCCAGAAGTAAACAAAACAGGAGTTTTTAAGCGCAGGGGCCCATCCAAGGTTACCTTTTGTAAATGCAATGCAGTGCAGATCGCTTGCCCCAGCCTTCAGTCTGGATCCAACGTTACGTTTTGACCCGTACGGGTTTGACCGCCTCGTAATTCCCCTCTTCTGTAGACCTGATGGCATCAGTTCCGACTAGAGAGTATAAAGAGGCGGGAGAGTCTGAGTAAGAAAAGCTATAAGCGTAAGCGCCCAGCTTCGTTTGTCATTTGCTCACGAAGGCGTAAAACTTCCTGTTTTGGCAGCGTCGAATCACGTTTGTTCTATTTTCCCCGCATGATTTGCGAAATCAACGGTGGCCAGCTCCAGTTTTACCCCAGCTTGAATTATCGTCGGAAATCCGGGGAATGCCCGAAGAACTGAAGTCTAGTATTTAGACAAACCTGGAGACGACAACATCCTGGACAGGGCAGTCGCAGTTTTAAAGGTCATCCATCCCAGAAAGGTGACCCCAAGTTAAGACCTGGAACACTGCCTTCGAGTCCCATCATCTCGCGTCATGGCACTTTTCAGCCTTGGGCGAGGCAAACGCCTCCAAGCGGGCGTTACAGTGTGTTGTCTGATAGCCTTCGTACTGTTCGGATATGATCAGGGAGTCTTTGGTGGTATTCTTCAAATGCAGGATTGGCTGGACCAGTTTGATCATCCCTCCGATTCAGAAACTGGCATCATTGTGTCGTGCTACAACCTGGGCTGTCTCGCCGGTTGCGTTTGTAAGTAAAGAAAACTGATTTTATGTGGCGTTGCTAACATACTGGCTGTTAAGTGAACTTTATATTCGGAGAAATTCTGGGACGCCGCAAGACGATATGGTCCGCCATGGCTTTGGTCATCATCGGAGCGACCCTCCAGACGACTGCCTTCACTGTTCCTCACTTAATCATAGGACGTATTGTAACCGGCCTGGGCACCGGTATGAAGACCTCGACCGTTCCGATGTATGAAACTTATCTGTGCAGCGGTGTCCGAAACTTGCTAAGCAGGAATCAACAGGTATCAATCGGAGCTGTGCGACAGAAAATACCGCGGCCGTCTTGTCTCTGCAGAAACCCTCTTCGTGGGGGTGGGAATCGTTTTTGCTTACTGGTTCGACTTTGGCATGTCTTTTGTAGGCGGCCCGATCGCATGGCGTCTGCCTCTTGCCTTCCAGATGGTTTTCGCCTTTGTCGTCATCGTCCTCGTCTTTGCGCTTCCCGAGTCGCCTCGTTGGCTCTTTAAGCACGGCCGAGAGCAGGAGGCTGTACAAGTGCTGTGCGACGTCTTCGACAAAGATCCTTCCGACAGCTACATCCGCGATGAGGTACACGCCATCCATCACGCTATTGAACTGGAGGTTTCTGAAAAGAAAGAATCTTCCTTCTTCAGCATTTTCAAAAATGACCGCGTCAGAACAGGACACCGTGTGCTCCTGGCATGGGGAGTTCAGTTCATGAACCAAATTGGCGGAATTAATCTGGTGGTCTACTACATCCCTAGCGTTTTAGTCCAGAATGTGGGAATGACGGCACATATGGCTCAGATCATTGGTGGATGCGTCCAAATGATGTTTATGTTTGGGTCTATCCTACCCGCTCTGGCTCTTGACCGCATGGGACGTCGCAAGACCATGATATGGGGAAGCACTGGCCTGGGGATTTGCATGCTGATGATATCGGTGCTCCTCTCTCGCGTTGGTTTCCCTAACGGCCAGGCATGTGCCACGGCTGCGGTAGCCTTCTTCTTCCTGTGAGTGTCCCAGTGGGTGAGAGTTTTGACGACTTGTTGCTGATAAGCCACAGATACAATCTCATCTTTGGTATGGGAATGAACTGCGTCCCGTGGGTGGTAGTTCCCGAGATCCTCCCCCTGCATGCCAGAACCCGTGGTACCGCCGTCGGCATCAGCTCCAACTGGCTTTGGAACTTCTTTGTGGTCATGATAACGCCGGTTATTATTAACCGTCTCCAATGGAAGGCGTATCTCATATTTGTGGTAACCAACTTCGCCTTCGTCCCGATAATTTACTTTTTCTACCCCGAGACAAGCAACTTCCGTTTAGAAGACATCGACGAGTTCTTCACCCAAGGTCGTAGCCCAGTCAAGGTTGCAAGGGAGATGACAAAGGCTATGAAGAGTGGAGCTGGCACCTCTGGAACGGACGTGGAGAAGCGGGTTTCGAACGCATCGGAGAAGAATGGTGTGCATGTAGAGCACTCATGACTGGGTAACTTGCAAGATGGCTATTTTCAGCCAATTCTGTGAAATGTGGAAGAACTCCCTCATAAGAACTACCCAATAAGATGGTGGAGTTAAATTTCTTCTTGGGTACTTTAGATAGTTTCTAACCCATAAATTTCGCAAATCATAGATATAGTCTAGAAATCCTCAACAGGAGGCCTTTTATACACACATTGCGCACTCACAAAATTTTGAACACCAACTTTTCATTGGACAGTTTGCCTTCCTCTGAAATCTTGAGTCCGTCCTCTACACTCTCCAATCCATCGAGCTCCTTCACCTTGTCAGGCTTCACTTCCCCTCGCTCAAGGTACTGAGGCAACAGCCGCAAGTATTTCTCCCAGAGTTTCTTGTCCTCGGGCGTTTCGTCGCCGCAGTTCTCGATACGGAACGGAAGTGCTCTTTCAAACACGGTGTAGACGATCGTCCACTCAACCTTCACATGAGGGTTGACAGCCTTGATTTCCTCCTTGGCCGGCGGGAAAGCAGGAATCAGAATGATGACATGGTCTCCTTCGATCTGTGAAAGCGCCTGGGCTATTTTGGCCGTGGACCCATTAGCAGAGATGGTATCGAGGGCACGCTGCAGCTTCCCCTCGGTGATCTTTTTCGCTTCCTCCACCCAGTCTCCGTGGTAATCAAGTACCACATCCGCTCCCAGGGATTTGAGCTGTTCGTGGTTTTTGGGGGACGCAGTCGTAATGACACGCAGTCCGCTAAGCTTAGCTAGCTGAATGGCATAATTCCCAACACTGGTCGCCCCACCGTACACCAAGAACCAGTCTCCGGTCTTGGACTCGGAGGGTTCAGGCAGAGAGAGCCGCTGGTACAAAGCCTGCATGGCAGTGGCGAAAGCAAGTCCAATGGTAGAAGCCCCCTTGAGCTCCACGTTCTCGGGAACCTGAAAGACCAAGCTCGATTCAATGGAGACGTATTCTGCATACGTGCCCCGAATGGGGTTGGCCGGGGTCCCGTTATTGCTGGACCCATGTACGAATCCAGCGACGCGTTGGCCCTTGCGCCATGCCGAGCCGTTGGGGTCCTCGACGGTGCCGGCAAAATCGCAGCCGAGAATCAGGCCCGCCGGTGCAGGTGGGACTACCGGGGGGGAGCCTTTGACCGTTTTCCAGTCCGACGGATTCTGGGCGGCGTAGTGGACCTTGACAAGGATCTCACCGGGGCCAGGCTTCGGGCGAGGGATGGATTGAACGGAGATGACGCCGTTGCCTTGCGTGATGATAGCTTTCATGGTGGCCATGTTTTGAATGTTGCTTCCGCCTAACTTAGATGACTAACAATTGATGATAGTGCTGCTTTGAATGGTTGGAGTTGATAACGTTATGAGGAGGGGTGTTTACGACTGTGGCTTACAGATGCCCATTGGATTATATGGCTTGTATTCATCCCCTGTCGTAGACATGAGTTTCTAGGCAACATAGTGATGCAAGCACACCAAAATCTGACCACGTTACCCCGCCTTTTCAAAGCTGCTGTTCCAGATAGCTTTTGCATAACAAATCAAGACGACGAAGGAATGGAAATGATTGGAAAATTTATAAGCATGGCGTGAGGCGGCTGAATAATCATGTTTCGCGCCGTCGAATCGCTTCCTTTGGATCACAAACTAGCCGTAAACGGACAGCAAACACGGACGCCGTGATATTCCACAGCAATGACGAATGTTATATAACGTTACGCGTCGCACACAACGTTGACAGCGACTGCGAGAAGTCTTGAAATTGTTGAACACCACCCAATTATTTTCTGCGTTGACAATGGCTTAATTGGAGGCTGGGAACCTGTTCTTTGATAAATAGTGAGAATACACCCGCGTTTGGAGCTGCGCAAGATGCGCCATGATCCAATGCCAGTTCTTCATGAACTATCAATGTCACATAAACTATACCTTTATAAATAACCAACAAACATCATGACCAGGGTTGAGAAAGTTGCCGTTCTCGGTGTAAGTTCTGTGAATAATGTCCTAGGCATTTTTGATACTCATGCCTGATATCAAGGCCACCGGTTCTCTCGGTGAGGTCCTCATTCCAGCACTTCGCGCTGCCAATTTCGATGTAACCTGTATCCTGCGTCCCGCAAGCAAATCAATCATCCAAGGAGTCACCATCAAGAGAGCAGAGTACACCGATAAGGAAGCCTTGACGTTGGCCTTAGAAGGCCAGGACGCAATAGTCGAGGCCTTCAATCCGGCGGCCGCAATTCATCAGAAACAAATCCTCCAAGCAGTGCTTGCCGCGGGGGTGAAGCACATAATCACACCAGACTTCAGCGGCAACACGTTCCATCCACGCGCCGAGGATGTTCTCATCTTCAATCCCAAGATCAAGGCTCAGCGTGAGCTCGAAAAGGTAGTCGCTGACTCCGACGGCAAATTGTCATGGACAGCGATAGTGACGGGGCCGTGGTACGACTGGGCGATCGAGAAGGAGATATTCTGGGTCAACAAAGAGAAGAAGGTCATCACGCGCCACGGCTCGGGAGACCAGCGATACAGCATCAGCAGACACGCGCTTAACGGCGAGGCGCTGGTTGCTGTGCTGAAAGACCTTGACAAGTATAAAAACCGGCCTGCATATTTTGCTAGTCACACTGTTTCAACTAATCAGCTTGTTGCTATTGTCAAAGATTTGGGGCTTGAAGGGTGGACGGTTGTTGATACTCCGTTTGATGGGCTATACCAGAAGGCTCACGAGCTGTGGCAGAGGGACACGGATAATGGTGTCCAGGACAGACTGAACTCCAAAGCGTACGAGGCTCTTTCCACTGTTGCGCTTCTGGACCAAGACAATCGCTATGGATCCAACTTTGAGAGCCAGGTTGAACCGGGTTGGGATGAAGGGAAGATTGCGTTGAAAGAGAACTTGAGGAAACTACTCAGTTAGATCGGTTAGTTACGCGGCGGAAGCTTTGAATTGAACCCTCGCTATTGTGACCTGGCGAGGGAGCATAAAGGCAAAGTCTGCCATGAGTTCTTGAATGGTGGCGCATGTTGTTTGTTCGAAAGTCGTAAGAGAGTTGCTGGAAGGGGGCGAGAGGTCGGAACTCAACCAGCAGGTTTGAAAAACATATCGTTGACGTAGACTCACATAAACAAGTCAACTGATAACCCATCATAGTGTAATGATACAATGTGCTCACTAGCATGTCATACCATCTGTTGGAGGGTTTGTTCCGCATAACGACTCGACACCGCAATGCTTCAGCTCTTCAGTCAATCATGGTCCCCATCGAATCAAGATGCAGGGATGGAAGTTGGCAAAGAATCAGGAAGATAATCTAGGCTTCAGCTGGAAGAAGAAAGGACGAGTGGCAAGCAAATCAGCCAGGATAGACATTCTAGCCCTGTACCAACCCTACAGCCCTTCCAACTGGTTACCCTGCGCCACCCAATGGGCTAGAGACATGAGCCAGCCAGCCCAACACCACACCCTTGGATCGCCCGTCTCTGCACTCCACTGTACGCGCCCGAACCGACATTCTAGAATGTGACGGGCGGCGAGTGGGAGTGGATCATGCCGACATCCTTTCAGTTCTTAGACCGGCATAACCGGCATGTAGAATGCATCGCGCTCTGCATGCCACGCCGGGAGGACGAGGGTGTCGACCAGGCTGCGCGTCGCCTGAGACCAAGGTTGCAGACCTGCATGTAGCATGTGGAATACTCGACTTTCCTCTTTGATCTACACTGGTTGAGTCATGGAAGCTGATCACAACAACTTGGGACGAGAGGTGCTTAAAAGTGACGTTTTGAGAGGCAGGACCTTGATTGATTCATAGCACATTTCTTTGCGTTGCCTGCGTTGGCACATTTGTCGTTTATTCATTTGATGCTCACCATTCAAGTCTTTCAAAGTCACTTTTGTAACTCTTGAGTCATATTCGCTTGATTGGGATTTACGCATAACCAAATTTAATGGTTGACTGCTCTAATTAGGGCACGTTTGGTTGGAAACAACCAAAATTGAAAGCATAAGCACCAAGGATGCCTACACAGGCATGCTCTCAAGGATGTGTGACACCGGGACGACCGACGACGCAATGAAGGGGAGCGCAATTTGCCAGGCATCCACTTGCAGGAAGTGTGCCCAGCCAAGACAAGAAACCTCACGAACTACTGTAAGACTGCAGAGTCTTACCAGGTCATCTTGACCGTGGATTCGGTATCATGCAAATTGGGATCCCTGTCGCGTACCTTACCTCGATGGGCCCTTTCGGGACGCTTTACCTATATCACGATGGCGACTAGGTCAGGAGGTTGAAAATATCGAGTTTGACACTTCAGTCGAAGCCCATTGCTGATGATGAGCAACGCCACGTGCATCCATTGTGACGGCCTGGAGCGTTGATTCTGTTCAGAAAGCTTCTCAGCGTGGACTCACCGAGGAGGCGTTTCTATGTCACAGGTCAAGACGGTCTAGCCATCTTGGACACCGATGAGCGCAACGACGCCATCATACGGTGTAAATCATTCGTAGAGGATGGCGGCTACATGACGCCCCCGACACCCATCATGGGATGACACGAAAAATTTGACAAAAACATCAAATAGATGGTAAGGTGAAGATTTGAGCGAAATAGTGCCCGGGAGCCCAAAGCTGAGTCGAAAAGTTTACCTTTCTTGGATGCAGGGGCAAGTGGCAAGTCGCTTGACGATGTTGCGCCACTGTTGCAGCATCGTGGAGTCTGTCAAGAAAAGTGACAGATGTCATCCCAACACGCCGAGAGAACAAGGTTCTGGGTAATCGCGGGTTAGGTGAGTGAGCGGTTTCTGTGTCAAGTACATGCCAGTGACAGGTAAAATCATGCTGTCAAAGGATCAGCAAGCCCCGGAGAAAAAAAAAAAACAAACAGAAAAAACAGGTGGTTCTTCTGGCAATGGAAAGCCAAAATCGTCGGTGCAGCGTATGCATCGCATCACCTTACAAGCGAACGAACTCCACGACATGACGACTGGTCTTGGATAGATACAATCCAGCCAAGAGGCGATGGACGTTGGCAGGAGATCCACAGAGGCCAAGAAAAGCACAGCCTGACGATTTGCTGCACTTTTGGAATGTCTGAGCTTCCTCAGAGAGACCACGGGCTTCGAGGAGGCAATCTGATTGGCCAGAAGGAAGGGACCGAATCGGCTTGGTAATTGCTTGGGTTTCTTGGACGTCCTGGTTCTCTGGTCGGGTAGGATGGGTGCGTATACGGGTGCGGCAGCCAACACCGGGGTGATGGTACGCGAGTGACTAGGGTGGTCCGGTATTCCAACGGGGAAGGATGAAGGAGGGCCCGCGGCCAATCATCCCATGGTGTGTCTTGCATCCAAAGAGGATGGGCAAGTGGTGACCTGGGAATCGCGAGCTATTCCCGTCCTTAATTCGTGAAAGACTGATCGGGAAGATGTCTGGATTCGGTGGGAGGGAGGAAATGGGCGGACGTGACTGGCGGAAGAGCGCAGCGCCAGGTGTGAAAGGACGGAAGCCGGGTGTCTAGCTGGATCGGGGAATATTGGAGGGGGGAGGGCCCGGGGAGGGTCATGTTCCTTTTCGGTCGGGGGAACAAATAAGGCGAGGTTGCTAGGCAAAGGGAGCCGAGCAGGCCAATCCGCCTTGGAGGACTGGGTGAGTGGTCGATGTGGGAAGAAATGACATTCGATACAGTCGATGGGCGGAGCGTTCTTGGAGGCACTGGAGGTCTTGGCCGCTTGGCGGAGGGAGCGAGTTTTATAGAGATTCCGGGCATTCGTGCCACATTGGGGACGTTTGGGCTGACGGCGCGAACATGGAGATGGTGACTCGTGCAAAGTCTTGAGATGATATTGGGGGGATGTCTCATAGAGATGGTCCGGGGATCTGGCCGGTCAGGGCCACAGGGAGGGACGGGACTACACACGTGGTGGATTCGGAGGCCGTGATTCGGTAGTTGCGGGGGACGGAAGTGGGGCCGTGGCGGCCATGGCAGGAACGTTGTTGTGGTTGTATGGCACTTTCCCTCCAAGTAGGGTGCGCTTGGCGCTTCTTGTGAGCATATGTCTTGGCGCTTGGCGCGCCAAGTCGCTTCAGAGACCCACTATTAAGCGGGGTTCGGTGGCTGTTTTGGGTTAAGCCCACCCATCTCTCCCGTCTACGTACCTAGTAAGAGTCTTTACACCCAATCTAGTCTTTCTCACGATGACTTTCTTGTAACTCGTGTATCGACTGTTTCGTTTTAAACTGGGTCGTGATGGAGTACCTCCTGGTCTCTGGGCATGTAAAAACGAAAAAAAAAGCCTATTCGATCTTTGTACCGCTATTGGCTTGTTAGCTAAATGTCAAAGGTACGAGTTCATCATATCCTCCCCACCAAAGTTTCCACTATTCTTCCAAACCAACGACCAACATTGCTCTCGGATACCTTGCTAGAGCTGAACATCCTGGCTCACGCACTACGACGTTCACCAAGTCTCCAGGCCTGTCAGTGGCACGTGGGGGATGACAGTCTGTGTCTTGCTGCGTCGCATGCGCTTGCGTCTAGACACTTGCTACCAATTCCCTCCCGTCCCATGTAAGTCCAAGACACCAGGCTCTCAGCTAGTTGACTTCAATATCCGTTTTCTTCCACCGAGATGCCCCCACACTTATGCGCCATGCTTTTTGTCGTTTGCCTTATCGAGGGATGCGATGAATGCCCTTCAATGTTGACATTGCTGAGATACCGGAAGACATTACAGAGCTTTCGCTCATGTCCACTCGTCGACCAGCTTTGCTAGATTCTAGCATATCAACCCAGCTTTTTCAATGCAATTCCGTCAAGAGACGGTTGATATCGTAAACATTGAACATGCCACGAGGTTCCCAATACCTCTCATGAACCATACCCGAAAAGGGAAAACACCTCGAACGGCTGCGCCATTCCCCGGTACACTAGGGAGGCACCCGTGTAAAATTTGATCGAAGCCTATCGACGGGTCCGCCGCACCTGCAGATGATGGATGTGGCGAGCCCTTGCCGGCGGATTTGCGTTTTGCAGAATGGAGTGTGGCATGCCCTTGTTCCATTTTCTGCTGATGTTGGTCTGTAGCTTGCACTCGCCGCTGCAGCTGGGCTGTCTCCCACGCCCGACGAAGACATGGAGGCAGTACCTTGCCGGGCTCGTCGCACGACCCTGGCCACCACACTCGCCATGGACCATGGTTCGCCTGTGACACTCCTCCTGTCCTGGTATATATCTTGTGCATCCGCCCGGTCTCTGTCCTCCTGCTTCCATGTCGACTTCTCGAACATCATCCCCCTCCCCGGCCTTGCTTCCCGCGCCATACAAAGGGTCTTCGATCTCTTCAATCCTACTTTGCATTAGACAGACTTGACTTGCATCACTCTGCATTTCAGTCCGACACATTCCTTCACATCCAGAATCGACCTCCAGAGAAAACAAGACCATCTTAAGCGCGCTTGCGCCAGCCGATAAAAATGGCTCTTCACCAGTACGATTATATCTTTGCCATTGGCACAATCTTCGCGTTCCTTGACGCTTGGAACATTGGTGCGTCCACTCAGACGCTCACACCCTTCCCCGACCCAAACACTCATCTTGAACATTGCAAGCTAATGGAAGCATCCAACAGGTGCCAACGATGTCGCCAACTCTTGGGCCACATCGGTCTCATCCCGATCCATCTCATACATCCAGGCCATGTCTCTTGGTTCCATTCTCGAATTCGCCGGCTCCGTCGGTGTCGGTGCCCGTGTAGCCGACACCATCCGTACCAAGATTGTCGATATTGACATGTTCGAGAACGACCCTGCTCTTCTCATGCTTGGAATGTGCTGCGCCGTTACTGCCTCTGCTATGTACCTCACCTTCTGCACCAAGATCGGTCTCCCTGTCTCCACCACCCACTCCATCATGGGTGGTGTCATCGGTATGGGTGTTGCCCTCATCGGCGCCGAGAACATCCACTGGACCTCGGCAAGCGGCAGCATTGACTCTGGTGTTGTCTCTGTCTTCCTCGCCTGGATCATCGCTCCTGGTCTCGCTGGTGCCTTCGGTGCCATCATCTTCACCATTACCAAGTACGGTGTCATGCTCCGCAGAAACCCTGTCATGAAGGGTCTCATGCTCGCCCCCGTCTACTTCGGTATCACCGCCTCTCTGCTCACCATGTTGATCGTTTGGAAGGGTGGTTCCATCAAGGTAACCTTCAACGACGCCGAGACTGCCGGTATGATCGTCGGTGTTGGTGCCGCATGGGCTCTTATCATCACCATCTTTTTGGTCCCGTGGTTGTACCGCATCGTCCTCAAGGATGACTGGCAGCTCCGCTGGTACCACATTGCCCTCGGCCCTCTTCTTCTCCGCCGCCCTGAGCCTCCTCTCCAGCCCGAAGGAGCTGCCGGTGGTATTCGCGACTTCTACGCTGGTCACATGACCAAGGAGGAGCTTGACGCTGCCCGTGGCGGTGTTGTCCAGACCCACAGCAACGATGTTGAGTCTGGCTCCGCCGACGGCGAGAAGAAGATTGTCCAGGACAACGCCGACGCCGAGGCTCAGACTCCCCGCCCCCGTGCTGACTACGTCCACAAGCCCATCGTCGGCCCTCGCCCCGAGGGTGCCTGGCACACCGGTCCCGTTCTCTTCTGGTTCGTTAAGAAGGTCTTCCTGTCCGGTGTCGACCAGGACATCGTCAACATGCAGAAGAAGGAGAGCGTCCTCACCGGTGACTTGGAGGAGATGCACGCCCGCGTTCAGCACTACGACAACAAGGCCGAGTTCCTGTACTCCTTCATGCAAGTCATGACTGCCTGCACTGCCTCCTTCACCCACGGTGCCAACGACGTCGCCAACGCCATCGGCCCCTACGCCACCATCTACCAGATCTGGAACACCGGCAAGCTTTCCGGAAGCAAGTCCGAGGTCCCCATCTGGATTCTCTGCTTCGGTGGTGCCGGTATTGCCCTCGGTATCTGGACTTACGGATACAACATCATGCGCAACCTCGGTAACCGCTTGACGCTGCACTCCCCCGCTCGTGGTTTCTCCATGGAGTTGGGTGCTGCTTGCACCATTATCCTGGCCACCCGTCTTAGTAAGTTTTCCCCACAGAGTTTGTCTTCTGGGAACATTCATCAGTACTAACCTCAGAAATAGAGCTCCCCGTCTCTACCACCCAGTGCATCACTGGTGCCACCGTCGGTGTCGGTCTGTGCTCTGGTACCTGGCGCTCCATCAACTGGCGCATGGTTGGCTGGATCTACATGGGCTGGATCATCACTCTGCCCACTGCCGGTATTATCTCGGGTTGCTTGACTGGCCTCATCGTCAACGCCCCCCGCTGGGGCATGGCCAGCTAAATCTTCCACCTTGCAGACGACATGATTTAAAACGTTAATAATTCTGGTCCACGGTTGGCTATCTCTGGTCGGAGTCTTTCTCGGTCTCCGGCGCAACTTGGAAATTGTTTCCTCCCTCTGGAACTTGTACTCAAAAAGCTTTTTGTGTATCCTTTCTTTTTTTTTCTCCGGACACATAGACTACTCATACCCTCATTAGTGTTGTGCCATTTAATAAACTATGTACCAAAGGATTTTGTCCGCTTACAAGATTGATTTAGATGACTGTGATTGATCGAGTGAAGTCGTGAGAATTCTGCGACGTGAGTTATGCCAACGAGAGTTTTTGACCAAGTGTCATGGTGTCTTTGCTTGCTCGAGGCAATCGATCAAAGGCAATATGACTTGACCAAGCGCTTGGAATAAATCTCCAACAAGAAAAAAAGGTTGGTGGTGCATTGGGTCATTTTGAGGTCAGTTGCAACCTGTCATACCCTTGAGAAGTTCCCTAACAATGTCATTAGGGTGAGAAAATTGGTAGTCTGAGATGAGAAAGCAGCGAAGTGGACGGTAAAAAGTCATATAAAAGGACAAGCACTGCTCCTGATGTAAGAGGAGGCCTCTGTCATGGCCGAAGGGGATATTGTATGGTGATGCCAAGACCAATGATATGTGTCTGGCTATGGTGAAGCGCCAAGACCACGTTTGAGCGATATAAGTTGACCAGAACATGAATGGGAATGGGAGATGAGTGGGAGAAACAAATGGGATTGTACGGTTTTGGGAGTGCTTGGACAGGTTTTCTTGGAGAGCAACCCTTTCCACTTTTGACGCTTGCCTGAAAGAGTTTGGGAGTTGATGCGGAAGCAACCCGGATTTCGAGGCAAGAGTTGGATTTGTCCATCTGTTCCCTGGAGTATGAAAGCTCTGGGTTTCTTGTGCGCCTTGGCGGCGACGGTACTGATGTTTTTGAGCGATTGGAAGAGGGATGAAGGAAATTTTGACGTTTGACTTGTTGGAAAATGGCTCATACAAGCTTGGAGAACACACGAGCATGACGAAGATCAAAATGGCTGGTCTTGGCACTCGGTGATGGAAAAGGAAGCTGAATTCGGGCAAACAGCGAAAGAAGTAAAAGAACGACAGCGAGGGCGGGTGATTGACTGTTGTTATATTTGTCTTGGCGCTCAGCTCGTCGCTTGCGTGGACGATTAGACCCGTTGAGGCATGATTCATGGCCATACCTAGCATTGGAGAGGGAGAAGGTAATGTCGCAGTGTGGGATTGCACATCTATCTGGGACGAGCGACAGGCAATGTGTCAGACAGCGGTGTGGTCTAGATGCCGGTCCTCGTTTCTTTCGGCCGAAGGTGCTGCTTCAAACGGCTTAGGGTATAGGGGTGAGTTTTTGTTGTCATTTTGAGAGGCGAGACGCTGCGTACGAGAAGCACTCTACGAATCACAATGCGGTATACCGACCTGGAGTATTCCTGGAACAGTATAGCCAAGAGTCTTGCTTCAAGATAACTACCAACCAGGTGGGAGAGTCTCCATACCCCAGCTGTGTGAGAAAGCTTAATTGACATTGGCATCATCTAGGCCCACGGTGTCCTTCGATCTCGTGCGACTTATCAAGTGTGGTTTTACATCGAGCTGGATATTTACACGACTGCAGTGAAAAGGAGTTGCATTCAACACAATGAATGAACTCTTCAAGTTATCTCACTGTTTCGCATCTTGTCCTTACTGCCCTCGCCCAACAAGCTCGTGTGAGGCAGCCAAAGGACAAGGAGACGCTGAAAGTGCACAAAATCCAAAACTGGATAACTCTGCGCTGAGCACAAATTTGAGCATGTTTATGATCACATCCCTGGCAACTCTTCAGTTTCCAATTGGGTTAGCGCAGCATGGAGACAACCCCGTGCCAAGACGATTGGATGACAGCAATCGCAAAATGCTGGATATCTATTGACATGGTCTTGGCATCGCGACCACAGCCTCTACAGCTCCTTCAACGCGACGCATGGAGGAAAAGACAGGCCTAGCCCAGTGTATGCGAAGGGATATCGTCTCATCTTATATACTGATGGGATACTTGCCAAGAACCGGAAATATCGCCGGCGCCAAGTCAGGATCTGGTGTAGCTTCACACTCTCGACAAGGTCACGAAATGCACATCCCCTGTATGCCTGATTCAGCTCGTGTTAGCACTAGGCCGAGTTTCATTGCTATTCTCATCGTTCTAATGCTTGAGTTCGGCCGTTGGCGTACGGGAGACGCCAGTTGATCACACGTGGCTCCCACTTCCAACACTTTGTGTCATCACCGTGCCCGAAGATGGCGCTTTGTGTGGCCCCCTTCGCGTTGCATGAGGCCCCTTCTGGAATCAGGCCGCCGTTGTGGCGTTTTCTGGCAGACCTTATCACCTCACACTGAGCTTTCCTTCCCAACTGAGGAGCTCCCATATAGGTATTGTGATTGCTTAAGACATACTCCCGTAGCAAACTACGTACAATGCTCTTCATCGTTGCGCCGGCGTCATGAGCTACTTTGAAGACCTACGCGACAGCTTGCGGGCTTTCGCGCCCCAGGAGCGTCGCAACCTTCTTTTCTATATCCTGGGAATCATGGTTTACAAGTTCGGCCTCGAAGCATTCAACGGATCCATCACGGCTCTCGCCACTAACCGATATGACTACGAATCGATTGTCAACAAAACCGACTCGAGGACATTCGAACGACTGGCTCTGCTGCAGGGCCTCAACCAAGCGGCACAGTGTGTGGGAAGTATCATCATTGCGCCTCTTGTCAAGAGATTTCCCACCAAGAACGTCCTTGCGTGCGCAATTTTCATCTTTGGCCTCTGCTCCGCCATTCTCCTGATCCTCGACGCTGCTACCGGGGGTACCTTTGTCCCGGAGGCCTACCGAGAAAACCATCCCAAGAACGAGTGGTCCTACTACGGCAAATATCCCAACGATGCCATTATCCCGATATACACAATCAGTGGAATTGCATACGGCTGTGTTGAACTGATCCGGCGAATCATTCCCCGTGACATTGTTGGAGGTATGTCCAGAAGTTGCGAAAGATGGACTCTATCGTGAGTTTGTCCAGCATCACCTTTCGTCCCACCATTTCAAGGGCATCACTGACAAATGTCATCTAGGTCCACATCTTCTACGAGCTCACTGGCACAGCTGGTGCATTCGTCACGGGCCTTGTTCTTATCCCACGCTTTGGAAACAACATGAGCTTTATCATCACACCGATTTGCTTCGCGGTCTCCGCCACCATTTGGTTCTTCATATCTGATCTTGGTTTCGTCAAACGCAACAAATCCCTTATTCTGCAAGAGCGTCCTAGCTACTTTAAGGCACTTCTTGGGGGTTTCTGGCTGTTTGGAGAGTCGATCTACGTCGGCGCAAGAATCATCTTCACATCAAGAAAATTCATCTGGCTCATCCCCGGCTACTCTATCGCCCTATATGCGCATCGTTATCTAGAGAACGGTATCGCTCCTCACGTCGCCCGGCGCTATCTTGGAGAGTCGGCCTGGTCGCAGATCATGGTTGGAGGTTCCAACTTGGGAGAGCTGCTCGGTGCTCTGTGCGTGTTTCTGTTCACAAACGTCATTCAGACCCCAATGCCGTGGCTACGAATTGACGCCCTCATGCTACTGATCGTCTGGTACATCCCCTACTGGAGGCCTCAAGCCCGCGATGTATCTCAGGCCTGGGTTGTTGCAGCTACATTTCTTCCAATCTCTTTCGGATGGGCCGCGGGAGATGTGTCCTTGGCTGCCTACATCCAAGCCTCCCTCGCACGTAAGGAATCCGACAACAAGAACATCTCAGCGCTCGGTGCCGTCATGGCGTTTCTATACTCCTTCTACATCATCCTTTACGCCGTTGCTGGAACTTTCCTAGGTCGTTACCTGGATGGTGTCTATAACGCCAGCGGAGGAAGCAAAAATGGCGGAACCATTTACAGCGGCCTTGTAAACACTGCCGGCGTTCAGTTTACTGTCATAGCAGTGGTGGTGATTTGCGCGACATTCGTTCCTAGAGGCTCTCTGGCCCTCAATCCTAAAATGATCTCAGATGAGAGGCTTGATAGGGATTTGGTTTTAGATGACGACGACACGATGCATAGGCGTACGCCAGAATACGTCGAGAAAGATGGCGTTGAAGTTGTGGTCAAACCGCATGAGCGTCTCGGAGCCTCTTCAAGTGCCTCTTGATGGGTGTTGGATGTTGGACAGCATAGCTGTGTTCTGACACTAGAATGGGGTACTTGGGTCTGGTCGTCTTTGGACATGATTGTTCAGAGATGTGGTGAGAGCTGTTCGTGTAAGAAAGTTTTAAAGATAGAATAATAGCGATGCCTACATGTAGCAAGGAATTTCCGATTCAGGGGCCCGCATTTCTCCTCTGTGATGTCTCAAGCAGTTGTAATCTGCCTCTCCGAGGCCCAAGCTTGCTTTTCCCGTAAGCCTCTCAAGGCGGGCTAGTGCCTGGTAGCGGCCATTGGCTACTGGCATTGGGGTAGAGATGGTGCTGATCTTCACAATTCGAATTCATGCTATCACAAGACTTTTGTGCCTCCCTGACGTCGCAGGAATGGGTTCTTATAAGCCCTGACTTGGCCAAGCTTTCAGAATGCCGCATCAAGGCAAACGCTTGACTGCAGAATGTTTATGCTTTACATGCTGCGATCAATATTTGAGCCTTCACAATCTCTTTCCATACTCGGTTGACTGAACAAAGATGGGAGACTATACTTTGGCACTCCCTGAGAACAGAATCCATCGATCACAAGGAAATTCTGCGCTTTCACCATGCGTTCGCGATTGTCTTACATGTTTCGAGGCATGGTGAACGCCACGCCAGGGTGAGACCTAGCCTTGCCGACCTATCATTCTACTTTTTCAATCAAAGTGGCTTTTATTCTTGAATTAATGTCTCGTCGCGGACTTTCGGCAGCATTCAGCGGCGATCACGTCACTTAATTATCTTTGGTTTATATCTTCGTATTGTGCCCTCTTAGGGTAAAATTTGGCACTTGCTTTTGCAACCACCGACTTCATACTACAGCCTCAACAACTATCACATCTGCAACAATGGCGAACTCATCTACCGATGACGCTACGTGGGTCTCTGAACTTCAGCTTTCAGAGCCTCCTTCGGGGTTTTCGGCACCGGAACTTGGGCCATGCGCTCATTCGGTAGAGGGGTACGCGAACAAGAAACGTCTGATCGTTTGTTGTGATGGAACATGGAACAACTCGTAAGACTTTGAACCGCCGAATTACCAGCCACGCTGCAGATAATTAATGCAATGTGAGCTTTATAGAAACCAAAAGGGAAACATCGCCACCAATGTATCCCGTCTAGCAGCTGCTGTGGCCCATAAGTGCTGCACTGGAATGCCACAGGTTGTATACTACCACCGAGGCGCAGGAACTGAGGAGTCCAAAGTAGCGCAGTATCTTGGTGGAGTTTTTGGAAAGGGTGTCAAGCAGGTATGCCGACCGAGAAAGACTCAGTCGCGGTAACCTCAATTCCGTACAGCGCTCTCTGACACATATTCCGTTTACTAGGACATTGCCGACGTTTACCGCTTCATCTGCGACAACTACAACCCTGGAGATGAACTTTTTATTATCGGCTTCTCCCGAGGTGCTTTCACTGCGCGATCCGTTTCAGGTATGGTTTGCAGCATTGGATTGCTCAACCGTGTTGGTCTTGCAAACTTCGGTGACATCTTCCATGACTATCAGAACTTCCCCAAATGGAAGCCCGGAACGAGCTTTAATAAGGAAGACCACCTTGTTGGCTTTACGCTGTCCAATTATGAACGCCTTGAGAGATTCAAGGCCGCGGATGGTCGTGCAGAGAAAAGAGACCACGCCACTATGCGTAAGGATCTCGAGGAGGAGAAGAACAAGTTCTTTGAGAAAATGGTTCAATGCAAGTCTCCATCCGGACGAGGAATGGATCTCGCGCTTATGGCCAAAAAGTATCGTGACCTTCTTGAAAAGGTATGTGCATCAGCTCTGGTACTGAGTTGCGTTGTATCTTATGCTGAAACATTGCACAGCACCAAATGATTCTATGTGAGAAGAAAAAGCAGGAGAGAGACGGGAAGCAAGGCTTTTTCTTCGTCCCACTGGACGTACAGGTTGAGGCTGTTGGTAAGTTATTCTGAAGAGAATTGATCTGTGCATCAGGCTAATCGGACCACAGGTGTGTGGGACACAGTCGGCAGCCTTGGATGGCCCAAGATGCCTTGGGAAAAGATCCGCAGGGATCGGCACGCCGACGAAGTATGTTTTATTTCAAGAATTCTCTGGGGTTTTCAACCCGTGACCTTTTATAGATGATATTAACAGGCATTTCTTAGCTTCGATTCGCTAGCCTCAATGTCCACCCCAATGTCAAGCATGCCTTCCATGCGCTTGCTCTCGATGAATGGCGAACTGCCTTTAGCCCAACTCTTTGGGGTAAAAAGGGAAATTCTACGACCAAACTTCGTCAGGTCTGGTTCCCAGGAAGCCACAGTAACGTTGGTGGCGGCTGGGAGGACCAGCAGATCGCGACTATCGCTCTGGCTTGTGCGTTCTTCCTTTTCCATGTTTTAATACAGTCTTCTGAGAATTTAAACTGATTCACCCGTTTTATAGGGATGGCTGACCAACTTTCTTCGGTCGGTGTGGAATTCAGCACCCCTGAGATGAAGCGTATCTTCTGGACACTGGAAGAAGGCGTTGAAGCCAGAGAATGGGCGAAGGGCAAGATCTCGAGCCCTTCTGCGACGTCAGCTTTGCCCGACAAGGCTTACAACGCAGTTTGGTATCCCTGGCAGAGAATCAAGGGCGTTAACACCGTTGCCGGCACTCGCACTCCAGGTGGATACAAGGAGGATGGTGGAAAGGCTGTCATCGAGGCCCCCAATGAACTGATCCACCCCTCTGTCCGTATCCGCTACCTCTATGACGGACTGGGTTTGGACGATGCCGGTGAATGGGACTGCCCCGCGCTCACAGGGAACGGCTATAAACTTGAGAAAAGTACCGAACCATCCCAGATCGAGAATGACACTCACAAAAGCTTTGGTTCCGTATACGAGACGCTGTCTGGGAAGGTTTCGTCGGTTCATGGCGGATTTCCCGTCGACTCCAAGCCTGATCAAAAGCTTGTTGTTCATCAACTGCCTTATGAGTCTGATCTTTACCAGCTTGAAGAGGCTGCAAACAACTGGGTGTGGGCCAAAGCCGACAATACTTTCCTTCGTGAGGAACGAATCGGTATGTGGGAGCGACTATTCATCAGCATCAACCACAAGCTGCTCGAGAGGCAGACTCGTGAGAAGCTGGCAAGAGAGGAACAGGAGCGAAGGTACCCAACAAGAAAGAGCTTGAGGGAAGGACTCCGATCATGGGTTGGTGATCGGGTCGAAAACGCTCGCGGGGTGGCAGGCGATGTGCTTAATAAGACTCTTGACAAGCTACTTCCCACCCCGGAGAAGCTTAAGCCTTTGGAATACCCTCCAAAGTTCGGATACCATGACTTCGTCTCATGGCAGCGGGGTGATACGTCGGCGAGAGTTCAAAGAGTGTGATGATACGAGATTCATTTCTGGAATTCTGGTGGATCAGATGGAGCTTTTATTTAAACTTTGATGCAATAATAACCTCTACTACCTCGGCCTTGATCAAAGCAGTCTTTCTTAGAAAGAGCATTCTGAAAAAGTGGACGCGTTGACCGTACGGTGGATGGTAAATAGCAAGTGATAAGACGTAGCCAAACTAAATTGAAACAGCCAGAGAACATGCTGTATAACTCAAAGCTCAATGGAAGGAATAATTTTATTGTAAGTAAAGGAAAATAAAATCTTTATTTTTATCGGTCAGCTTCATGTGACAGGCTTAAAGCATTAATTCGCTTAGCTTAAGGTACAGCGTTTGTGACAAAGTGTCGGGGGTCAACTGTGTGCTATGAACAGAGCAGCTTTTAAAGAAGCATGAACGCAGTTCATGCTGAACGACCCATGAACTTTTCTATCAAATAATTTTAGGGCAACAGGTAATTCGTTTTGAACTCATTGTACACACTGTGGGCATGCAAAACTTCATGTAACACAATCCCGGTAGCTCATCAATCCTTGTGCCCACTTAGTTACATCGACTCCTATTTCCATTCCCGCAAATCAACAAATGACAACCACTGCCATAACACTTTATCCTTAATTGAAAGGTTAAGCCATAAATTCAATATTAAACCCTCCTCTCATTGCCCTCTACCATTTCGATATCTTGTCCCTTGTTGTTCTCGCTGCTGACAACATGTGCAGCAGTCTCATTTTGTGCATCGGCCTCATGAAAAATTGCAGCACCCTTCTCGACGTGATTCACTCCTCCAAATAGTGCATCCATTTCTTCAAGAGGAACCTGCTTAGTTTCCGGCAGGATGAAATAGACGACACATGCAAGACATACATTCGTGGTCATGAAGAAGAAAAATGTCTTTCTGATACCTTGGTTAGCGACACGTATTAATAGTTTCATCCAGTGAATTTAAACTTACAATCCTTCGTTCTGATAGAAAATGGGGAAAAACTGCTGAAATATGGTGTTGGCCACGCCCTGCATTTGCACACTCATGCCAACAGCTGGACCTCGGACGTTGAGTGGAAAGACTTCACTTGTATATGTCCATGTAGTTGCTCCCCAGGTTGGCTTGTAAAAGAACGCAAAAAGAAAGGCAAGGAAGGTAATGGCAATGCCGACTGGCTGGCTCTTCTCCTGAGTTCCCGGGGTTGTGAGGCCAACAACAGGAATAAGCATAGTGCACATGGCCATGCCGCAGGCACCGACCAAGAAAAGAAACTTTCGGCCATATCTATCCACTGTCCATACAGCATTAAGTGTAAACAAAATTCCGAATGTGGCGTTCAAGGCGTTGATAAGGTTGATGGTATTAGAATCTTTGAAGACTTTGGCGTAAATAGTCGATGAATAGCTGTTAAGCGTGCCTTGCCCACTCAACTGCTGCCCAACATTGATGAAGAACGTGATATATAGTCGCTTTCGAATGCTGGGGTCTTTGAATAAAGCGAGGTAAGCCTTCCAACCTTCTGACTGAGCTTCTTTTTCGTACTCGATAGCCTCACGAATTGCCCTAATCTCTTCCTCAACCTTGTCGGTTTCTGATCTAACTCTTGCCAAGGCTTTCCGAGCGCCTTCAACATCTTTACGGCGACTGATAAGCCATCGTGGGGACTCAGGAATGAATGGCAGTTGCGCAATGATTATGACAGGCATCATGAGCTGGAAAATCACCACCATCTTCCAATCCCAGTCCCCTAGTGTTTGACGGCGTTGGGCAGCACCGTAGTTGATCCAGTATGCGATGAAAGATCCCACTGAGTAGAACATCTGCCAGAAGCTCATGACCTTTCCGCGAATATGCGACTCAGTTATTTCGCCGATATAAATAGGACCGGAAGCTTTCGGTGAATCAGTCACAGAAGACCTCTGCTAGAGATGGTGTGGAAACTCACTGATGGCTACGGCTTGGCCTACGCCTATTAAGATACGACCGAAAATAAAAACACCAATTTGATGCCACGGAGTAAAAGTTTGGATGAAAGTGGCTACGACTGTGATCATGCAGCCAATACCCATTCCCCATCGGCGGCCGAAATAGTCTGCCTAGTCACTCATTTACATCAGTAAATCTCCGCAAATAGATTTTGAACATAGGTAGGAGACTACTCACAATAGGCCCAGAGAAGAACCAGCCTGTGACAATACCCCCAACAGTGTAGGTGGTATTTATGAGTCCGATCATGTGGGCATTGGGTGTGTTGAAATGGGCCTTCCAATTAGGCGAAACTTGAACAGAATTGAAGACAGATGCATCGTATCCCATAAGAATCATGCATCCAGCCGCCACAAGGGCGACATACCTACATGTAAATTTAGCGAAAAAGTGAAACTTATCAACAGTAATTATTAGCTGCTCTCACCAATTGTAGACTAATTGCTTGCTCGGCATAGTGCATAGGAAGGTGAAATTGACTTTGAAGTTCTGTCGACCGATGCTTTCTTGCTAAATCTTCAAAGTGGAAAGTCTCCAAATGGTCTGGCAGGTTCGAATGAGTGATAGCTAGCTCCCTGATATAGGTGTTTATGAGTGTAGTATGAAATTCCTTCCCTGTGACTATGCTTACTATACCAAGGTAGGCTAATAACGGCTCTCTGTTCTTGTCCCAGCGCCATGGTTTGTTAATACATCACAGAACCCTGTTCATTGATGTCGTAAAAGGAATCAGCTAATGGCATTGTTCCTGACTAGAAAACGCAGTTAGTTTTAGGCTAAATTAGCTCCAACCTTGGTGATACGTAAATCGCATTATGCAAACACAGGTTGCATGTCAAACTACCCAAAGCGGTTCTGGGGATGGCCTATCTTTCTCGTAATGGTGGCCAAATAGGGGACTTTACGTACGACACTTGTCTCCAACTTCAATTTTGCAATTAATGTATCTTTCTTATTGGAGGAAGTATTAACATACTGACCTCCTGGAATGCATGCCATTCTTCCAACTGCGTCTACTGTGTGAAGCGTTTGAATGATCATCCTACATGTCCACAGTCGGCCCTGGTCTGGTCTACCCAAAGGTGTGGCTGAGATTTAGGCTAAAAGCAAGGAAGCTTATTTTGGCAACCTGCGCGTTGGAAGTTGGATCCTTTTCGGGGTGTGTGTGAGATAATCGTGCTAGATTTATCATGCGCCCCTCCACTAAATGATTTCATATGCGGGGAAGCTCGCCGACTGGAAGACGTCAACCGAAGGATTCTCAATCCTGCATACTAGCAATCCAATCATTGTAACGCTTCTTTGTATTTAATTCTATGCACACATCGAACGAGATAGCTGAAGCCGGCAGACATATCCCGATGCCGACATGTTTGCTCCGAAAAAAGTACGGCAGAGTACATCACAGTTCAATGTTACAATGTCAATAGATGTATGTTTTGGAGATAATCAAGCTTAACGCTCATTTCGGTGGTTGAGAAAGAACCCAAGACCAGGCATCTCTGCCTGGAAACAGGCGAATGGGCAGGGGACCAAACGTTGAGAGCGATCACAATAAAAGAGCAAGCAAAGCGTTCAAATTCTACAAAATAATCGTAACAACAACATTCATCATCTTTAGACAACTAGGTGCTTTTACATTCTCTTCAGCCAGCTAGGAAGATGCAGTTCTTTGCGGTATTCAACTTCATTATTGCATCAGCTCTTGCAGCATGCCAGCCAAACCTGCCGCCTTTCCCAAATATATCGGCTTCCCCTAAATCACCCATTGACTTTCAATTACCAGCTGGTCCAAATCGCGACAAGGTCTGCGTCGTAAAGGCTAATCAAGACGATGCTGGACCAGCTATTCTTTCAGCTGCTAGGGACTGCAACAAGGGCGGTACAGTATACCTTCCCAACGGCACCTACACCATCAAGTCGACACTTGACCTTACCTTCTTGGACCATGTGGATTTTGCTATCTTTGGTAAGATCTATTTTAAGGGCGACCCTAAGCATTGGCCGGGTAAAACGTTCAACTACCCTTTTCAGTCAGTCAGTCTCTTCTGGAGGTTTGGTGGCTCTGATGTGAATATCTATGGCGGTGGCCAGGGTATCATCGATGGTCTCGGCCAGGCGTACTGGGACGCCATGGTTCTTGATAAGAATGTATTGCGTCCGACTCTTTTCGGGACGGATGGATTGCATAGATCGACCATCACTGGGCTCAAAATGAGGAACAGCCCAGGTTGGTTCAACTTTATTTCCAATTCTTCAAACATTCTTGTCAGCGACATCTCACTGGACGTTGAGCAGAAAAACAAGTCTGCCCCAGCCAAAAATACAGACGGATGGGATACTTACAGAAGTACGAGATTGTGATTCAAAACTCTATAATCAACAACACAGACGGTGAGTCTGCACTATCTCACAGGTCGCTGACAGCTGTTGGCAAATGCTAAAGTAGTCGTTACAGATTGCGTTTCTTTCAAGCCAAACTCGACCTCAGTCGTCGTTCAGGGCCTTGACTGTACCGGTTCACACGGAATATCCGTTGGCAGCCTTGGGCAATACCGCGATCAGGTTGACATCGTTGAAGATGTTTATATTTACAACATCACTATGTCTAAAGCCTCGGACGGGGCTCGCATCAAGGTCTGGCCCGGCCTGCCTCCTGGTAGTGACCCTGCTGCTTCTGGGGGCGGTAGCGGTTGGGTTCGCAATGTAACTTATGAGCTATTTCATAATGTTGGCAATGATCGTAGGTTTTCTTATACTTCAACGTCATCTTCAAATACATTAACAAATTGGCAGACGCAATTTCCATCTCTCAATGCTACTACACCAAGAATCAGACAATTTGTGATTTGTATCCGGTCAGTTGCAATTGCTTAAATCTTTGACTTCACCCTCCCACATGTAGTGCTGACATGTTGTTTGGAACGCCTAGGCAAGCCTCAAAATACAGGATATCACGTTTTTAGACTTTTCTGGTACGACGAGCAGCAAATACGCTCCTCGGGTTGGCGAAATTATTTGCAGCTCTCCCACGGTGTGCACAGGCATAGTTGCCCGTAATATCAATGTGAAGCCGGCTGGAGGTCAGCCAGCCTTCTTTGGCTGTCACAACTTTGACCAGTCCAATGCTAAGATCAATTGCAAAGAACCGGGACCTTAATGATTGATTGATAGTTTAATTGGACGGGAGCTCCTCGCAGTTTACTAGTATTTTATAGCTTCAAAATTATTTTCCTGTTATATTCTACGTTCACCTGTCGTTATTCAAGCAATTCTGATTCGATCTTCGTGATCATGTAATGGAAAGACCACCTCAATTCGCCTCTAGTGGTTTCGCGACATTTTTCTACAACACTCCTGGTGCTGCAAGACATCATCATTAGCGGCTTATATCTATAAAAGACCATACATAGGAATTACGTTTCGCGTAAGAAATCAAGTTGTGGATATTTGTGAGAAGTAGCTGTAGAGAAAATCAAAAGCACCACTTCATGTATGTTTATGAGTGACTTCCTTGCTATCATAATGAGATTTTATCTTGGGCAACATTTAGTTGATTATTCGAGGTCATATTCCCGAACAAAAAGCCGACAGTCTTGGCAAAACCACAGAACGGCATAAGAGAAGAACTGTTTGTTAGAGGTTGGTTCGCCTATTGCAAAGTAATCATCTACAGCTACTTTATTGAATGAAAGCCATCACACATTGCTCATCTGTGAAGAACTGTTATAAGATTTCTTTTTCAAATGGACCGATTCGTGGATAATTTTACCAATTGCGATGGAAAGACGTAGTATAACCATTAGATCATTGATGTTTAATAGTTCGAGCTTTTGTTGGTTAACATGTGTGTACTTGCCGTCAATGTACACTAATGTCACTGCCAAAATCACAATTTGAGTGTTTCGTTGGCATTGATTGCTGATCGCCGACACATAGCGCCGCATGTAGCCGCACATAACACCCTGGAAAGCCTCATTTAGCCTGATATACCTTTCATTGACAATAATGTCACAGCCTGGGGCTTTTGGAATGAGTTTCATCGTTCATGTTGTTGTTTCGGCCGAATCCATGTCTTGTCCCCTGTCGCTTCCCCATGCCACCCACCTTGTTGCCTGCATGCACATCGCTGACCCGAGATATGTCCATTTAGCCTAAAGTACATCGCTTCTATGCCAGGACGAACACCTGTTGAAAGATTGGAAGAATAATGATCCAACATCATGCACCTGATTGTGGGGATCTGCAAGAGATTGTAATGTTAGCTTTGAAATGAATGACCAGGTACTTGTCGGCATGTGATCATACATTTCGGTTTCGTATCTTAGAGGAATTGGTGGAAAAACAACGTGCAGAAGGTATGGGCACATCTTTTCTTTCAACATGGCTTGCGGTGACAAGCAAAAGGCTCACGCAGGTCAAAAGTCCATTTTGGATGTACTAGTGAATATCACACAGTATTCACAACAGTCCCCAATACGAGAGCTTCTGTCGAGGTTCTCCAGTTCTCCTTTTACTAGCCTCTCACGGTCGTGGGGAAGCGAAGCCGGCAAATAGAACATACGTCATTGTAGGAAACTTACATCTTTAATGGCGACGACTGTTTGTTTTCAAAGTTGACTATAATTATTCATACATAGCTAAGAGCAGAGGAAATCAGTCATGCTACGGTAACCAATGTTGTAAAAAGAATCCTCTCGCTGCATCACACAATGCGACACAAAAGTGGACAGGTATTGTTTCAATTCGAATCTACTACAATGAGACCCACCACAGTATGATCATAGTAACAGATTCTCGAACTTCTTACCAACGAGTAGGAGTGATGTGGTAGCTTAATACAATTCCCGAGTTTTCCTGGAAGAAAACTATGCCTTGACAATACTATTATGTGCTTTACATTCGAACTATTGTGCTGAATCCCACAATACTACAATGCAGCGCCTGAAGCCTTGATATCTTTGGTGTTTGAAGTCCACTACTCGATGGTAAAGTCTTTGAACGTAACAGTGCCCGATGTGCCTGAAGCGTATATCCCGTAAACCGTACCTGAGAATTGTCATTTCCGACTCTTCGTCCAAGCACAAAGAGAGGAGCTCACCTGTGAAGTCGTCGCCACTCAAATCTGCTGCATTCACAGTGCCAACATTGGCCTCGCCTTGCCAACATTCGTTTTGAAGCAGTTCGTAAGAGAAGTTGTATGTATCCGCGGTAGACTTGATGATCAGCTTAATAGAACTACAACCAACGATAGATGTGCTGTTGACGAAAGCAAATTTCTGGTTTTGGTGTACCAGGGCAAGAGACAGCTGGCCATTACTGTTCACATCGAGTGACACGTGGCGGTAAGTGTCCTTGTAAAGAGACAAACCGCAGTGGCCGTCCTCCGGTAAACTCTGCAAGTCAAGCACAGCTGAAGCACTCGATTTCAAGGAAACTTGTCTGCGGCCCACAAAGGTAGGAGAGCCATCGGCACAACCAAGTTCCGCTGGTGTTGCTCTGAGACAGAGTGTGTTGTCCTCTAATCCCTGACTGACAGTCTGGAGGTTAGGGGTTCGCAAAAACAGGGTATGAGGGCATTCAAATGTGACCTTCCGCGGCGCCTGAGTTGGTTGACCGGCCAGGAGGTCTTGGTTACAATGTCTTGAGTCCACAATTTGCTCAAGTTCAACATGTTCTAGCACTGGAAAAGCGCCTTTCGGCCACACTGCCGGAACCAGGTACGTTTCACGTCCCAAAGGGTAAGCGCTACCGTACTCACGACGTGCTAGCATTGCACACCACCACTCATCATTGGCATCGGTGAAGAGATCACCGTGGCCGACGCATTGGATAGGGTGACCTGGACCCTGAGTTGTCAGAACCGGGTTTCCTTGGTATGACTCGTAAGGGCCCCAGACGTTGTCGGAGCAGGCCATTGTGATTTTATGGGAACGATGAGTACCGCCTTCAGCAATGAGCAGCCAGTAGCTCCCATCCAGCTTGTACAGGTGCGGGCCCTCAGGAACTTTATCTCCGGAGCCAGCCCAGATGTCTCTCAGATCTGACAAGTATTTTCCCGTCGAGAGATCGATCTCAGCTTGACGAATGACTGTTGCTGGCTTTTTGCGATAGCCATGGATCCAGCTTCCTTGCATGAATACCTTGCCATCATCATCGAAGAAAAGGCTCGGATCGATGCCGTGAAAGTCGAAATAGATCGGATCGCTGAACGAAGTCGGTTCTGTGAGGTCTTTGCATGTGATGATGAAATTCTCGGGTGCAAAATCTTCTGTGGAAAACATGCCTGATCGGCCTTTTAGATTTGTACAAACGATGTAAAATATCCCATCATGATGTCGGATTGTAGGGGCGTATAATCCGGCAGTAAAATATTCCCCAAACTCCGGCCGGTTGATTTTAGTAACTGCATAGCTTAAATCCAGCTGCGTCGTTCTACAGATAGCATGGCCTTGAGGTTGTGCATCAGTATTGGGGTTGTAAAGCCGTGATACTTCGATGGTGACTCACCAATCAATTCCCAGTGCACAAGGTCCGTCGACCTGTGAATGGGGAGACCAGGAAATATCTGGAAGCTCGAATTGATCATGTAAAATATCTCTCCTACCCGTACGACGGATGGGTCAGGGTAGAAACCTGGGAGAATCGGGTTTTGGAAGCTCATAGATTTGGACATGGTTGCTATTTTCACAAATCACCTTCAATTCTCTGCCGAAATGTGCTGAAGTGACAGATAAAAGAATTTTCTCAGTTTCCTTTTACTTGCTTGAGAAACTTGACTTAGAATTTTGGTTGTAATATACTGTCGAATACACTATTAGAAAAGCGTCAACCATGCATTCAAGAGCTCGATTTCGGACTTGCAAGCTATTGGAGGTTTTGAGCAGGGGCTCTTGAAATTTTTGGCGCCCCCGCAGTATATGCGTTGTCGATCATTGGCAACAGGGATATTTTGCCTGAATTCAAATACTCCAAAAGACAGTAATGTCGTCGCCGCATTTATAACATGGCACAAGTGTTTCGATTTGCTGGTGGTACGTTGACTTGCCTGCCTATCTGGGCTAGCAATTGACACCCAATGCCAACGGATTAAAGATTGGCTGAAAGTCGGCCAGTGCTAGTATTTATGTCCGCCATCATCGCCAGATTACTCAATAGGAACTTAATTTTGTAAAACTGAAGGTTGTCGGTCTGTGACTAACATGAGTAGTTGATGGGCATAAACAGTACGCAAAGAAACATAAAAAAGCTATTCATTACCAATATCTAGCAAGAAGAGGATGTAGAATTATAAATTTGTGTTGGAATAATACTACTAGCATGACCGTAGTTAAGGATGGCAGGGTCTCTCGTACGATAGGGGTAGTTGTCGTTTCACCACTTAGTTAGCACTTACAAGAATCATCGCGGAATTAACAAAATTCCTTTGATCAACCCGTACGTTGGAACGTGTATCGCCATATGGCTAAAGGCAATTCAACAGTTTGAGAAATTGCCGGAGGGGGAGTGGCGTTGAACGATGTTAGAGTGACCCTCTTTTAGGAAAGAAAAACAGGGACCTCATATAAAGAAGCACCTACGTTGTAAACTGGGCCTCTATATAGATTTCCATAGAATTACTGCTATTCAAAGTACTCATAGCCACCAGAAAACCCACCTCGGTTGAGTATCGAGTTCACATCTTCTATTGTTTGGCTGGAAAGGGCTCAAGGTCACATATCTCGGTGCAGGCAGTCTGTATCCAAATGAAATAAATGGCTTCTTTCATAGAGAAGTGCGTGGCTCATCCTAGAGTCGGAAGGATACCGATTAATTCAAAGCTTTTAACATCCTGAAAGTCCAACTCTTCCCTCCAACAAAGGGAAAGAAAGGTCATTGCAAAGACCGCAAAACCAGTAAATATGTGCAAAGTGAAAGACTGGCCTTCGTAATTTACAAAGAGCATCATAAAGAAATACACAAAATCAACAATGCACAAGCTTTCGAAGCCTGCGAGAACACCAAGGAATATAGAGACCGAAACAACCGCTCAAGGTCGTAAAGCCGGAAAAGAGAAACATATATTAGCCGCAAAAGTCAAACAGTACTGAGGGTGTGTGAGCGTCAGTAATGCCAGTAAGTAGTTGAACTGTGACACTAGGGTCACGCTGAGGGAGGTACCGTAGCTGTGCTGTCATCCACAGTGTCAATCTGGGAAATGTAGGGCTTTGGCCTCACAATGACATTGTTGACTCGTGAACCTTCGTCATGGACGTAGTGAGACGACTTTTTGAATTTAATTGCCCAAGGAGATTCCTGTCGCGAACTTTCTCGCCTGCTAGTGCGCAGCCGTTGCTTGAGGTACTCCCCGCTGATGTAAACCAACTACATCTTTCATGCCACCAGCCGAAGTATTTAGGGTACATGATTAGACAATCAAAATAGATTGACTGAGCATTTTGGCTTCATCTCAAAGATATGTATAAACGTAGACTTAAATTTATGCGTGAATCGACTGAATAGTCTTCTATTCCACCTTTGACCATTGACATTTTTGAAGACACAATACAATATCAAGAACAAACATCCATACGGCCAAGCTTTGGACCAAGGTTTGTGTGGGTGGCAGGCCTCGCCGGCCCGTCACGTGGGCTGACGGCCGCCACCACTGGTCTTAGCCAGCCTCCACAGCCCTCTAGTTAGCTAGTTAGTTCTTCCACCAACAACACCACTTCTACTGAGCGATTCTGTGCCGGTTCCATCCCACAGTTTGTGTATCTGTGAGACTAGTTGGATTCACATATAACACGAAGTTGAGCAGCCTTTTAAAGCGTATTGGAATTTTACTCCATCATATCAACAACTTCATCTGGCCTGCGATGACGCCGATACCTCATTCGCCCTCGGCTACCTTACTACTCATACTAACCGAAAGAAATATATCCCGAGGGTTTGTGTTGTAACATCCAATCTATCATCTCCGCCAGCTTACATAAGACTAGGCTCATATTGCAATTGTTTACCAGTAAGAGCATGAAGGGCTTGTGCCAACTTGCAAAATTGTCTTGGTTAGTAATAATTTGTCAGCCCCATGCATAGACTCAGAAGTCAACGGAGAAATAATAACTTGACCAATAACGCTGACAAACAACTTAGTCCCTGGCGGACAGTAGGGGTAGACAAGTATAGGTTGTGATTGTCTCGGTTAGTCGGCTTCTAGAGGAAAGGTCATAGTCTGTAACGATAACTCGTGATTTCTCAATTAGGTTTGATGCGCACGGCTACGCTGTGAAGAGCCAATGATTAAGTAGCATCTGTTCGCTGTTTGAGTTTATGCCCGCTCACGGGTAGACGGATCAATCGTCCCCACAGGTCTTGGCTTTCCAGGGTTTTGTTCGGTAATTTATTTGGATCTTGGCTCCTCGACTATCGGACAGGCTCAGGGATGGGCTTCAAGACCGCCAATCACCATGGTTGATGACGGTGACTTTAAACTTTAGGTACGCGTATATTTTGGAACAGTTCATGAACCTTGTCAACTTGCGCTCGGCGACTGCCGATTAACCCGGTGCCGTGAGGTTATGCCCCAATTCCTTAGGCGAGACCAGTGATGCCACTTCGTTAACAAGATATCGGAAAGGCACCGGGGATTGTTAGGCAAGACAGCCATCCGTTCGCCCGCAAATTGCGCAATGTTTGATATTATCTGATTCTCAGCCTGCTCATCAACAAGAGCTCGATCGATTCCAGTGTACCGTATCTTGAGTTTAACAGGAGAGTTATCCCCATGCTGCCACATGTGCAGGTTGCAATAAGTGGCTGGCGCTATAGATCTAGCGCAGTATGTGGGAGGGGTTATGTGGCCAAACATACAGTTCTGGTACGTGGATTTACCTCTGTTCAGGAACGTGGTGGGGTTATGGATTACCCCGGGGGAATAGCTCCACATACCCCCCTTCACCATTAGAATAACGTGTTGGGCACAACGATTCCCCCGCCATTGATCGACCGCACGAAGGGAGATTCCCTTTTTCGTCTATCGTCAATCAAATGAGTTAATTAAACCCCTTGAATTGCGCCTAGATGGCAACTAATCTACTCCGTACATCTGCTCATTCGAGGAAGAATGACTTTACATTCCGTCTCGGTAAATGGCACTCGCGGCATGGGCCCCGTTCTATCAACTATATAGGTGTAAAGTCTACACGCACCTTGAATTACATTGAGAGAGGTAACCCATCTTCGCATCGTACTTTTGACACACTCTTTTGAACATCATCGTCTTATATAATATGAAGTTCTCGGTTTTCCAGACGGCTGTGGCGGCTGTTACTGTTATTTCAGCCGATGCCAAACTTCTGATTTGCTCCGATAGTACAACCGCAAACTATGCTGCAGACTCGGTTCTCCAGGGGTAAGCAACTTGCCTAGTAACAATCAACTTAGAAAACTTGACTTACTGGCTTGCAGGTGGGGCTATTACATCGGAGACTACTTGAGTATTCCGGTTAGCAACCTCGCAAAAAATGGTCGCTCCACTCGTTCGTTTATCAACGAAGGACTTTGGGATACACTTTTGAAGAATACAGTGGCAGGTGACTTCGTTGTTATTGAGATGGGGCACAACGATGATGGCGACCCTCGCACAGACACCAAGGACCGCTTCACCCTACCCGGCATCGGCAACGACTCTGTCCAAGTCACGACCTCGACAGGTACAAAGGAGACGGTGCATTCTTTTGGCTTCTATCTTCGCAAGATGATCGCCGATGTTCAAGCGAAGAAGGGCATCCCTGTTTTATCTGGCATGGTCAATCGCAACTACTGGTCCGGCAACAAGTTGCAGTCTAACTGGGCCTTTGCGACATATGCCGAGCAGGTTGCGCAGCAAGAAGGCGTCGCTTATGTCGACCACACTAAGTACTCAGTTGCGACCTTTCAGGCCATGGGACAAACCAAAGCGACGACTTACTATCCCAATGACAAGACACACACAAACTGGGAAGGCGCTAGGATTAATGCGCAGACCTTTGTTCAGGCCCTCAAGTGTGGATCTGGTGGTGGTGGTCTCAAGGGCCAGTTGAACGCAGCCGGTCGGTCAGTATCGGTGACGGCCTGCTAATGGTACCAATCTCCGGTTTCAATGCGAGTCACAACTTACCGATAAACCGATGATCGAGATAATACTATAAGAGATTATTGGCAGTCACCTGGAAATTGAGGGTAACCGACGATGGAATAGGCCTAAATTGAAGGCATTGTATATTGTAGCTCTGTTAGGACCACTAACCTTGACCATTTTACCCATATTTTCGGCTGAGATACATCCAAATATCTCACACGCTCATCCCGGTCGACTGTGGATTTCCGCAAAGTGAAGAACGTTTGCTACGCTTCTTCAGCCTTGTTACGGATGCTCAGAGATATCTTACTACCAAAAGGCACCTCAAAGTCCCACCGAAGTGAACGCCTTATGAACATCCGGTTTTACTCATGTCTTCCAAAATGGAGATTTGCCAAAGCGATTTTGTCGTGCTTCAAGTAGCGAGGGGCGTTGTCCGAAAAGGCCAATTTATATCTAACAGCCATGCCCATTAACTGATAGTCAAAATACAAGTCTCTGCATCAGTAAAACATTCTTACAGTGACAAAATTAAAGCAATAGGTAAAAGAGTTATTAATACCAATACCTGTGTCTTACCGTGGTCGATCGTCTTGAGTCTATGTACACTAACATCAACACTAGCTACCTATAACAATGTCACTTCTGAAACTGAAATTTCTGTTACATCCTCGCTAATGCGACAAGATATTGAATGAATTCGTCAAGTCTTAGGAGCTATGGGTGATTAGGCATTAAAATTATACATTTCACCATAAAAACTAAGTCTAAGTACGAATCCTGTTCGTTATACCAACTAACTTCCGAGCTTCCAGACATATCCATAGGCATTCAATGCTCAGTCCGCTTCATATGAGCAATGTCTGGGAGTTATTCAGCCGTATTGCTTTCGGTTTAATAAGATGAGTGTAGGATACTGCCTAGGACTTCAGCAAGGTAACGCTGCCGGTATTCAAAATGCTGTGGCCCGTCCTTTCTTATCGTTTCGGTCATGACCTCTATTATCTTCGCGTGAAACTCTTTAGGTAGTTGAAGTAGGTACCTTGCCTCTATGGTGATGTCCTTCGCTTCGTGATCCGCAAGAACATCAGAAATTGCCCCATCTTGCATAAGACGAACACAAAGATTCTCTAGGAGATCATTGACAGTAATAAAGTGGAGAACAGCTTCCAGCGATGTCCCTTCAGGTACCATCTTATGAAGTGGTAACGATTGATCTTTGATAAGTCTGGACTTAACGTTAGATAGTTCCAGCTCGCGAATGACTGTGTCTTCGGTCAAATTAGACGGTTCGCCGACAGGAGGCCTGTCATAAGATACCGTACGACGAAGCCAAGAATTGTAGAACATCGAGGACAATATGACTGGAATTAGAGCAACGTAGCCTTGCCATCTCGTAGCCGTGACCATAGACGCTGCGCCGCCCACTAAGCTGCTCACACCGCTGGCCACGGTGTAGATATGCACATTGCGGGTTCGTCTTCCAACGAGGTTCTTGGCTTGACCATCTTGAAAGCGAAGATGGGAAACCGCAAGATTTCGATGCTCGTAGGCTCGGAGAAAAACGTATGTGGACCACACAACGTTGACACAGCCGTAAAGTGCTATGGGCCCATTGCCAATATAACCAGACAGCAGATTGCTGGCAAACCATATACGGTGATTGGCCCCGCCAATCGCCATATATGTTCCGATACTAATAAGAAAAGCACCGAAGCCGCTGCAGATGTCGAGTCCAAACCGATTCATTATCTCGCTACCGAGTTCCCGAAAGTTGAGGTCTAATAGTGTATCGATGAAGATGACTGATTGGCCTCTCCTAATGCGTTCCGATTTCTCCTCCTTGAGCACTCTCCGCTCTTGGCGCAGATAGCAAACATTATCCCAGCTAAGTAGCGTATCCTTAAGAGCCAGAATCGAAATAACCAAGGCCAATGTTCCTCCAAGAGCCATAAAAACTATGGCATAGATTGGGACAGGAATTTGGTTCCACACATTTGCGGCAAAGTCTCCAGCGTTGGCGAGTTCAAGAAGTCCCATGGTGCTTAGTAGACTGTTTCGCAATCTGCCCGCTTTCAAAGGCATCCATTTGGCACGGCGCCGGATCAAGCTAACGTGATCCGAGTTGTATATTCTCGAGTTGTTGACGGTAAAGCTGCTCCCGCCTGACGCCTGAAAAGGCTCTTGAGCCACATCAGATGTAGCCGTATCGGTATCTTCATGATTTGCGGCCTCGACTGTAACATCTGTATGGCCAACGGCAGCCGAGGGTGTTTTCGGGGTTTCCATCGTTTATGAGAGTCAGGAAGGTGGTTTCAATCAGGTAGGAAAGTCTATAAGCACTACTTCAGAATGCAACTGCAAGGGTACAATGGTGAAGGTTGAAATTTGCTGAGATCAGTTATTGGAGGCGTGCAGAACAAGACAACACCCCATGAAGCGGGAGAAAGGGCCCCAGGGTGAAAGCAGCAGCACCTAACATTTCGAGCGCTGGAAAAGAGAGAGAGCAACGTAAATGGTTCCATAAGAGCAGAATCTATGGGGTAGCTGACGTGAAATATTACTGTGAGGCCCAGACACTCGGCCCGAAAAAATGGGCCTGATTCTGTTAGTGCCACACAACTGAGACGGCGATCGGAGGTCCATGGCCGGTGAAATTGAATTACGGATGTCGGCACGGGAGGCAAAATTGAGATCGCCTCTAAAAATAGTCCGTCCCATAAAACTAATCACTTGTAGGGCTGTATCGGTCTCCTAGGAACCCGGGCTGCCCACGCGATTTTAGGTCTATCTACAGTCAAACCCGAAAAACTTAAATTACCTAGAGAACTAGAGATTGAACGCCGTAAAGCATCAAAGATTGCTCTAGTACCATAGTTTACACAGTCAGACCTTTAACAAGTACCTGATCAGTCAATAAATGTATATATATCACTACTAATGCACAAGTGAGTTTATACGGTCGGCCTGATGAGGACATGAGAAACAGGCCCCGTTTAGATCTTAAGGTGACTCATAGCGACTGGACCTTCTTCCTTCTAAACACTAGCACAATGAGATGATGCATCAGTATTGAATGCTACAATTCCGTTATCAACACTATTGTACCTCGAACCTCCTGCTATCTGGGTAGGGACAATAAGTGAAAACATTACCTAGTATTAATGATGTCACCGCCATCTTAGCTACTCGGTTATGACGCCTATGATTGTCTCGAAAGAGCGACGGTGGTCTTCTGGTTTCGTTAAAATTTTCTATCGTTCGGGTACAGCAATGACCTTCTGGAGCAGGTACCTACTACTTGCGTCACCGCCAGAGCGTATTGACAACACAGAAATGTTTATCAGTACACTAAACTGTTGGCTATGAGAGATCTAAGTCACCAACCACCTCCCTTCTGACTGGCTTTCTCACGCTACATGGTGGCATTTCTAACCATTCAGAACTGGATTCGATATGGTAGCAAAGTCAGAAGGACTTACATGTATGATATCATGCGGCAATGTCCATATTTATATCTGCTACCACAACCTGAAATCAGGATCGCATCGTCACCGCTCACTGGAAAAGGGTCTTTCGGATTTCAAATGTCCGATAAAGAGCAGGAAAACTTGCTGAACATGCGAGCCGGATAAGAAACTTGGCCTGACGAGATTTCCACACCAAAAGGAAAGAAAAGAGTAACACTCTGCTGCCTAGCTTTCAGCAGCCTCGTATTTAAGCCAATCCTCTTGCAAGAACGTGCCATTGTGGCGAGTGTGTTTGAATTGCCTCGTGTTCTTTATATCGCTCAATTTCTAACTCCGAAATAGTGTATCGGGATTTGGTTTACCGTTGGTGGTTGGTGGTCAGGCTGTAGACTTCATATCTTTGTCTCGCATCTACTATGCAAACTTATACACTCAGATCGGATCAACAACAACTCTGTATACATTGCAGGTCAATGTAGCATGCAAGGGACTATACTAATTATGCATCGATAGCAACTCACTCAAAAATGGATTTGTTGATTATCTATCAGAAAATAGTTCGGGTTCATACGCTAACCGAAAATGGCTTTTCCATGGTTATGATACGTCAATAAGCTATGCAAGGGCCCGCCCGCATTTACACTCAGTAAGAACCACCTACGCCCAAACCAAAGCCGGAGACAAATGATTATATATCAAAAAATGATTCGGTAATGCATGCTGTGGGAGTTTATCCAATCAGTGCAAGTCGGAGTGGACGTTCCCCTCTTATTACTAGTACCTAGGTAGTTCCAGTTAAGCTCAGGATGCAGGTATAGTCTTACAAGTTGACTTGACTGTAGCAACCTTCCCGATTTGGAGTATTCAGTAGAAACTGATTACAAAACCTAAATTTCAGAACCTCTTTGGCTTTCCATTGCGGTGATGACGATGCAATTCCCACCCAACCCTTTTTGCCTCTCTAATCAAAGACCAAACCCCGATAGATCCCGAACAGAGGCCGGAAAGCACAACTCTGAACAAAGTCTTGATTCTACTGTAAACTGGCTGCAGGCCAATCATGATGTCTCGAAAATCCAGGTTAGGTGGAACTAGCAGTCTTATGAGGAATAGAACATTCAATGCAATGCGTGGATATGACGTGGAGATGGAAAGACATCATAGTTTGCCTCAACCCAACTCTTATAAATACGAGAAGCATGCCCACGATTTCAGAGACTATTTCCACATCACCATCGCCATCAACTCAGAAACACTCAGAAACAAAGCCTAGCTATACCTTCAACGCTCCTCTTCAAACTATTCAGTACGCTATCATCTCCATTCTGCTTACAGAGTGACCATCCTGACAGCTGTGTGCTAGAAATGATGCTGTCTGCTGCTTCTCTTGTGACAGTTTTGGTTGCGCTGACTTCAAGCGCTTCCGCCACTGTCTTCACTGGAACTCGAACTGCCACTGATGGATCTAAGTCCAACGTCGCCTGGTAAGTGCCCAATGTATTCCGTTGGACCTTTCAATACCGTAGGAACGTCAGCGAAGAAATCAAAGAAGTGGCAGAACAGAGATTTCTACCACAGAGACAATGTGCGCCAATACTGACTGCGAGGCTCTTTCAGGACCAATGGCACTCCCGACATCTGTTCGGGATACGGCACTATCCAGCAAGGAACCGGCAACCCCTGCGGTATCAACTTTTGGGTCGACGGCGGCAACGGGCCATTCACCCTTTCTGGCTGCGGCGGCAACGGACTTACCCTGTTCCGCAATGGCCAGTTCAACTCAAACTGCAAGTCGGAGAAGAGGACTATCAACTGCTCTGGTGGGGTTAAGATTGCCCAGAACTGGGCGTGCTACTAGTGTTTGACTGTAGCAAAATTTCGGTAGTACCACCAGGCAAAGTGCCAATGGTATATTAGACTATTAGTGTTATGTTCTTGCGGTTGTTATATGCTATCACGCCTACTATTCAACATACTCTGGACTGGTAACATATAGGGAACCAAGTTGTCTAACTCAATACACTCTTTTTACATATCAACATAATCATCCATACAGTTGCCATGACTAGTTGAATCGTGAATTAGTCACGCTGTTAAAAGAGCCTAGGTAACTTTGCAAACAGCTGTGCTTTCCAGTGTGGGTTGAGCAGCAGATAAACATAAGTCTCTTTTATGAATCTGATTGGCTCAGAAGACACAAGCTATGAGGCTTCAATTTACGATGCTGACAGTCTATCTTACACCACCCGAATCTTCACAGATTCCCTTATAAGCGTTACGTCTGGAAAAACATTATACCTTTCTTTGAGGCTCTCCAGTTCGAAAACCGGGAATGGGTGTAGCTCTTTCACAGTAAAACTTAACAGGTTAAAGCGGTCTTAAATATGTGCCCTTACGTATTTGTATGAAGATCCCTTCTCGTTTCTCCGTTCCCTCACTCATACTTTTCACGCTCTTCTATGCTATGGTCTATTGTCAGGCAGCATAAAGCCTACCTAAAAATCGTTCACAGTAAGACACAATCTCTTATGGATTTCTTCGAAAATATTACCTCTGGTAAGGGCAACTGAACCTATTAGCTTCGTCCTTCTGGTACTTGATCGTGTCTTTGATGTGTTCTAAGCACGTAGGGATCCTGGATTCCTTCTACTAGGGAATCATTACACTATTGTGAGGTTTGGCTGGTCTTGATGCCGTCATTTCACTCGTGAACCTGCACCTGTGCTCAGGTAGCACTCAATAATTGGCACTCCATCACCCAGACGCAATGCAATTAACGTCCCACACCCACTTCTGGGCACCCCCCACATTTGGGCACCCCATTTACACCAAAAACGCCGTTTTTCGAAATTCTATATTAAACTAAATACTTTACTTATTAAAGAGAATAAATATATATTAAATAGATTAAGACTTAATTATAATACTTAAGTAGCTATATACTAGTATTATTGATAATAAGTATTATAAATTCAAGGTTTAACATTTATAATACTAATTTACCTAGCCTATATCTTAATATATAAAATAGGTAGAGATATTTAACTAATATGATTAGAATTTTTAAGTAAGATATAGTAGATTTATATATTCTTATACTTAGTAAAAAATTCTTTAAGCTTAGAATAATATTTTAAAATTTCCCTTAAGAAAAGTTTCTATTATAGAATTTTAACCCTTAATTATACTATATTTACTAAAGTAATACTTTTAAATCTCTTTTAGATATAATTATATACTTTTAATAAGTATAAATATTAATTTCCTAGATTTTTTAAATAAGTATATATAAGCGAAAATATATTTTTCTAATGTTAAGGAATACTAGTAAGTTACTAGTATCTACTAACATTTTAAAGCTTTTAGTTTTAAACTTCTATATTATAACTATTATTATATTTAAACCTTTATAAAAAATTAGATGGCTATAATTATACTTAACATAGTTTATATATATTTTCTTTTCTTAGTAAGTATAGTAGTTAGTTTAATATAGAATTTCGAAAAACGGCGTTTTTGGTGTAAATGGGTGTTACGACCCGTTGGACATGGTCGCCAACACGACCCCGCCTGGATCCCGGCGGCTAACGCAGGGCATATGTAACCCAGCCGGACAGGTGTAACCAGGGATCCTCGGAACGGAAGAACTATGGACAAGTCACGTGGCCTCGGGGATAACGCGGGGTAAGGACAACCCGGGCTGGATATGTTGGATATGTCAGATATCCAACCGATCCCCGGATATGTTGGATATGTCAAATATCCAACATAGCCAAGATAAGGAGGACCGTTCAGGACTTGTATATAGGATGGACTCGAGCCGGGCTCGAGGACAGACTTCCATAGCTCTTCAGCAATCAACTTTGTGATTACCCTAACCGGTACTTTCAGCTATACCTAAGTGACGACTACTCTACGACTCTTGTTGAGGCCTTGACTGATCACCAAGACCTTTGAAGATCTACGATCATTCGACCAGACCACGGAACGACTGTTACTACTCTCAATCCCTGGCTTACTGTTAACACAAACCCACTGTCAGTTAGCTAGCCGTAACACTTTGATTGCTCCTGTTTAGTAAGTCACCTTTTGAGAACTATTAAACAGTATAGACAAGATGTCTTCTCGCGCTTCTGCCAAATCACCTACTCCAGGATCCTCATCCTCTTCGCGCAACCAGCCTCAGAGCCTCGCGCAGGAGCCCGCCAACACTAAGGACTTCGACATGCCGGACCTCAAGTACGACTCCGATGGAGATGGCTCTTTCACCAAGGAAAGCTACGATAAGCTCCGACGCATAATCCAGAAACAAGAAGCCGAGACAAAAGACATGCAGAAAATCGTCAACGAAAACCGACAAGCAATAGAAAACCTCAACAAGCAACTCCAGCACGCTAGACAGGCCTACAAGAAGCTGGAAGAAGACATCAAGGGGGACGCCAACCTCCGGAAGATCCAGGAACTCCAGGGGGAAATCACCACCCTCCGGGCCGCCGCCAACATCGTCACCACGCCCGTCCACGGAGGACGACAAAAGCTCAAGCTCAGTACGCCTGTCACCTACGACGGAACCCCCGGGACCCTCAAAGGATTCCTGATTCAGGTCAAAAACTACCAGAACTTTCACCATAGAGATTTCACCAACGAAACCGAAAAAGTAGTACACGCAGCCACCTACCTCCGAGGAAAGGCCCTCAAGTAGTTTAAACCAATCCAGGAAGAATACCTCAAATGCGAGACCCTCGACGAGTATACCACCGAGACCCGCGACATCTACGCCAATTTTAAAGGATTCGAGGATACGCTCAGGTCACTCTTCCAAGACCCCGACGAAAAGCGACAAGCCGAACGAGATCTAGCACAACTTAAGCAGACTAAGTCCGCCAAAGACTACTCCGCTAATTTCCGACAACTTAGCGTTCAACTCGACCTCACCGAGGAAACCAAGATCTTTATGTTCTATCAAGGACTAAAGGACGAAGTCAAGGACGAGATCATCAAGATTGATCGACCTGACGACTTTCTCTAGTACGCCGAACTCGCCATCAAAATCGACAACCGGCTTTTCGAACGACGAAAGGAAAGAGGCGAAAAACGACAAAACCCCAACTCAGGACGCAAGTACCAGTGGCAGCCTCAGCACCAGTTCAACAACCAGCGAAACGACAATAGACCCCGCAACAACTAGAATAACCCCCGACAAAGTACTGCCTATAGTCACCATAGTAGACTAATAGACCTTAGTGCTATACAGAGAAACGACAAAAAGAACGACAGTTAGAAGAAAGACAGACAGTACTATAACTGCTAGAAGATTGGACACCTAGCATACGAATGCAGGTCACCTAAGAAGGAACGCTTCCAACCGGTACTAGAGAAACGACAAGCAAGTATCGCTACGAAGACGATCCCTCATAAACAACTTAACTGGACTACCTGCTTCGATGACAACTGCCATATCCACTCTAGTAGTAAGGAATACGCAGGATGGTACCCCCAGAAACCTCAAGAACGATCTGGTTACGACACCACCAACGTACCTAAACGGACCCTCGCTGCGGGATATAGAAGCAACAGCAAAATCGAGCGCAAGACAATCGAACGGCTCGACAGTATAAACGACAACGAGGAATTAGAACAAGACAATCAGCGAAGGCTGAGCCTCCTCTACGCAGGACGACAAGCCTACCTGCAGCGGATTCAACAGGACTCACAAAACCCTATATGGCAACGACAACTCGGTACGCTGGACGCATATATCGAACGACGACAACATGCACAAGGAGATCCCGCACGGATCCGCCAGATCAACCAAGAACTGGAAGAACAGGTCGAATCAGAAACGACCAAGAACACCCCTAACGACTCGGAAACACCTCGCGATGTTGCCCGCCAACATGCCTAACTAGAAGTCGCCTTTGAAGTCGCTTCAGTCGACGACACCAGCTCTGGAGAGGACTCTGACGAAGAAATACAGTGGTATTACTGCTACCAAGACCAGCGCCGAGTCCACTATATTAAGAAAGACGAAGCATAGAAGAAACAGCAAGAAAACGACGAACAAGGAACGGACGAGCAGTCAAAAAACTAGACTCGCCTACCGAAGACAAGGGACAACGACAGGCAGTCTAGACAAGGTCCCTATATAGCGCAACGACGCCCACGACACAACGACACGAGCATATACAAGTCTAAATACAGCTCAACGGAAGAACAGCTACCGCCATGATCGACAGCAGAGCCCAAGGAAACTTTATATCACTAAGAACGGTGAATGAAAGAAAGATAACCTAGAAAAGAAAAGCAGCCGAAGACTGCTACGAACTCAGCACCGTTAAAGGAGAACAAGTCTAGTACGGCGGAGGACGCATTGCTATGGAGACAGCGCAACTCCCTTTGCAGATCCATGGCCGGAATGAGCGACTGAACTTCGATATTACGGAGATAGGAGACAAGTACGATGTCATCCTTGGAAGACCATGGTTATACGATAGTAACCCACGGATAGATTGGAGAACAGGCTAACTCCATTAGGACTAGGATTTAGTCACTGAGAAGCAACTACGGAACGGTGCCTTAAACGAACCTCTTAAGACTCCTGAAGCAAAGAGATTTCTAGCATACCTACGGATCAAGGATGCAAACGCTAGGACGTTATCAGCAACAGACATCGGCAAGGAAGACCGACTTCTGTCTATCCCAGAAGAATACCGGCAATACCAGAAGCTATTCGCCGAAGAACTCGAGACCGGACTCCCGGAACATAGCAACTACGACCACGAGATACCCCTTAAGGAAGGGAAGGAGCCAAAGCTAGAAGCAATCTACGGACTCAACCAGAAAGAAATGGAAGCACTCGACGCTTACCTCGAAGAAAATCTACAGAAGGGATATATCAGACCCTCTACATCACCAGCAGGATACCCAATCCTGTTCGTACTAAAAAAGAACGGCAAACTACGACTCTGCGTCGACTACCGGAAACTCAACGACATTACGATCAAGAACTGCTACCCACTACCGCTCATCTCCGAACTACGAGATCTACTGCACGGAGCCCAGTGGTTTACAGCACTCGACCTAAAAGGAGCCTATAACCTGATCCGGATGAAATCAGGTGAAGAATGGAAGACAGCGTTTCGAACACGCCGAGGACATTACGAATACCTTGTGATGCCCTTCGGACTTACCAACGCACCCGCGACATTCCAGACGATGATCAACCACGTCTTACGAGAATTTCTAGATGTGTTCGTCGTAGTTTACCTCGACGACATCCTAATCTTCTCTAAGACTCTGAAAGACCACAAAAAACATATACACCAAGTACTACGGAAACTGCAAGACGCCAAACTCCTAGTGGAACCCGAGAAGAGCAAGTTTCACGCCAAAGAAGTCGAATTCCTAGGTTTTACGATAGCCCCAGGAATCCTCAAAATGTCCAAAGACAAAATCGCAGCAGTACGAGACTGGCCTACACTACAGAACGTTAAGGACGTACAATCCTTCATTGGATTTGTGAACTACTACCGACGATTTCTGGAAGGATACTCAGACAGAAACGACCCCCTCACGAGACTTTCGAGGAAAGACATCCCCTGGCAATGGGAAGAAGAACAGAAAAAAGCCTTCGACGAGATCAAACAACAAGTCACATCGGAACCAATACTCGTCATACCAAACCCCGAGAAACCATTCGAAGTCGAGACCGACTCCTCAGACTATGCCATAGGAGGACAACTAGGTTAACGAGACGAAGAAGGACAGCTACGACCTTGTGCCTTCTTCTCACGCAAACTACACGGCCCAGAACTCAATTACCAGATACACGACAAGGAACTCATGGCAATTATCGAAGCATTCAAAGAATGGAGACCGCAACTCTTAGGAACCAAGTACGAGGTCAAAGTATACACCGACCACAAGAATCTCGCATACTTCACCACATCGAAAGATCTTAACAAACGACAAATTCGATGGTCCGAATTCTTGTCAGAATTCAATTTCAGAATCGTCTACCGGAAAGGCAAAGAGAACGGCAGGGCCGACGCCCTCAGCCGAAGACCGGACCATGAGGTCTAGGTACCTAAGGAAACCCGAGTTATCCTCAAAGCAGACAAAAACGGAGACCTTGTGCCAGCAGCCAGACTCTTAATGATGGCCAGAAGAGACAGTACCAGCACGCCTGGAAGGATGTCTCCTGAAGCCATTAGGGAGATACACTCCGCACCCGCACACGGTCACCAAGGCGTAACTAAGACATGGAAACGCATCCGCCAACACTACGACAAAACGGCTACACGACAAGAAGTATCTTTAGCGATTAAGGACTGTAAGGTTTGTGCGAAAAGCAAACCCAGCCGACATCAGCCTTATGGAAAGATACAGCCGCTCCCAGTGCCGCAAACCGCATGGGAATCCATCTCGCTGGACTTCGTCACTAAGTTACCTAAGTCCCGTGAACCGATGACTAACGTCCACTACGACAGTGTCCTCGTCATCGTCGACAGACTCACAAAGTATTCGTACTTCATCCCGTATATAGAGTCTAGCACTGCAGAAGACCTCGCCTACAAGTTTCTACAGGTGATCGTAAGCCAACACGGAATGCCGAAGGAAATCGTATCCGACAGAGACAAGCTGTTTACTTCCAAGTTTTGGAGATCCCTGATCTCGCAGCTAGGATCCGACCACAAGATGTCCACCGCTTTCCATCCGCAAACCGATAGCCAGACAGAACGAATCAATCAGATCATGGAAACCTACCTATGCTGCTACGTCAACTATCAGCAAGACAACTAGGTTCAACTGCTACCTATAGCCTAGTTCGCCTACAACAGCGCAGTAGGAGAAAGTACAAAAGAATCACTATTCTATCTGAACTATGGATTTAACCCAACAGCCTACGGACAACCTCGACAAGGCCTAGCAGCTCTGAAAGCTGTGGCAGACATCAACAGACTTAAGGAGATCCAGCAGGAACTCCCCAGAGACCTCGAATTTGTGCGCGAACGCATGCGCAAATACGCTAACAAATCAAGAGTTGAGGGACCAACTCTAAAGGAGGGGGATAGTGTATACCTTCTCCGCCGCAACATCAAAACAAAACGACCAAGCGATAAGTTGGACTTCAAGAAACTTGGACCCTTTGAAATTACGAAGAAGGTATCTAACGTCAACTTTAAACTCGCACTACCCGACAGCATGAAGTGTCATCCAGTCTTTCACATTTCACTTCTCGAATTAGCACTAAAGGGATCGTATACTACGGACTATATCGAAGTAGATCCAGAATAAGAATACGAAGTCGAACGGATAATCGATCACATCGAAGAACAAAAAAGTATCCGCTACCTTGTCAAGTGGAAAGGATACGGACACGAAGACAACACATGGGAACCACCTCAGAGCCTCGAAAACGCACAGGAAGAACTCGGACGTTACTGGAGACAGCAAGAACAAGAACAACAAAGACAAGCACTAGTACGAATCGAAAAACAAACGCCAAAAAGTCAATTTCGACTACGACAACCACAACCCATCATCCGTCCACCACGATCAAACAAGCCACGGGATAAACACCCTCTCATTCGTTTAGGAACCCCAGAGCCACCTAAAGGAACCCACTAAGGGCCTCCAACACCCCCAGGAGACGCTTCAGGAGTACTCCGCCTCTCAACAACCGACCCTGAATCCAACAAACCAAACTCAGCCAACAAGGATGGCGACAAAGCGACATCCGGGTACAGGGTATCCCAATCCGCTGTGAACTCCACCGGCAGACGAGGCGAATCAGCCGAAGGACGAACCGGTTCTACCCGACGCTGCTCTGCCTCTGCCTCCTCTCTCTCAACACGCTCTAACTCCTCCATACTGTCGATACCACGGCGCACCGCGCGCATCATCTTTTCAAACTATATCTTTTTCTGCTTTCGAAGACGCTCTACTTTGGCGTCCAGAGCACGACGCTCCTCTTCTGCCTTCTCCAAAGCATCCTCAAGCTTCTGATGCTGATCACCAATCCGACGAAGTTGCTGGGCACTGAGACCCTGAAGGTCGCAGTAAGACTTGCCGCCACGAACGCATTCGGCGCATCGAGAGGAATCAGAAAGAGAAGCTTCGCACGACGAAAAACCCTTTACCTCACAGGAGGAACAAACAGGCATGACGGTACGATTGCCCAAGATAAGACTCAAGAGGGAATCGCGCTGCTTTGTCTTTTCCGCACGAGAATCGAACGATCGAACGACCTTTCGTTTTTTGACGCGACCTGACATGATGTGAGCATCATTAAAGGAAGCAAGTTGGGCGCCCTCCCACCTGAGGGCAGACGACCTACTTAAGCTGGTCTTGAGGACAAGACCCTTGGAGAGGAGACCTGATGTTACGACCCGTTGGACATGGTCGCCAACACGACCCCGCCTGGATCCCGGCGGCTAACGCAGGGCATATGTAACCCAGCCGGACAGGTGTAACCAGGGATCCTCGGAACGGAAGAACTATGGACAAGTCACGTGGCCTCGGGGATAACGCGGGGTAAGGACAACCCGGGCTGGATATGTTGGATATGTCAGATATCCAACCGATCCCCGGATATGTTGGATATGTCAAATATCCAACCGATCCCCGGATATGTTGGATATGTCAAATATCCAACATAGCCAAGATAAGGAGGACCGTTCAGGACTTGTATATAGGATGGACTCGAGCCGGGCTCGAGGACAGACTTCCATAGCTCTTCAGCAATCAACTTTGTGATTACCCTAACCGGTACTTTCAGCTATACCTAAGTGACGACTACTCTACGACTCTTGTTGAGGCCTTGACTGATCACCAAGACCTTTGAAGATCTACGATTCAATCGACCAGACCCCAGAACGACTGTTACTACTCTCAATCCCTGGCTTACTGTTAACACAAACCCACTGTCAGTTAGCTGGCCGTAACAATGGGGTGCCCAAATGTGGGGGGTGCCCAGAAGTGGGTGTGGGACGTTACGCCTGAAGACATAGATACCAAGTGGATGTCGCGTCAAAACCCTCTTGTATATGTAAGTAGCGTGAAGTTTCTGGTTGCATTACCTGAAATGTCAGAACAAACACTAAAAACTCCTTGACTTATCGCGATGGATTTCAGATGATTTGAGAGATAGGGCTATTGGGAAACCCCAACAGCAGTAACATCAAATATTACATCGACAGGGGTTGTGGCGCAATGGAAACCCAGCAACAACGTCATTTCCTCCACACCGAATTAAGTGACTATTCCATCCGTAATTAACAGCGATCGGTATGAATTAGGAAGATAAATTGATGCTGGAGGACGGCGCAGTCGTTGAAAAGATGTCACGTCGTGCCGATATCCGCTGACATACGAACTTGACCCCGCTGAAGGATCAACTTAACCAATAAGCCCTTGCCAGAACAAACTTCGTATCTATTTCGAGGGTTTAACCGTAATCTCACCGCATGCGTCCTCTCAAAAGTGCCAATTGGGCCTGTAATCAACGTTTCTGACCATGTGCGGGAGCAAAGCTTGATTCAGCCACCATACTGCCCGAGATGCTAGTCCCTGTTCAGCTTGCGGGATTGATGTTGCTCAACCCGCGCCAAGACCTCCATAATGTGTAAACATTCAGTGGCTGGCTGTACTTACATTTCAGTAGCATGCCGCTCAATGCCACCTAATCATACCCATGTGGTAGGGCGCTCTTGAGGTTGGTGAAACCATAAAACCCTGTGAAGAGCCTACGAAGAAATAAGAGCTTCAGCACACAGTATTGCATCTCGTTCATTCACAATACTTCAATTCCTACCTCGTTTACTCTCCCCTTAAGTTCTTATAATTTCAATCCAAGATGCTCGCCGCAGTGGTAAATACTTGGGATTCTGAGCCAAACTATACAACTGTCCCCGACCTCCCTGACCCTTCACCCACAGAAATTCGCCTTCGTGTCCTCGCGTCCGGTGTCCATCGTCTCGTCATCTCACGGGCCCGCGGCCGACACTACTCCGCTAAGACCTTACCCCACAACGCGGGGGTCGACGGCATCGGCGAAGATCCCAACACCGGCCAGCGTTACTACTTTTTTACTTTTGAATCCGGCTCCTTTGCAGAATTCGTCAACGTCGACCGTAAATTCATCACGACGCTCCCGGAGAATGCTGACCCCGTTGCCACTGCTGCCTTCGTCAATCCGGTTTCCAGTGCGTGGATGGCCTTTACTTCACGCGCAGCGCCCCAATTTCCAGGCTTTTCTGTAGCGATCCTTGGAGTCACGAGCACTAGTGGACGCGCTGCTGTAGACGTTGCCCGTGCGAAGGGCGCCGGCCGTATTATTGGTGTTGCTCGTAACGCTGCTGCACTGGCGGAGATACCTGTCGACGAGCGTATTGTGTTGAGCCCGGAGACGGATTGGTCTTCTTTGGGCGAGGTCGATGTTGTATTGGACTACATCTATGGCAGTACCGCAGTGAAGTTGTTTAGGGCACTGCCTGAGTCGGAAAAGGAGGTTCAATATGTCCATATCGGCGCTCTGGGCCTCGAAGGCGACATAACCGTTCCTGGGTCATACCTGCGGGGCAAAAAGCTTGCAATACGTGGCGTGGGACCGGGAAGTTGGACGATGGAAGAGTATGCAAGGGAAATCAGGGGAATGGTTGATGTGGCTACCCAAATAGAGCGGAAGAACATTTTCACAGCTCCTTTCAAGGATTTTGAGAAAACGTGGGCCAATGTTCGTATGGGTGGCGAAATCGATGTATTCATAAGCGACGACATTGCTTAAGGATGGTGAAGACAGCATCCGCATACGAGAAATGAGTTTGTGACTAGAAAAACTCTCGGTGTTTAGAAAAAGTTGAATATCACTTGTTTGTCGGATTTAACAACCATGACACGTTAGCTTGCATCGTCATGGCTTGTTTGCTATTTCCATAGTTTTAAAGTGAAGAATTGCATAAGCATTTCTACTTCTGTCATAGTCGAAAAGCTTTGCCGTGATTGACGGCGCATGCGAGAATGTCTCCCCTTGTGTAGACCTTTCTCATCCTCTCAACTAGCTTCTCGCATGTGTCATCGAGGAATCTAACTCTTACACAAGTTGTTTAACATTCGGCTTAACTTCTACTTTTTCATCTGCATCATAGATATCCTTAGGCTTATCCTCGAATACTATAGTCACAAAGGTCAGTACTATAACCACCACAACCAACGATGTAGTAACCGGACTGATAGGGTCAACCTACAATAGGCCAACTCTTCTAGAGTAGGACCCTTGGTTTCTGGGTAAAGGAAGTATATGGTCGTCGTCTCAACAACAAGCCAAACCTGCGGATTGTAAGAATGAAGTATAACTCGGCACACAGAGAGCAAGGCCTTACGCAGTAAAATAAGTAGAACTTCCAAGCAAGCGCATCAAGACCAATGGGGTTGACGAAGGCGTTAAAGGCGGTACTGCCTCGCACGAAAAACTGGAGAATGGCGATACCCTTTGCGCGGTGAACAAAAGGGAAGACCTCGGTGATGTAAACAAACAATAGTGGCTGCATGATATTGTATGATGCATTGTAGACGAAGATCATGGCTACAACTGCCACGGCTGCGGCGTGACCGCCACTGATAGCGTAATGGGCACTAACACCGGTAATAGTGGCAAAGACTGCAACCATGCAGCAAAAGGCTGTGAGATACTGGACACGGCGGCGTAGGACCCGGGTCAGGAAGGCGCAAGCACCTGAGGTGAGAAAACTCCAGCACTGGATGGGCATTAGTTTTGATCACGGATTCTGACACATCTCTGAGCGACACATACAGATAGGGAAAGATTAACGATATTCTGTGTGCGCTTGTCTGTAACACCGACCGTTGTAAGAACTCTAGCTAGATAGTAACTGAAAGAAATGATTATTAGTAATCCAGGTCTCGGTAGGCTAAGAGAGTAGGAGAAATTGTCCACCCGATTCGCAAAGGGACGTCGGACTTACGATACCAATCCATTGCCAGACCACTGAGAGAAAACGCCCATGCACATTGCAATAAGAACTCTCTTCCTATTGCCGGCTGATTGCAGAAGTTCAACCCAACGCCTCTTGGAGTTGTCCAGCTCCTGTCTCAACTGGGTGGATATTTCGATATACTCGGCGTGGACAAAAGCAGAGTCAGGGTCGCCCTCGCCATGATATTTAACCAGAACTGCCATGGCTTCTTCATTGCGTTCTTTGAATAGAAGCCATCTAGGAGACTCAGGAATGAACCAGACGAAGATGATCTGCAGGATAGAGGGAGCGCACTGCAATGCCGAGGGAATACGCCAGGCCCAGTTACTCTGCAAGTTGTAGGTTCCAAGTGTTACTCCAGCTGCTAGTATAGCACCAGCAAACCAGGAGACGTTAAAAAGACCAGAAATAACCGGGCGTTCGCGGGGATAGGTGAGTTCGGCAAGAAGCTGTGAGGCCCCAGAAACGGCAAAAGGGATACCGCAGCCAAGGAGTAAACGCGAAGCGAGGAACATGCCGACTAGAAAACAATGTTGTCAGCCTTGGTCAAATTTTTTGATGGCTATCAGTGAGTTTGGTATGTGTTTCGTACTATTGACAGAGCAAGTCTGTAAGATCGTGCCAATGATTAGAATGACCGAACCAAGTGTAATGCTATGTTTTCGGCCGATTCTATCAATCACCCAGGGAACGATGGGAAGAACAATCAATCCGCCAAGGTTATAAGATGCACTTGTGACTCCTAGAAGAGCTCCTTTGGGGTGTCCGAAGTCTGTAATTATGAATCATGAGCTTCATGCCAAAAGTAAGGTAGACACTCCAAGATTTGGAAACTGACGTTCTTGCCAGGCAGTCACAGCCTGCAAACCATTAAGAACTGAGCCGTCGTACCCAGTGGTCATTTCAACTCCAAGTGCTGCTGGTACAAGACAAAAGTAGAGGAAGCGGAGGTTGGGCTTTCGATACCAGGGCGTGGTGTCAAGGGCCATGAGCCGATTGACTTCGGACTGTTCAGCCACCACGGCGACATCTTCTTGCTTGGGCATTTCAACAACTTTTGGCTCGATGAATGTTTAATAAATGCGAACAAATACGCCGCCTGTCGAGCCCCCTCGTGCGCTCTTTAGGTCTGGGATATAGCTGGCTTTTATGTTGATTTGGTGGTGCGCATCATCATGCAGGCCTAACACCTCGTGCCGGGTTCCTGTGAGAATGCAAAGGACATTGCCCAAAACGAAACTGTGATCGGAGCCAACTAGCATAACGTCTGTCCAATAAGACCACAGTGGGAAGATTCAATAAAGAGAATTTCGCCATCAAGCAGAACCCGGGAAGTTGGGTCACGTTAAAGTCGTTCGTCTAGAGTGCGGGGAAGAGCCTCGTCGATAAGTCTAGCGGAGAGTCTAGTGAGGTCTTGCATGCGGGGAGCTCTAGAACCTCTTCGCTTCCAGGTCATCCACGTCGGAAAACTCGTCGGTTTTGGGTGGAGAAATATGCTTTCAGGGATTCTCCAATGCTTATGTATGGTTGAGGCCATTCCCTCCACCAACACCCATACTACGCCCGAAGGATTCAACTAGGAACTTATGGAGACTTATGGCTCGTGCGGTACGCGGATTAGACTGTAGTATTTCATCAAAAAGGATTGCATCCATGATGTCGCCTGGCGCATATCACGAGGGACACATCTTCCGACCTGAACTGCAGATTACCACATGCCCAACATGGTGGCTTTGACTTCCCCTCACAATGATCCCAACCCAGCAATTCCTGGGTTCAGTCCTGATCCATCCATCTGTGTCATCAACGGTGTCTTTTTCCTTGTAACATCCAGCTTCCATCTCTACCCCGGCCTTCCTGTCTACACATCTAAAGACTTGAAATCATGGAAGCTTCTTGGTAGGCGTTCCCCCAGTCCCCATCAGCCGCGGTCGTCTGCTAGTTCTAACTAATGCCCAACAAAAGGCCATGCTATTCATCGACATGACCAGCTTTCACTCAGGCATTCCGATACCGAACTGCCCACCTCGACCTCGGCTACCATTGCAACGGGAGGGTTATGGGCACCTACGATTCGACACAATGAAGGTACCACATACATCATATGCACCAATGTTGTATACAAGCAGGGTCGGACGGACTCGTTGAGAAGAAACTTTATTATCCACACGACCGACATCCTTTCTAACCAATGGAGCGATCCCATTTATTTCGATTTTGATGGCATTGATCCGTCACTATTCTTCGACGACGATGGCAAGACATATGTCCAGGTCTGTGCACACCCGCGAGGAGGCATTTGGCAGTTCGAGATCGACATCAAGACTGCCAAGCCTTTGACGGCACCTAAACTCCTATGGGAGGGCTGGGACCGCCGGTTCACAGAAGGTCCTCACATATACAAGAAGGACGGCTATTACTATTTGCTGGTTGCTGAAGGTGGCACATTTGAAGACCACATGATATCGATCTCACGTAGCAACAGCATAAATGGGCCCTTTGAGCCTTGCCCAAGCAATCCGCTCTTGACAGCAGCAGGAACCAATAAAGTTCTTCATCACACGGGGCATGGCGACTTTTTCCAAGATGGTAATGGTGGCTGGTGGACGGTATTTCTCGGTGTCCGCCGCAACGGCAGCCGATTTCCTCTTGGTCGAGAGACGTTTCTTACAAAAGTTGACTGGCCAAAGAACGAATGGCCTAGTATACATGATCCGGAGGCTTATAGCTCTGACACTGCCCAAATCACCTTGAAAGATTCTTTTGAGAACAAAAGTTTCGTTCACCTCAGGGACGCAGAAATATCCAGATACAGAATTTCAGAAAGCGGCTTGACAATTTCCGCCAGCCCAGCAGACCTATCAAGTCATAAAGACACGTTGAGTTTCGCAGGGCGCCGCCAGATATCCCTTAACGGAACCTCCTCTGTTGCGCTACGGACCTCATCTGTAAATGTTGGAGCCGGATCTCTCAGAGCTGGCATATGTGTCTATAAGGACGAACACAGATTTGCTGCGCTTGGATACGACTTTGGCGGGACGCAAGTCTATTTTGAGGCGCGCAACAAAGCAAGCGAGTACTCTGCAGAAGCGAGTGATGGTGCTGTGACGGCAGATCGGATCTATCTTTGCGTCTGCTACACTGAGCTTGAATGGACTTTCCAATATCGTACCGTTGAGAGCGAGCCTTGGATCAAGCTGGGGGTTGTAGATACTCTTCAGCTCAGCGGCAGGGACTTCACAGGGCCTATCATCGGCATGTATGCAGTAGGGCAAGGGGACGCCGAAAATCACCAAGTTTCTTTCGAGGAAGTCAAGCTTTGATTAGCTTCGCACTCTGGCGGAAGCCTCCCATTGCAACAGCGGCTTGAAGGCTCTAGGGATTAGGGAATATCTATTTGAAATTTTGATTTTGCTGTCTCGCTTGCATCAATAGATGAAAGACACTTGTTCAGATTCAATCTTTGTTGAGGAGAGGAGCATTCCGAATATGGTTTGAAGAAGGCCTGTCTACCTCCAGCTAAAAGAAGACATAATTGAAGAAGAAAAAAGAAGATGAAAAAGGTGAGATAAGTGGCAGGCTTGAATGAACGGCAAGATTAGCCTCTGCTTCAATGCTCATACCATCAAGCAAATTTAAATGTAAATTTTGCCTAGTCAATACTGTTGGTCACTAGTTGTGACAACTACTAGCCGAACACCAAATTTTAGCTAGACAGTTTGCGTTATTCGTACCTCCTGACCCCATCTCGCATAATAGTGGGACTCGGATCCCCGGAACCGCCCGAGGTCCGATGTGAGTAAAAAGGGCCCTCACACGGTTCGGTCTATTCTTGCGCCCTTGTTTGTTGCCAACCCCGGACCACTTGATTCTCCATAAGATGAGACCTTTATCAGCGTGTACAGCTTGTCGGTATGTATGATTCCAACCCCCCCTGGTGATTACGAAATGAACATTCTCTAACATGTCAGCGATGGAGTGACCGTCGTAAGAAATGCGACCGGTCACGGCCAGGTGTAAGTTGCAATTTCTGCATTAAGAGGGGCATTGAGTGTATTGCAGTGGCAGATGTTGGTGCTAGTCCAACCTATATGCCAAAACAGTCTTATGAGCCTCTCGCCACCCGTCCGGATGAGGGCCGACCTCGTCAGATCTCATGTCTCATCGTTCCTGAGGCGGCTCTGTGCGAGGAGCTCGTCGAGCTCTACTTCCGCTATGCACACATCGCTTTTCACAACCTTTTCCACCGGCCGACCTTCATCGCTCGCGTGAAGGATAGTTCTATCCCCAAGATATTGTTCTTCGGAGTCGCAAGCTTATCGGCTCGTTACTCAACACACCGCATCTTTGCTTCTATCAAGCCGTGGGATCGGGGCCGGCCGTATCGGGACGAAACCAAGAGATTACTGGAGCTTGAGGATACATCTCTGACTAGCATCCAAGCATGCATGCTACTCGCAGCCAACGCGTCTGTCGAGGGGGATCCCAAGACAGAGTCAGTCTACCATGCGATCGCGTTCCGCATGGCCATGCTCTTGGACCTTCCAAACATTCCAACAGAGTCCTTGTTAGAGCAAGAAATCAACAGAAGAGGTAAGGTAACTCCATATTCCCCTAGGTTTTTATGGAAGCAAACCCTAATTTGCGGTCAACAAGTTTGGTGGTCTCTCATCACAACCGAGACATGGACGTCGGCGGCCCATACACTTCCTCGGCTTCTCAAACCTCGGGACACAGTACCATTACCTATGGATGAGCGTCGATTCGTCACCCTGGATTATGATGTGCCAGCCGCATCTATGGACCAAAACTCCCCAGTAGCGTCTCCTTCGGATGATATATCCCAATCGTTAGTTGCACAAATGATACGACTGAACATCCTGCTATACGACATCATCCTTTTAAACGCAAGGGTAGTAGCGGAACACGTTCAAGATGGCAGCAAGCACGAAATGACTACTAAGCTGGCTCACGCCCTAGAAGACTGGGCCACTAACCTCTCCTCGAAGCTGCAGTACTCAGATGAGAATGTGGCTTACTGGGTCGAGGAAGAGTTTGGTGCCATGTTCATCACCCTGCACATTAACTACAACCACGCTGGCCAGCTCTTGTTCTACCAACATCTCCACTCTGCACAAGACACAGAACAAGGTCCCTGCATAGCAAGTGAAGCGCGAAGTTTTGCCAAGAAGTGCAAGGAGCACGCCACAAATCTGTGTGACCTCATATACCGAGCGAAGCAGCGTCCAGAGACAATCGTCTTATATCCGCTCGCTGGGCACATCCTCTGCTTGGCGTCCACTGTTCAAATTCACACCTTACTTTTTGGCGTCGACGACAACGAAATTCAAGCGGCCAAAACACGGCTGGAACGGAATTTTGAAATGATTTCATCCATGAACAATTATTGGCCCATGAACCATAAGTCCATCGGCCGCCTGCAGCTTTTCCACAACACCTGCCTGCGTAGCAAAGATGACTCGTTCCGCTTGGATGTTTGGATGCTTCGATTCCTGCTAGGCTTTACCCAAGATATTGAGGACAGAGACGCAAGCTGGTCCCACGGACAGGGATCCGCAAGGGAATTTGATCACTTGAGAAATTTATTGGATATTTAGCTACCGTAGGCCTATCTCAAATTGTACTACAACACCTTCAACTTGATTTGCCAGCTCTGTATCATTCTCGCACTAGGTTGGCTGTCTAGTATCGCATTTACGTCTATCGGGTATACCCACTGGTTCCTCTTATTCCTTCTCCTGTCGTCTCTGCTTGAATGTATCCCTCAAGTACAGTGCTGAGTTCTTCGGTGTTCGCTTTAGACTCCCGCTATCAAAGTCGACATGGACGATGCCAAACTTGGGGTCTAGACCAGCCGACCATTCTGTTCATCGCTCCAGTTAGCTTTGTCCTCCTAGTGAAATAACCACGACTGGTCCGATGTCATTCTTACCAAAGTTATCCATCAAAGTCCAGACGTAATAGCCTTCGACCTTGACTCCGTCCTCGTAAATTGCTCGAGAGATGGCGTCCAAATACAGACCGAAGTATCTCTGGCGGAACTTGTCGTCCACGGCGGTCTCCACACTATCTTCAGGACAGGGGCATCCATTCTCTGTCACCACAATCGGAAGATGGTATCTGTTCCACACCCAGTTCATAAGTTTTCTGAAGCCCTCTGGCGCAATGCGAAGCCACGGCATCTGGGAGACGGGTCCGATTTCAACGCCGTTGTGATCGACGGGGCCCTCTTCAATGTTACCTGTCCAGTCGTCCTCTGCGGGAGGGTCAGGCAAGGCGCGAGCATATTTTGTGGAGTAATGGTTCATGCCGTAGAAAGCATTGATAGCTGCAGTGTCGCGAAGGAGATCATGCTCCTCGGGGGTGAAAGAGGGAAGTCTGTCGCCAAGGTATTCTTTCAATGAGGCAGGGTAGTCCGTTCCCAGGAAGATCGGGTCGCCAAACCAGGCGATGAAGAACTCGAGCCTTTTCACAGCTGCATCCTTGTCGGCTTGGCTGTCTGAGTATGGCTCGTAGAAGTGGCCATTCAGAACAATGGAGATGCTGCCTTTTTGTGTTGGCTGAAACTCCTTGGCATACAGCTGAACTACGGACGCATGGGAGAGGATGAGGGTATGTCCAACTCGCCAAGGTTCGTGTTTAGTATCGAAGCCGTCTTGAGCGCGGTGGCCAGGTGCGAGGGTGCCGTTGAGGTGACCGAAAATTGAAATGATGTAAGGCTCGTTGAATGTGACCCATTGCTTGACTCGATCACCAAATCGTTCAAAACAGAGTCGGGCGTAGCGGATGTAGTCAGCCCGGAACTCATCAGTGTTCAGGAATGCCTTGTATCGGTCGTATAGAGCTTGGGGTGCATCCCAGTGATATAATGTGACAGATGGTTCGATACCGCGAGCCAGCAGCTGGTCAATCAGGTTGTTGTAGAACTCGATGCCTTTCTCGTTGATTGGGTCATTCCGGCCACCAAGCGGGATGATTCGCGACCACGATAGAGAGAATCGGTAGACTTCGGTGCCCAACGAACTCATCAACTCGATATCTTCGGCCACCCGGTTGTAATGATCGCAGGCAATGTCGCCATTCTGGTTGTTCGTTCGCGAAGGCACTCGGTGCGTATATTCGTCCCAGATAGATGGGCCTTTGCCGTCGGCGTTGGCGGCGCCCTCAACTTGGTATGCAGCAGTAGCAGTACCCCATTTGAAGGATTTGGGGAGCGGAAGTTCTTTAATGGGCAAATTGTGACCGCTGGAGACGTCGTACTTTGCGCCCAAGTTTTCGGCCTTGAACATGGATTCTTCAGCCATTGTGAAATGGTATAGGAGGGAAAATACGCTAGCGAATATGGCACAAATGGGATATCTGATTTGATCTGGATGACGCAGGGTCTACTATATAAAAGGTCGATATGGTCACGTCGCCTTGAACCCACATGATCATTATTAAAGATAATAAGATACTTGTGGATTTGCTAGCTGGATCCCTTTCCCCCGATCCCCGAACAACTCCATCTGTCCCAACTCATTTAGTGCCTATGAGATACGAAAATCTTGGAGACCAAGCACATTCACCAAGTATTATTTGCTGCATTAAATGTCTCGATGGGTACCGGACCACCACTAAGAAAACCCACGTAGCAACCAAGGAGAAAAAACATTTAACTATCCTTTGTATCCCCGCAATCTCCAAATCGATCTTCCCCTCAGTTCACCAAAGCCAAGACTAAGTATTGGTTGATGACAGCTTGCAAGGATGTGCGGAGTGTGGAGTCGACGTCGGAAATGCTGGCGGGTTTGGTTGTCATGGGGCTAGTCCCACAGGAAGATGCATCAAGATGCAAGCTAAATGTCCTAGGCGCATTCACATCTGTCGGGTTTAATATTTGGGGTTGGCAGCATGAGGATTGTGCAAAGTTTGGGTTATATGCTTCAGTTTTTAGCTAACCGATGTCTGCTGTGCATTGCGCGTGGTGGATGTATTGGATTCCCATACGCGTATTAGTATTCCGACTCCAATCCCGACATGAGTCTGACATGCAGAGGTTACTGTAATGGACAAAAGTTGAAGCTAGCACCTATTCATCGCTGGATATGTATACAATGAGACAATCAACTCGAATATACTACATAGTCCTCGTCTAGTCTATAAAACTACGACGACGGCGTGGGTCTTCTAGGCGTATCCATGTTCACCATCGGACCAGCTTAAGGTGAATTCTAACCTTGATCTACGCCTCCTTGAAGAATACTCATGACCGACCATGGCTCGTCTTATTTTGTTGCTAAGGCTCCTCTTATTCCTTGCTCCATCACTTACCTTGGCAACAACTTGTAACGCGCCGCCGCCTCCTGATCCCGAGCCCATAGAAGTCATTGAACTATCTCTTCCACCGGTTTCTGCTGAAGATGCTCCGGGTTCTTGCACTGCCGTAATTAATCCGCACGGCACCGGATGCATCGCTCAGAGAGGCGGCGGCTCCACCCCCGAGACGGTGGGTATCATGGCCGCGGGTGATTTCCTCCCGGACAACAAGCATGTCATTACCCTAGTCACCTTCACCGGAGCCCCCGCTGCCCCAGACCCAAGAAGCATCTACCAAGGAGAACAAATCATCCTTGTAAAGACCGATGGGGAAACATTTCCAAACGGTGACCCTTGGAAGTGCATCACTTGCGGCATCCCCTCCGAGAATCGCGTGGGCATGTCTCATATGCTCGACTACCCACAATCTTTCGGCGATGGCAAACGTATTCTTGCTGGCGATAACGTCATTACTTGTGGAGAGATCGATCTTACCAGTGTCGAGTGCAACTCTAGCAAAACCTTTGTGTATCCGATTCGCTGGGAGACAACAGCGGAGGGGTCCACGAGTGAAGACACACCGGGAGGCCCAATGCGCGAGCTTCGTATCCATCCCGACAATGTACACATTGGCTTCAGTTCTTTCTATAGCTCCAATGGGCGACTCGGTCAACACGCCTACTTCGGCCGTCTCGTGTTCAACGCAGCTCCTCAAAGAGGTCTACCCCGGGCGCCTCGGTACGACGTTCACAATGTGACTACGATGTTTGATCCGAATGCTATCGCTCCCATCACCGTCAAAGGTAACGAGATTTTCATCAATCCTGAAGCTATCACAGTTGGCGAGCTACGTGGATTTACTGGAAGAGGGCACGAAGCCGTCTATGTTGGTAGCCCGCGTGAGGCTGGCAACACTGATGTGTTCTCTGTTCACCTGCAGACTGGAAAAATCAGGCGTCTGACATCGCATCCCGAATATGTTGATCCAATTGACGTCTCGGCGGATGACGAATGGCTTGTCATCCTAGATACCCGTGCGACTAACCGCCACATGTTCATTGCTGGCATGCGAGGTTTGCCCCCTTTTACGGACATAGTAGCTTCCTTCATCACTACTGGTGTGCGGAACAATGGGCCCCGTCGTTTCTTCCAGCCTTGGATCCTTGACAAGTATGGCGATCGCGGTGAATACTACGGTCAGAAGGTTAACGGCCCAGGAAATGGTGTTCCGGGCAGCGGTGATATCGACGATCCGGAGTGGAATGCGATGGCTGATCCGAGATGGAGTCCCGATGGCACCGCTATTGCGTACTGGCAAGCACAGACTATCTCTCCAGCTTGTGGTGGCGAGAATCCTTTGCCTTGCTACCCTTCCACGGCGCAAGGTGGCAGAACTTATCGTCTGATGTTGGCAAAGCTCGTCAGCCGACAACCCTTGAACATCCCTCCAGCAGAGGAAGCATCTGACGAGATAGCATGGGGTGTTCCGTATATCCCGGGAAGTGTAACTGCAGACCGCCCTGGGTTATCCCCCGGAGAGTTCATTCACAATGGCAAGGCGTCAGGCTTTGTCGAGGTCAGCCTGACTAAAAAGCTTGACCCCAACGCCATCGATACTGTCATCACAGTTTATCACAACTACTCGGATGATGGAACCCGCTTTATAAATGGCTGGGAAAATGTGACTGAGGTCAGAGTTTCACCCACATACAGTCTCATGCACTGGTACGCCGATTTAGTACAGACGGGCGAAGACAGCTATCTCGCGAGTAAAAAGACAGGGCCCGTTGGCTACCACGTTGAGCTTGATATCACGAGAAACTATATCAAGTCCAACGGTACTTTGGTCACAACCATCAACGGCGTCGAATATCTCCCTCCTCAGAGCGGAACCTAAAAGGTGAAGTGAGATTATGATTAAAGGTGGACAAAAGTAACTCCATATCACAGCCTATCACAGATCAATGGGGCTTCTTAGATATTTGAATAGACTCAGATGATGTTCGCCGCTTCTTTCGGTAGCGCTAAGGCGATGGCGTGAGGCAACCGACGTGAGGTTTGAAATACTTCAAGGCTGTCCGTGATCTCAGGTGAAGCACTTCACCTTGTATTCAGGAAAGTTTGGGGGTCCTTTACGAATATTATTTCAAGCCGAGTTGATTTACGTGCGAAGTCACTCCGTAGGTTCGTTTCAAGAGAGGTTGACAACACATGAGTCTTTGTCAAGGTTGTATCAGTATTTTCATATCCTCCCCTTCAACGTCACAGTTCCCTGGATAAACCCACCGACAGCTGAGCTCAGCCAGATCATCTCTCCCTCTTTAACTTCGCCTGCACTAATAAATGTCTCCTTTACACCGGCGTTCTCCACAGCCCATCGTCGTGAAACGCCCATTTTGCACCCCGTCTCGCTACTTGGAGTCACAAAAGCCCCATTTCTCCAAAAGTAAACTGTCCTGAAAACAGAACCCATGATATGACCATTACTATTGTACAGTAAAACGTCACACGTGGCTGGCGAGACTGTCTCGTCGAGGCCGACGCGATTCCAAGCGGCGCTGTATGGCTGGCGGTATGTTGTTTTGTGCTTAGTAAAAACTGACGATGTCGTAATTTCTAAATCCAAATACACCGGAATTGAAGGAGTGGTGAGAGGTGAAGGTGACAGTTGAAGGGGGTAATAAAGTTCGTTGGGACTAGTCGGTCTTGGACCCGAGAGGATGCTTAACTTTGCGTCTTTTTTCAAGGCCAGCCGTACGATAAATCGTCTACTAGGATCTTTAGAATCGTCGCCGTGAACTGAAAGCATATAATCGGCTATCTCCTGCTCTAGGCTAGCTGTACGATTGCCTTCACTGAGATAATTGACGACAGCAGTCCAAGAGAGATCCAATGCAGCTGCTTTGAGGCGATCGACTCCGTGTTGAAGTAGGTAGCAACATGATTGCGAAGATGCTTGCGGGTTCAGCGGAAGATTAACTGAGTAAGCTAGAGTTGTGATGATTTCGAAGCTTGGTTCGGAGACTACTGCTTCCACCTGGTTTCCTTGTTTCAGAGACACCATGTCTGGGGACGTTATCAATGCAATTAATGTCGAGACGGCTCTATGTGCTTTGCTTGACGCGATGGTAGCTGAGTATATCGTGGAATTTTTACCCCAGATTCGGAGTTGGAATTGCGAGTTGCGCGACTATTCACATTAATATGTCGAGCGCTATCTCAGTCATTTACCCCCGCGCCAGGAGCGCCACGGCGAGTCAAGCTGTCGGCCAGCATATTAGGGCGAGATGAGGGCAAGCTAGGATGAGATCGTTGCCAGGGTTCTCATAGCAACGTACGGTTACTATTGGTGCAAATTGACAACAAAAGTTCCCGTTATTTGGGAAAAATGGGTATCTGCAGCAGGGTTCCTTGGGGCAGCAGCTGTTCCTAGCACCAACAGATTCAAGATACAGAGATGCCAGTAACCTAGGAGGCAAGCAGTATCAGATGCATAATAGACCAACCGCAAGGGACTTTCGTAAAGATTTAGGCAGCGACGGGTGAACAAAGGGTGCAGTCTTGGGGATCCAGCTGGCACAGCCAGCCTGGATTGTCTGTAAAATGAGCCTGGTTAGCTTGTATGCAAGTTGTTACTGGCTCCCGCTGCTCATCTCCTTACTCGGCCCTGAAACCCGAATAATTAGGTCAGTATTCCATCCACTAATACGACTGTTCAGGGGGTCGTAACAACCTTCCTATTTAGGAGCACTGTCGAACTGAGTCTTCTGATGTATTGGAAGCGTTGATGTCGAGTCGGTCTCTCAATCAACACCGGGTTATTCATCTTCTTATCACGCTGAATTTGAACAAATCATTTCAGGCGTGGCACACGTAGAGAGGTCTCATCTGCCGTCCCCCAATATGACGCCTCCGCCACATCTGAGTTTAGTCCTTTGCAATACGTATTAACCTCCAGTATTGAAGATACTGACACAATACCGCGCAAAACACCACTTTTGCATTATGTTAGGACTTTCATCAACCTCCTCTCAGAGTTAATGGCACAGGGCATCTATTCTTCTGGATATTCCAGCCCAGGGAATGCATAAGGGGTGGCAATACAAGTTGCAATGCTGTAACAGTAAGCTTCCAAACAGGAGGCCTTGACAGTGTTCCTTTTTTCATCTTTTTCATTAATCCCACAGACTAGAATCAAGCGCCAAAACCTTGTGATTAATTCCATTCCCGTAGCTAGCATCACAATAAACCTAATCGTTTCACTACCCGACTCAACATAAGGTTCACTGAACATGGACTAACGAAAGACTGGTGTGGGATTAAGAGACGGTTTGTTAATTTGCCAGAGAATATCACATCAGTACAGCTGCCTTTGCTGATCTGAGAGCTTAGTTTAGATTGCCAAACTCGTGTTACCAATGAGCTCGTATCCGTTTGAACTGTTATCACCCCTACATCTTTCACCCTGTCAGGTAACACAAATTCGTATGATGTTTTTCAAAAAGTCTCCACATGGGTTGTACAAAGCTGGGTGTAACGTTCTACACACTTCATGCACCTACTATCGGCTTTATTAGAAGGAAACAAAGATGTGAGTAAATCACAAGTATCCGTTTGGAAAGCGGGAGATTTCTTATTACACACTCTCTGGAACCGCAGTGTGGCTGAAGCCAAGGTTTGCTGTATACTAGAGAAGAGTTCCTTCCATATCATCTGGACGATGGTCAATCCTTTAGCTAAGGAGATTCCGTATCAAGTCCCTGTAAAGCTGTTAAATTCCACCGATGAACTGACCGCAAGGCTATTACTATCTAGGGTTCCTTTCATACGAAACAAGCCACTTTACTTATGGCAAGCAATGGCCAAATATGGTCTCGTGATTGTCTCATGGCTTCACTGTCTTATTGGTATATCAACCAAGATGCTGTCTAGCTCAACAGCTCAGACACACATTTCCAAGCTCCCGCACATCGTATACTGGCAATCATGATTTTCTCATTAATCCTAATTTTGGCAGGGGCTATTCCCTTTGCCAAAGCTTTGAACGAACAGCATAAGCTATACGGTCGTTTTCAAAATCCCACTAGTCCTGCCAATCATTTTCACAACACAACCACGCTTGTCCACCAACCGGTTCAACCCAGCTGTCGCAGCGAGAGCGGTGCTTGCACTCTGACCAGCATAAGTCCCTGGCAAAACAGCACGACAGTGAGTAAAAGAGAATATCTGTTTTTCTTGAATACTTTAGATACTGACATCTATAAGACCAGTAGCGGAGATGTTACCATACCACGTACTGAGACCTCTCAATGGGGCTTGACAGCCACAAGCTCCAAGACCAACGCCAGAACGGAAGCCTCCCAAGCGTTAACAAGAACTAGTCTTTTATGGACTTCCCCTGGGTTGAGCAACTTCACTTTCACTCGATCGGTCACTCTGGAGCCAGCTACACTCACTATGCCAGTCCATAGTCTGCTCACAAGTTCAGCTACCTCGGGGCCCTTGGTCACGCCAACGAGTGCCATAGAAATGACGTCCATCAATACTCTCCCTTCATCACTCATGGAAAGCGAATTCTTGACTGTGTCAACTCCAATCAACGCCACATCTGCGACATCAGGGCTCCTGCCATCATCCTCCGTACCGTTTCAGTTGTCCCACTCTACCCCAGGAGTGAGCACATTTACACCTACACCATCCATTGGTTCAGCAACTACGGCGAAGTTGTATAATTCGTCAACAATTTTTCCAACTACGAGCCCGTCAACAACTTCAACACTTCCAGTTCTTTCAACCATCACAGCCCTACCTACCAACGCAATTTTGGTTCCCTATCCTGTCAGCGATGTCACTCACACCACACCATTCTACATTACTACTACTTCATCCGGTAGTGACTCGCCTACGATTGTGCCAGGTCAGATTATCTTTTGTGTCGTCCAATACTATTCGCATGCTGATATTTGCCAGTCATCTTTCCCTTTTCTGGTCCCCCAATAATATGCTTTGGCTGTATCTCTTCGTTCCCTCCAAGCATTCAAATCAAGGTTCCCCAGTTCTGCATCCAGCTACTTGGTGCTAAAATTGGGAACTGTCCTTCAGGCGACCAAGGCGGTGGTGGTGAAGGTGGTGGTGGCGAAGGAGATGGCAACGACGACGAGAAGGATCCTAAATCCACCAAAGATGAAAAGGCATCGTCAGCGGAGTCGACCGCAACGTCGACTTCAACTTCATCTTGTACTACCACCCTGACGGCAACACACCATAGTATCTTTTGTTCTGTCACCGTCACTCAAGGTATGCACGCAGATGCCGTTAGGCCCTCCGGTATTCCTAGCTAAATCAACTGAATCTGACAGGACCCGGGGCTCTGCAAAGCCCACAGACAACCAGAAGCTGTGTCACTAGCGCGTATACGACAGTTACAGGTTGCAGCGTCACTCCGGCAGCGTCAACTGTGAGGGCGACATCAACGGTGACATTCAGTTATCCCGAACCAACCTGTGACCCTGAAGTATGTGGTGGCGACGCTTGTCTTTTAGAGTTGCAGACAAGATCGCCAGAGACCCTTCAAGATTTGGAAAAACGTGGCATTCCATCCTGGGGAGGATGGCCCGACCCAGAAGACTATGATGACCCGTCCAAATTTATCGGCCACCAACTACAACGCATCTCGCGTTTCCGCCCTGACCCTGAGTTCGAGGTCGGCTATGACCCCCAGATCGTGAGGCATGGCCAGTCCCATTACGTGGGGGCCGCCCACAGTGGCATGACTACAGCGAATCATGTTCTCTTCCAATCACAGGTCACCGCACTTGCAGTTGAAGGCCTTTATGGGTGTACGGCGATAGTGGTAGTCTCTCAACGTGGTGCGTGGGCCTGCCACATCTGGGAGAGAGACATGACGAATCCGGAATTCTTTCAGAATAAAGTACTGATGGACTTACACTACGGACTCGAAGACAGCCACTCAGCGAAGCAGTATTTCAGGTACGGACTGGACGATCTCATCGGTTCACCATCGCTAGGGCCCGCGGGTGTCATGTTTGGTGACATTGACGAGGAGGATGAGGAAAGTGAAGACGCAACGTTGAAAACGGCCAAGGAACTTAACACGCGTGCGTTTATAATCACCCCTCGCGCGAGATTCTTGCGAATGAGAGGTCACGTCGTAGCCCCCGAGTCAGAGTTTATGAACGACATGAACCTCATGCAGGGCACGAGACTCAACGGCGACCATGTCGAGGAGCTCGCGGATATGCTGTCAGATACCTACGGCGGCATTCCTGTAGAAGTGGTTGGATATTCACCGCTGCCGGTACCGAACGAGATGTATATTAGACACAGCATGCTTGTGCAGCAGAGAATAGCCGAGAACAGGGCGGAAACGCTGCAAGAAAGGAATCGAAGGTTGTCGGAGGTCTATCGATATCAGACGTTGAGCCAGTCGGGGACGCCACGAGGAAAGCTGCTCCTTCAGTACCAGCCGGCGCAGACGTGTGAAGATAAAGCAACCTGGCGGCTTTGGATCGAGAATCGCGGGGTCGATGGCCGAACTGATCAGTGGATACCGGCACCCGACCAGGTCTTCGTACCCTCAGGTTCCGTTCAGCTCCCGGGATCGCAACCGCAGCCAGAGTTGCCTCAGACATCAGCCACGGTGTAAAGTCGGGTGTGGCTGTAGACTTTTTCAATGAGTGAGTCATGACACTTATGCGAGAAGTATTGCAAAGCGATGTGAAGGGTTCTTGGCTGCATCTTGGAAGTATTAGTATTACAGAGATTGCTGTGTTCAATACATGTTAAGCCACACCTGAGGTTATCACCATTCACTCATCAATATTATTGCAACTTTTTTATAAATGTCTGCAAGTCTGGCATGAACTGAACGTTGCATTTCTGGCGATGTTAACATGGATATCTTTAAACCTCAACCCCTCTCACTCCGAAGGCCTAACAAACTCTAAATATCATCTATATCTATCCCTCATGTCATATTTCTATCAAAATGTAACCTCATCCGTAGCATCCCTTACGCGCTTCATTGCAGTCTTCAAGCCGTTCTCATCCTCGGCGCCAACCGCCACGTCTGCCAAACTAACCCCGGTATCCGGATCCTCGTACCAGCTGACGATGCACATTTGACCGGACTCAAACTCTTTGCGGAAGAGATTCACAAACTCCTCGCGACCCTTCTTGGATCTGATGGAGAATGACGACGCGTTCCAGAGTCCTCGGCTGGTGAAGTGCCCTCTAAGCAGGGGAAGGCAAAGAGACCCCGATGTCCGAATGTTCAGATCAAAGACGTGATAATTCGAGAAGTCCTCCTCGCTCGAAGCACCATTCGTTGCACGGCCGTCGGCGTTTTGCCCGTTTGTAATGTGCCCATTCGGCGTGCGTCCATTTGCCGTGTGCCCGTTCGTCGTCGGCGCCGTCTCAAGCACATCGGCCCCTGCGGGACCGATATAATCATGGCTCCGCAGCCATTCGGCAATCTTCCGTACGAGAGGTCCAAATTTCTTCTTTAATTTGTCCTGGTTGGCGTAGTTGATGGTGCTTCCGATCCACGCCTTGTCTGCGTCAATCATCTGCTCCGATGCCGCCAAGAAAATAGGATCGCCACCTTCTTCGGTGACAAAGAAGGTCAAACCATAGTCACCTATCGGGTTCTCGACGAGGTCCGATAAGATGAGCGCCGCGGGCCGAAGGTGCACGTTGGACTCGGTTACCGAGGACAGTAGTTTACGCAGGATGCCGCCGCGGAAATCTCGCACGAGCTTTTCGCGATCTTCTTCATTATTAATGATGTACGTTCCTGCGCCACCAAAAGTCTGCTGATTCTTGAGAACGAACGGGAGAGGGTGCGCCTTGAGGTCGGCGAAGATCTTCTCGCTCTGCTCCTCGAACCACTTCCCGCGAACTCCAGAGCATGCCTGGGGAATGACGAATTCGGCAGTGTCTCCTTTGCATGACGTGCAGCATACCGTGGCTTGTCCCGCAAGCCCTTCGAGCTCTACGATTCTCGACTTGGGAGTCGGCAGGCCGGATTGTGCGAGGGCGGCCTTTGAATTGAGGAACCAATGCTTCTCGGGCGGGATCACCAGGTTATAATCTTCCAGGCCGTCCAGCACCAACTTGTAAGAAATCAGATCAATACCAGCTTCTTTGATCGGGATCTTTGACGGGCCGGAGCAAAAGATGAGATTCGGCCGCTGCTTCTCGGATAGTACTGAAATCGTCTTCGCCGCCTCTTTCTTGTCGTGCGCCTTTTGCTTCTCGGTCTCGTCAATGTTGAAGAGAACAACAGCCGTGTCGCCGCTGATGAATGCATCTCGTTGTGGGATCAGCGATAGGTATTTTACAGCTAGCTCCTTTTGCTGCTCCTTGGCACGGTCTGTACCATCGCTGGCTTCATCCGTGGTGATGGAGTTGAATGGGCTGTCTTGGTACAGATATTTTGCGTTTCTGGGGACATTGGCGCTTAAGTGCGAGGCGGAATTGATACCACAAAAGATGTGAGCGATGCGCTTATTCGCTGTTCTCGGGCTTGCTCGTCGATAGAGATCAGCGAGCGTCGTGTCTAGAGTGACTCTAGGTAGATCCGGCATCCTCATATTGCCGGTAGTCGAAGATACAAATCTGGGGATGGGGTTACGTTGCTAGTAAGGTTGGTGGGTATAAGTTGACTCTGATAAGCCTGAATTTCGTAGAGAAGCCGTGGTCTAGAGTGTATTTGAACACGGGAGAGATGCTGCAAGGGGAGATAATTAACCAACGCGTACATCGACGATGGGACCTTGAAGCTCCCCCTGCTTGTGGCTGCACTACGTTTGACGTGACCGTCCCCCCATCCCTGACTGATTGGCTGCTAGTGCAGATCCTCTATGGGCAGTGGAGTGGTTCATCCGATGGGACAGTGACGCCTCATCGGCCCAAAGCACAAATCCTGGGGGGGGATGTTGATGTCATTGTCTGAAGCCACGTTCACAGGGGGCTGATCTGGATTCGCTTCGTTTGTAGGGCCATCGGCTTTGCCCCTTTTAGCCGTCAGGGCAGGTCACATGTGAGACTTTTGACGTCGATTCGAATATGGCCTGGGGTTCATTTCTAGGGCCTTGGAGAATGCCCTGTGTCCAAGTAGGTAGCGGATATCTGCTCAATTGAACATGTTGCATTTCAGTCTCACAGCCTTACCGAGGCGGCTCCTTGGCGAACTTGCATCACTATCGGCCAATGAGCAACCCTCATCTCATATGAGATTCGCCGAATCACGGGTTAGCGATGAGCGATACGTCATGCCCAGTGAGAAAACGTCGCTGTTGAATATCGACTGGGCCAGACCGTTTGGGGGAAACAATCAGGAGATTTCTCTCCGGCCGTTGCACTTAGGTTTATGTCATTGCCACATTGCTTGAATTGTCAAGATCGATTTCATTTGAGAAAAGTACGCAGCCATACTCCATAAACCTTGGGTTACTTAAAAGATGAAAATTAGTTTGGATAATCCAGCTAATGGCTGGTCTTCATGAACCTTGCACCATAACTAAAGCTCACACCAGAAATGCCACTCATTCAATTTGGTCTCATAGCATACCCTCAGTGAGATCTCAGGGCCACGACAGAATAACTTCGTCATCGCAGAATAATTTGTTGCCCGCGACGATCATACACATCAGCGCTAAAAATAAGCGCGCTGAAGTATGATGCGCCCAAAGTAGCCCGGAAATGCCCGTTCAAGATAGATAAAAAACAGCATTGAACTGAGGTACCATGTGATGATAATATTAGGTCGAAATCAACCGCGGGACTCATAAAGAAGTCCAGTAGCACTCATCACACATAAACATCAAACACCACAACGAATACAATCAATGAAAATGAATTTGATTCAGAGCTTCCGCTCAATCTAGCCTCACCACCCGGACCGACGCGAGTCGAAACAAAAACATTTCTCTCGCCCCTTTGTTCCCGAACGATTCCGACAAACATACGCCGACTCCGAAAGCCTCCCACCAACCCCCCCGCACGCCTTTGACGACCCTTTTACTCTCTCATCACATCAGAAAAACAAAACAAAAAAAATACCGGTAGGTATACTATACAATAGTCCTCGTCATTAATACAGCAAGACCGGCCTCGTCTTGTGACGAAACCTTCATATCCGGGTATGCCGCTTATTCAATGTCCATGGCACCCTCGCTCTCGAGGTTTAGCTCGAGGACGCGGGCGTATTGGATCGTAAGTCGTTGAAGTTCCCTGAATTTTCCTGTGGCATTGTTAGCATGCTTGCATCGATGTCGATCGGCGCAGGTGGGGGACATACCGAGAATCATCACGACGCCCTTTAGCAACTCCTTCCGGTCCCAACCACAAATTTCATCCTCCCCGCTGAACCATCCACGTCCGCCGTCGTTCTTCTTGACGTCCTTATCCTTCAGGATGCCGCCCAGCAGGCTGTTGAGCAGTTCCTCAACCTTGCCACGCAGGCCCTCGGCACCGATGCGCTTGGCGTACATGAACAGGTATAGACGGAACTCGTCTCTGGCTTCCAGATGCAGCGCTGCGGCGATACGGTTTTCGAGATGCGCAATGCTGACCGTTGATTCGAAGCCTTCAAAACCATCCTTGGACAACAACAGCTTGACGATGCGCTGAAGAGTGTATGCCCGCCCCTTAAGCAGGAACTCATTCGTCGTGTGCCGCTCGAGGTACGGGATGATGCCGGCGGACACGTTGGCGGTGTCGGTATCCTTGGGCTTCGCCGGCGTGATGGGGCCGACGGCGGTCGACTGCAGCGCACTGATGGCAGAGTCGTTGCTGTTCCAGTACTGGGAGCCAACGGCCCACCAAGCTTCACTGACCCGCTGCCACGTAAACATGTCTCGGGTGTAGTAGTAGCCGTCGCCGTTGGTTAGGGTGACCACGATGTGGCCGGCCGAGTTAAGTTGGGCTGACGTAACGCCAGGGCCAGGTGTGGTGCTGTTGAGGTTGAGCGTTGTGGTGGCAAGTTCGAGTACGGGGCCGAGAGACACGGGTGGATGAAGGGCGGCCTGTCTCTCGACATCCCAGACGTGGCACAGCCCAATTGCATTGATGCATAGCAAATAGTTGTTACGGCACTCGAGAATGACAGGTTGCGACTCCATGATAATGGCGTTCGTCAACCGGCGACCAGCGGGTGTCCAGGTATAGATGCTGCCGTCTTCGCAGGCGGCGGCCCAGAAGTGCTTGTTGCCTGTTACAAGGATCACGGCTCTAGGGAGGTAATCCTGCCACAGGAGAGTTCCGCGCTTGGTGGCCGAGATTTGAGAGGGATCTCTAATCTGAACGGGGTTGCGGGCCTCCAAAATAGTGTTCTCGGGCACCTTTGATGCTTCGTCGGAGCTGCTTTCGGGGAGCAAGACACCTCGCGCAAGTGGCCGTACAATCTGTGACCTGACCTTGGGGACAGCAAGACGGATCTGCGCAAAAGCGATGGACGGATTCAGTACCGCAGGTCGTAGGTATTCAGGAGTGGGAACGACACCGTGTGCTGCTGGTACGACGGAAGCTTGCTCGACCCCATCTACACCGTTCAACACAACCGCCGTAGGGCCTGTAGCCTGGCGCTTCGAGCCATGGTCGTCTTCTTCCTCACCCTCAACCACTGGTGCCTTTCTCTTGTTGCCTAGAAGCATCGCCGCGACTCCTCCCTTGGGAAGTCCTTCGAATGGCTTCTCCAGGTCCAGAATAGTTTGAGGAGCCTCATTCTGAGCCGCTTTCGCTGTTGACGTGGACCCGACGAGCTGGGTCTGGGGAAGAGACGACTGGCCAGTGCCGGAGGCGGAAACCAGCAGAGGTGCTACACGTTTCTTGCCGTCCTTGCCAACCGTCACCCGAGACTTGAGCTCTTTGACTCGCTCCGCTGACTTGTCCTTGTCTGTGTTCTCTTCTGCTGGCTTCTCCTTCTCTTTTTCCTTCTCCTTGTCTTTCTCGGACTCCACATTGCCGTTGGTGGCTTTGGGCGTTGAGGTGCCCGTAGCAGAACCAGCTGGCTTAGTTCCGTTGGTCGTCGGTGCTGGATCTTTTGAAGACGGGCCATCGCCCATGAGAGCGCCCATTCGCGATTCAGCCGCCCGCGATTCGCCAGCCTTGCTCTGGTTCTCCAGGTTAAGGCCTTCTATATCCTCTGCGATGCCCATACCCTTCCTAGACGCTCCATATTTTTGCAGTGCTTTGTCGTTCTCCTCCGCATTAGCAACCCATCCCAGCTCGCCGCGGTCGAATTTTATTCCAACAACCGAGCCGTCAAGACTCGATGCGAAAATAGTCGAGCCGTCTGGTGACCAGGAAAGGTCTGATATTGACTTGCCAGCAAGATCCTGCAAAATGACCACAGGCCTACTAGTATTGGTGTTCCATATGCTAAGTGTCTTGTCCTGGCCCGCAGACGCGATCACGGTGACGAGTGAGTTGTTGTCGGGATTTTCGGCTGGGTTTTCGGTGTGAAAAAGTCGTGGTGAGAACATGCAAACCTCTGTCGGCCCCTCATGGCCAATGAGGTTGATCTCGCTATCCCACCTCGTGCGCTCGATGATTGCCACAGAGCTCACGGGTCCGTTGACAGCGTTTGGCGCGGCGATATGGTTACCATCGGGGGACCAGGAGCATCTGCGGAAGTAGGTTGTCAACGGCGAGCTCTTGAATGGAGCGCTAATCGTCGTCTCCAACACAAAGTTGTTGACCATGTCATGCTGCGTCGCATTCGGAGCGGGAGGGGTGAATCGAAAGATCTTGATGGTTCGGTCATCGGAGGCGGTCGCAAAGAACTTGTTCGCTGGGTCGAAGGTGATGCCCTTGACGTGACTTGAGTGGACCGTGATTGTCTTGAGCTTCTCGAAGCTATGACCCGACCAGACGACGATCTTTGAGTCAAGACCGACAGAAACAAGGATTGAGGAATCGTATGACCACGCGAGGTCTTGGACATCGTTCTCGTGGCCGACGAGTCGCTTATAGGTTTTCCAGTTCTCGACCGGGGGAGGCTCGGCACCAAGGCCTAGTAGAGGGGTAGTTAGCAACCTGCAAACGCCGTAGCGCATCGCGTACGAGGGGGCGCAATACCAAACGAAGCTACAGGCGGGCCTTTGTCGAGATGGTAGACGCAGATTAGCTTGTCGTCGGCGCCCGAGGCAAGATATCGGCCGTTTGGTGAGAAACGGACGGAGTGGATGGTGCCGAGATGGTGGCTCATATGGCAGAGCTGTCGCGGTTTCTTCTCTGCGCCGTCAATGGCATCTCCGTAGATTGCCTCAGTCGACCAGACTCGTACGTGACCATCACCACCTGCTGTTGCGAGTCGCTTGCCGTCGGCGGAGACATGGCAACTGTAGACTTCGAAATCCTTCTGCTCGCCGCTATGGCTCAGCCATGTTGGCTTGATGACGCGCATCGCGAACAGCCCGAGGGCATCTACGAAAGGAATTGACGTTCGATCAAGAGCAGTCGAAGAAACCACGAGGTGACGAGGGAGTCTAGTGGATTATGGCTGTGTTGCTGCGGCACTGAGGCGATGCGGAAGGGCTTTTGGTGAGGACAATTAAGTCAAGGAGGGCGCCGTGAGAAATTGAGGCTTGATTGGCAAATCCAAGAAAACGCGTTTTGCGGAGCCCTGGCACCTTGCAATTCGCGTCCTACAGCTTAAGGTCCCGTATACGCTAAATGGACTTGCGGCACCTATTTGCTCCAGGGAGTGGGTACCTGTCCTGACCTGCTGGAGCTTCGTCTAGCTGACGTAAAGGGACACGGGCTGTTGGAGGTACACGGATCGGATTATCCTGTAGCCGGTGGGTTTCTTACATAATCAAAACAACAAACCGAGAAAATCCCGTCGGAATGATTGTCCCGCCGCTATTTGCCCTTTTACACCTGGAATTACCCCACGCCGCGGGGCTAATTAGCTCTTAACCGGTACCTATGTTGCTCCTAGATCAAATGTGAAAGGATCCATATGCTTACTACTATGCCTTGTGTCGTCCACGGCAGACTTTTGATTACAAACTCCACGGAGACTCTCACATTCGTCATCAGGATAACGGCATCATGGGCTCTACAGCAGTTATTTGAAACCCCCACGTTGAAGGACGAAGGACATGACAATATCTCTATCAGAAGGTGCCCTGCTATGTAAGCTCAAGCAAGGTATCATGGATAGGCAATATAAAATCGACATTGTGTCGCGGTTAACAACAATAATTTTTACCACCAAAAACAAGAAATTCAACTGCTTCCCAGACACCTGATTCCATCATAATTTAAGTAACTGTCTAAACAGCACGCTCAGCCCTCCGTGCAAACACTAAAATGTCCTCCACTGACGACAAAAAGGTTCTCGTTGTCCTCGGCGCAACAGGAAACCAAGGCGGTTCAGTTGTCCGAACTTTTTTAAATGATCCAGTTTTGGCATCCCAATGGCATGTCCGAGGAACCACCCGCAACGCCTCGTCCGTTGCCGCAGTTGAACTCTCGAAGCTTGGTGCTGAGATGGTATCGGCATCTCTTTACTCGGAGGCAGAACTTCGATCCGCCTTCACAGATGCCACGGCCATCTTCGCCGTCACGGACTTTTGGACAGCCATACAAGATCCGGCACTTCACAAGCAAGCTCAGGAGACTGGAACTCACTTGACTATCATCGCGCAGGAGGTTGAAGAGACGTGGGGCCGCAATCTTGCTGCCGCCGCATCGGATATTCCAAGCCTCGAGCGCTTCGTCTTTAGCAGCTTACCCAGCGTGACGGAGCTTAGTCACGGCAAGTATAAGCATGTCCACCATTACGACGGCAAAGCCAACATCGTCAAAAACATACAGCAATCCTACCCGGAACTATGGTCAAAGATGTCCCAGATCTTAGTGGGGTCCTACAACAGCAACATTCTCCCGGGTTCATATTTTCCTCCTGTGTATAATCCCGCAACCAAGAAGGCAGAATTCGATGGACCAGTTTCCCCTGATGCCTTGTGGCCGTTCATCAATGCACCAATCAGCACTGGTCTGTTTGTCAAAGCATTGATTTTAGACGAGCCGGTCGGCACTATCCTAGCAGCGTTTGATGAGTGGAAGTCAATCCAGCAGATAATCGATCTTCTTACTCGTTTCACGGGTAAGGAGTTTGGGTACGTTCAAAAGACTGTTGAGGAGATGGCTGCTGCATCTCCCATTGGCTTAGAACTACCCGAGACTTATTTGTTCGCATCAGAATATGGTGCCCTCGGTGAAAAGGCTGACGGGTGGAAGAATACTTTGACATTGCCCTCAGATTTGAAGGCGAAGATTGAGCGTCCCAGCTTTGAAAAGTGGCTGCAGGAGCAGGATTGGAGTTCAGTGTTCGAAGCCGCTTAACGGGGCTCAAGGTGCCTGACTGGACTCATAGCATCTTGAATTCCGCTCTCTGTCAACGGATTGTTTGCGCAAAAACTTTGGATCTAATCATTGGAATCTTTTCATTAGCAAGCGTAGGTAGTTGTGGTAAATGGACGAAATTCATTATTTGATTAGTTCCCAAACAGTCAAGCCTTGGGGGTTACCACATCGAAGCCGACTTCTATCCTGAACAGTCATATCAGCACCTTTGCACCTGTGTAAGGAAGGTAAGCACGTCTTTCTTTCCTTTGTCCATCAAAAGAATGTCTTCGTGTCGAATTTCCCGCCGTAAGCGAATCATCTTGTCATGTCCGGATACTATTCCTGATTCAGCATCTCGTCCGATGCGGGAAGTATTAAACACAGAGTAGTCAAAACCGTCACATGCAACTTCTAAAGGTTCACAGAGTAGAATAAAAGCGGATATCGCCGATGGACTTGATGAATGAGTTAAGCCTCGAGCTAATCGGCAGGTATCGGATGAGCGGCACATATCCTTGCATCATGACTTGAGCTCTGAAATCGAGCGTTGAAAGCAATGGCGCTTTCCGTATCACATTGGCGAGTCTAGGGAGCATTTGAGTAGCTCAGCTTGTGTCGACACCCATAATGGATCAAAGTAGTGGGTTCTCGTTGTACTATCTGTACTATTTTAAAGTTCATGGTGGAAAGCGTGGATATCTGAAATGAGGCAGCGGAGATGGCAGCATCCCGTACTCCACTCAACTCTTCGCCAAGTATCCGTACACGATGTTTAGACGAACACAATCAAACATAGTCTCACTCCACAAAGAACGTGAGTCGCTAGCCTGCCAATTACTGAATACTCCGACGCTTAAACTGAGTTTCCCGCATGGCGTGCCCTCAAGTGAACCCCCCCGTGGCCGAATGATAGGGATAGCCCGAACGTTTCAAACCCACAACCAGGTTAAACCCGTTTAGACAGCTGGTTAAGGGACTGGTGGAGCGGAGGTGGCCGTAGGGTGCTCTCCATGCGGGGATCTTCGAGTTTGTGGGACGGGAGACACGGGAAAGACTTCCTCACCCGGCCTCGGTGGTCCCCTTGGTCCAGGGATTGGCGTTGTAATGCCGTCGGTAGATGCGCCTGACTAGCGCGCAACATCCATGTACGGGCCACCAATAATCATTGAAAATGTTAGCTAAAAGACCTTAGACTCAATGAATGGGCGGGAGACATGGCATTCTCTTGCTTGGATTTCCAACCAACCACGTCCGCGTTCCTGACCATGCGCGATAAGATCCCTCCAGACACCTTTCCGCATTGAGGACCGGCGATCGACAGAGTAACAGGGCTGGCGCTGACACCGCAAACCACCCAGTTGCTGCTCACTTGGCTGTCTTTGTTCATCTGGGCCAAACATGGGCATGTTACATTTTCAAGGAAGACAGAGTGTTCAATGATTGGAAAGTCTATTCTCGGGACCATCTATAAAGAGAGATATGTCTGCGCGACGTTGATCAGAGAAATGAGAATCTCATCAGCCCAGCTCGTCTAGCTCCTCTCTCTCTCTCCATCACCTCCGCCCTTTGTCCCGGTCAACATGCAGCTCTCTCTCGTCCTCGTCTCCCTCTTCGCCCTCGCGGCCCAGGCCGCCCCCGCGGAGCTGCAGAAGCGTGCCACCACCTGCGGCAGCACCTACTACTCCACCGCCCAGGTCAACGCCGCCGCCAGCGCCGCTTGCAACCACGTCCGCGCCGGCAGCCAGGCCGGCTCGTCGACCTACCCCCACCGTTACAACAACTACGAGGGCTTCAACTTCGCCGTCAGCGGGCCGTGGTACGAGTTCCCCATCAGGTCCAGCGGTGTCTACACCGGAGGTGAGTTTTTTTTCTATTCTTTTCTTTTCTTTTCTTTCCCATTTGTGTGAGCTTGGCGTGAGACATCGCGTTACGCATGTCACTAGCCACGGCGTTTGTGTGCAAGCTGACTGGTTGAAGGCTCTCCTGGTGCCGACCGTGTCGTCATCAACGGCAACTGTGGCCTTGCTGGCGCCATCACTCACACTGGTGCCAGTGGCAACAACTTTGTCGGATGCTCTGGTACTTCTTAAGCTGCTATGCGAGAGGTTTGGTGGAAAGGCTGATGTAGGGGCGAGGGATGGCGACGCTGCCGATTTACGGATTATGACTTTTTCAATTCAAAATTTCCGACGCTTGTTTGCGTCTTTTTCACAAAGATCTGCTGATTCCTTATACATCTTGACACCCTCAATTGCATTACTCATTGTATGCCATGAGCGACGTGGCGATGCAGTGTACTTGGCTCATGGGCTGCCGGCCGCTGTCTCATTCTCAAGACCACCATTTTTGGTTTGTCTTAAACGTAAAGACATGTTGGCCTAAACAAAACATTGGCTCATCGATGTGTAAACTCTTTCCCAGATACTTGTGTCTGTGTAAATGAGATGAACTTAATTGCTTGCAGGAGACATCAAGTTACACGGATAGACACGTTGCTTTTTAAGGTGATACAAAGAGTTCACGAGCCTGCAACTGCCTTAAATATTTTGATAAACAGCTGTAGTGTCATTTGAAATGGCATGTATGCAAGCCTCTACTACTTTATCAGCAACCATGATTTGCTGTAAACCAAGTGCTAATACCTCTGCAGTTTGGGAAGCCAGGATCTAGGGGGCCGTGGCCCCAAGCCAGCAACGTCACTTGAAGTAAATGTACGTGAACAATATGTTATAAACCCTCGCAAAGCTTGACATTGAGATGATTACAGCACCACCGATCAGACTCATTATTCTAGGTTGCGACACACTGTCGTCACTCAACGTGTATTAGCACAGTAAAAAGTTGAGATCAGTCCTATAAGTGAGGTGAAAGGCGGTCGATTCAAGGGAGAAAGGATTTAATGTTCTTACAGCCAATCCAAGCATCTTTTCTTATCCATGTCCAACCATATTCAGTGTTTGTTCTACAAGCTGTTTTTTTTTAAAAAACTACAAACACCTTCCACGGCTAGGAGATCTACACAGGAGGCATCTTTCTTCTTGTTGAGCTTGCAAAGCTTGAATTACAGCATACTAACTCTCTGTACTTTTTATCTAAATATTCAATCACTTATGCCTTGTCATTTTATCCCCTGGTTAGCATCCTCTGTGCAGTGTATTAAACCCATGCAACAAAATCCTCTTGAGCTAATTTCTGATAATTCCCTGCAGCTTGAGGAGATGTGAACTCTCACAATATCTGTCACCGAGTTCATCAACCATGAGTGCCACTCACCAAAGAAAAGAGCTATCAGCTTGGTTCCGTCGCGTCAGTGCGTTGGCTAAAGTCTCCTGGGATGAGGAGGTCCGGACTTTCTGCTTCGATGAAGATATGTCCGACATTGAGAGCCCAAAACCTGCACGTCATGATGAAAAGTGCAAGCCCAGTGGCGAGGATCGCGATAGCGAAGGCCAACCTGAGGATGAGGAAGACATGTCTGACTTTGACGACGACATGTCGGAAGAATCATATGACGGTCCTGAGGCAGAATGGTACTACTATCTAAAAGAACTCCGAGAAGAGCGGAAAGACAACCTACGAGAAATGGCACGAAAAAAGCAGGCCGCAAGGGAGTATGAGAGTGGCAAGGAAGAAGAGGTTCGCGCAGCTTACGAAGCTCTTAGGAAGGCAAAACGGGAAGGCAAGAAGCCACATTTGGAACCCCTTGATGGAAAGACGTTCCGACTTTACTCGACCGATCACGTTGAACATTTTTGGGACACAATTTACGCACCCAAACACGTCAATTTCCATCACGTAGACGAAGATTTCCTTGACGCTAGCCACCTTAGCGGACCACCTTGGCCATGGGAACAGGAGGCCGTATACACGAACGGCAAGCGGACTGTCCAAGGTCAAATATACTTGGACTCCGGCACAGGCTGCGAATTCCCAGAATTCCGCTCACCTAGTCGCCCGAGTCGGCGGAAACGTGTCATGGAGAGTCATGACGGCAAACACAAAATAGTGTTCAAGTTTATCAGCAACGAATATCTGACAGTCAAACTTAGTCGCGACTTAGTCTTCGAGGACCACCACGAACCTGTGCCTGAGTCCGCTCCAAAATTCTTCAAGTTTAGTGGCATTCTTCTCAATTGGAAGAAGGAGAGGGTGGAGAGGCTCCATCGGCAACATTAGACATTGTCTGGCGACAATTGAGCCGAAATGGTCCTCGGATTAAATCGTAAAACATGACTATTCGGCCGTTTCTTTTCATTTCGTACATTAAGAAACCAAAGGTTTGCACGCATCTCTTCTGTTTTCCATCTTGTGGTAAAGGGCCGAGGATGATATGCCTGGGGCTCTTGAAGCCATTGCCAATAGCTGCTGTTGAAAAGAAGTAGAGTCAAGAATTGCTAGCGTGACATAAAAGTTTTCTACTAGTCAATGCAAGGTTCCCAAAGAGATGCCTTGCTTCCTCTTATCTATAGTGGCCCAGTCAATTCATAAGTCTCGACTTGTCCTACTCCAAAGCAGATGAATAGCCTACATATCTTGTCAAGCGGATTGAAATGCTCTAGAATAGTTCATGGAAGTAAATTGGAAGCCATTGATCTATACGCAGAGCCTTTCACGCTGTCTGTTCACAGTAGCTATTGCATATATTGACCTGTCACCAGTTACTTTTGCTGGGCTGTTTCCACCACTCTACCATGGCGCTAGTGCAGCTCGGCCCTCTTTGACATTGGTCCTTGAGAAAATTACAGATTGGCTTACTTGGAAAGCTTGGTCAAGTCTCTTGGGTATAATTGGCATTCAAATGTTTAACTACCTACCTAGGTACTGTTTAGCAGTTTAACATGCACCACCTGCTAGTCCTGAAAACCGATTTTACACATGAAATCTACTACATGTCAAGTCGTATTGTATACCAAGATATCTGTAGCTGCCTGTTGCCTATGGCAATGTCGTAGAACATATTGCCAAGATGGAAAGTGACGCGCCAACAACAGACTGTTGACACCTTTGGTGCTAGGACACTGGTTGGAATTGCATCCCCAACGCTTCTGGAACTAATTAATAGGTCACAGCGTATTGTTCCACCTGAGTACACGGGCCTGCCCAACTTGATACTGGGCTGAATTTGCCCCACGTTGGGAGCTAGACGGACAATTGACGCGAGCACTGCATGATTCCCCATGGATATGGATCAGGCTAAGGTAGCAACAGGATGGTAACTTTGCGCGCTACATCTTGCGAATTATTTCTGCCACTAAGTTTGCTTGATTCAATCTGACCAATAGTCGCACCCTTCTCTTTTGCATGGGGTCATGTTCCTTGGGTAGCAAGCAAAATATGCACCTTGCTCCTTGAAGAAATTTCCGAGCGTCCTAGCCCTGCTTACACCCAAACCCGACAAAGCTTCGTATTCTTGTCAGAACAACTCATCTTACTTTATCACAGGTGGTTCAAGCCTTTGATAATATTAACTCAGAGTATAGAAGTATCTCCAGATACCTACGCAGCCCAATGCGATGAATCCGACGCTGGTGCTGGGGAAAGGGCGCAGTGCATGACTCACTGTCATCGAAGAACTCAGCAGCAGAGCCAATGACCAGGAAATTTGTTCAGCTCGCCAAGAAGAGAACTACACTCGCTGGCGCCTAGCCTTAGCGGTCGTTGCACACTCTGTACTCAGAGCCCTAATCCAGACCGCCAAGATCCAAAGCTTGTCCCTGTCCAGACAGGGATGGGTTGTTAAGATTGTAAGACTGGGAGGATAATTCCCCCGCTTACCACCCCCCTCATGGAAAATAAAAGGACATGGGTGAGGTACCCGACGCCGCACCAGCGAATGACGAACAGGGCTAAAAGTTCAGCTGTCATTTTCCAGCACTCAGAATAAGAAAAGCCTCACATTAGCTTGTTTTCCGCTTCGCGTGTAGCCAATGATGGTTCCATTTCCTCTGCGAGCCCCCTGATGCTGTGCTCGCGTGTTGTAACTGCGTAGCGAGGCATCCTTGACATGGCAGGGCAGAATTAGGGAGTCTTCTAGTTAGATTTCGAGAAGGCCGTTTAGTATTTAGTACCTGCGTTTGGGCGTTCGTGGCTGCCGAACTCTGGCGCCTTTTTCTGTGTGTTCGGTTTTTGGTGCTTGCGGTGTTCTGCTTTAGCCGCTTGATTTTTTTTCCATTTTTGCAGGCAGATTTTTCATCATGATTGAAATCACTGTCGGTTATGTTGCTGGTATCATCGCCGCGGCCATTGTAGTTGGTGAGTATTTGCTTGCCCGAGAATAAGTGGATATAAATCCAAACAACAAGAGCCAAGTACTGACCCAGAAGCGCAGCTCAGATATGGTGCCCAACAGCAATCGCCTTGATTCTGGCCGGGCTGCTTGGTGACACTGAGACTGCCGCCACATGGTATGTTGAGACACTAGTGAACCTGTTCTTTTGCCATAACTTTCAACTGTCAGTTCGCTAATGGTATCAATGCTACAGGAATATTGCCAGTCGCCTTTTTCAACGCACGTGGTGGCCGACTATACTCCAGTCAGATTCCGTCCTAACACACGGCGCTCGCCTCAAGATCAGTCTCATCTCCTGGTCCGTCCCAATAATCTCTATCCTTATTGGCGTCGCCGGTGTCGTCACTCCTCTTGGTTTGTACGAAGAACTCGACACACTCGATTCGAAGCTGGGAGCCTTTTCCTATGTCAAAGATACGGGTCCTTTTGGAGATGGCACCTCCCCCAGAGGAGTATACGACTTCTCTAGAATCTGTTACTGGGGCCATGGAGTTTTGCAAGGTCCCGCGCCGTGTCCGCACTCCGGCAATAGCGTCATAGTTACAGGATCCAATGGTACCTTTAACTATTCGATGCCCAATGGGTACACCTCCAAAGTCGGACCGGTTGTAAAAGAAATCTTCTCCAGTGGAACAAAAGGTCAAACGACGATATCCAACTTTTTTGACATTGAGTACCGACAAATCAGCACCCGGTCCTACAAGTTTGTCGATAACAAGACCGACATCCCTGTGGGTACTTTCCGTCAGCTCGACAGTAACATCATGGACCCTTCTTACAAGGTTATCGAGGGTCTCGTGGTGGATGCCACCAGTGGCGGTATCGGCCTTCGGAACCACACTATCCCCACAAACGTCGAGGAGGGAGCCAGCTGGTCAGAGGATCTCCTTTTCATTGAGCCACTTGCAGGTTGCGTCAACACCAACTTGACATTGGATTGGGAGATAGACCTCGACAATAGCACCAGTAACGTCCCACACCCACTTCTGGGCACCCCCCACATTTGGGCACCCCATTTACACCAAAAACGCCGTTTTTCGAAATTCTATATTAAACTAAATACTTTACTTATTAAAGAGAATAAATATATGTTAAATAGATTAAGACTTAATTATAATACTTAAGTAGCTATATACTAGTATTATTGATAATAAGTATTATAAATTCAAGGTTTAACATTTATAATACTAATTTACCTAGCCTATATCTTAATATATAAAATAGGTAGAGATATTTAACTAATATGATTAGAATTTTTAAGTAAGATATAGTAGATTTATATATTCTTATACTTAGTAAAAAATTCTTTAAGCTTAGAATAATATTTTAAAATTTCCCTTAAGAAAAGTTTCTATTATAGAATTTTAACCCTTAATTATACTATATTTACTAAAGTAATACTTTTAAATCTCTTTTAGATATAATTATATACTTTTAATAAGTATAAATATTAATTTCCTAGATTTTTTAAATAAGTATATATAACTTAAGCGAAAATATATTTTTCTAATGTTAAGGAATACTAGTAAGTTACTAGTATCTACTAACATTTTAAAGCTTTTAGTTTTAAACTTCTATATTATAACTATTATTATATTTAAACCTTTATAAAAAATTAGATGGCTATAATTATACTTAACATAGTTTATATATATTTTCTTTTCTTAGTAAGTATAGTAGTTAGTTTAATATAGAATTTCGAAAAACGGCGTTTTTGGTGTAAATGGGGTGCCCAAATGTGGGGGGTGCCCAGAAGTGGGTGTGGGACGTTATGTCTCGAGTTTCCAAACTTCGACTCACCGACCGTGGCGGCTTTGTTAACCTCAACACGACGTATCCATACTATGATCATGCCAACGCACAGTCGAACCCAGACCTAGTGGCAAGAGCCTACAAGGCTGCGTATCTCAACAACGTCTGGACCATGATGTACTTCAATGTCACGACCGGTAACAACAAAACGACGGGAGCGAAGGCTTTCTCGTACCTGGACTCCGAGTTGAACAAGGAGTTTCCGCTCAAAATAGACTCGTTGACAAATTACCGGGCCGTGGGTTTGAGCCAGAAATACGGAAACTACCTGAGTTTTACTAGTGGACTCTCCACTGACAAATCGGCCAACTGGTCAAATCCTTTTGGAGTCGATGCGGATAAGTTTAAAGACGCCCAGTTGATCTGCTCAGGGGCCGGGTCAGGTGATTACGCCAATATTTCTAACATCTACGTGGGCTGCGGCTTGCTTCGTGGTGCCCCGAAAAGAGTTGATGATGGGATTGCCAAGTCTCTTTTCGAGAACCATAGCAAGTGGTCTTCGACACTCCATTCCTGCGCAGCAACTGTGCGAGCTGTCGTGAAAACAGTGACCTTCACCGTCAACGGTACGGATGGTCTAAACAGCCTGAAGGTCACGTCCGTTAGCACGAAGAATTATACAAGTCCGGAGGAGTATCCGCTCTGGGGTATGGAGGACTCTGGTTTAAAACTGGATGGCGTCAGCCCTGTCTGGGGAATTATTTCCCCCGAGTATGCCACAAGACCCAACATATCATCTGTTCGGCAACCGGTCTTCCATTTGCCAGGATACTCAAGCTCGGTCTTCTCCAGTCCTCTCGAGGTTGGAGCTGGCGTCATGCTATACAACCTTCCTGGCAGCGATTTTGCGCGAAATGTTATGGATGTGATTTTCTCGAAAAACACTGGGTCTGGAGGAGCTCTCGGAACCGACTGGCCTTTTGACCTTGCCGGCGCTGCAAATATGCCCATCTTCAAGAGATGGCAATCACTTTCTAGTGATTCCGATAGAATATCCCGCGTACTCGAGCTTCTGTGGACTGACATTGCGGCATCTGCTGTCGTTGGCACAAAAGGTGCGCTTGGGGCTGCCAACAGTGGCGCGGAAGATGAAACGACCAGGATTGTTGTCCAGCCATACGGCAGACGTATCAAGTACCGATATGCTTTCGGTATTCCAGCATTCATCTTGCTGCTGGTGATGATTTCGATCCTCACAGTTCTGATAGCAACAGCTATCTTTGCCTCCTCGACTGTCACTGTCCTTCGACGTCGCATTCAGCAACTCACCGTCGGCCGAGTTTTGACGACATTCCTGTACCCAGAGAACAGTAACTTGTTCATTTCAAGCAAGGAATGGAGTCAAAACAATGGAGAAAAGGTCATCAACCTTGGAGGAGCACCACAGAAAACGACGAGCGTTCATGAAACACACGTTCAGTACCCGCCGGTGACTCCCGCCGAAGAGGTGACGGTTGGTTTGATGGGAGGTGACAGGAAGCCAGGGTACTAGTCGATCCTTACATCGAACTTTCTACTTCGGTATCTCATCAACCACCTGTAATTTCTACTTTTGTGCGGAAAGGAATCCGGAGGAAACTTCGTGTCTTGGCTCCTGGCACTGGCTGTGACGTACACACAATCACTGAGCCCAGATTTTGCATTTCGTTCCTTGCATTATGATTAACGATCGAACTGAAGTTTTTGGAGGTGTTAATTGGCTTTCGTATGAATAAATTCTGTCTAGATATCATTAAAAAAATTCTTTTCTTTTTTAACCCAGCGGCTACTTGAATTCTGCCATTGAAACCTATAGTCTGTAGACAAGCTTCGTTCCAGAAATAGTTCCATCTCGGTATATTTGGAATCCTTTCGATACGCCATCAAGGCCGCCAGGGATTATTGTGGGCTTATTCGGCTTAATCTTCCCTTCTTCAACCCAAGCCGGAAGCTTCTCGAAAAACTCAGCCCCAAGTCTATGATCATCCTCATGTGCCTATGTCGATAGGTCAGCAACTTGTCAGTAGGAAAGGAGAAGATGGCAATGGCAACTTACCGGCCAGTGGAAGCTGCCGTATCGATGCTCTTTCAAGAAAGCTGTCCAAACGAGGACGTCTGTAACCGTAGTTTGCTTGGTGACATCTTCCGTGTTGGCTTTGCCAGGCCTCACAGTGCATAGGCGGCCGCCACTCTCATCAATGACTTGAGACCCGAGGCCGGATGAAGTCTTGTTACCAATGGTATCAAAGACGTATCTAAGTCCAGGTGCTGCTTTCTTGATCAAATCGACAACATTCTCGTCATGGTAGTCGTACACATGCTTTGCCCCGAGATATTTTACTAGGTCGAAGTGTCGAGGGCTACAGGTGGTGAAGACCTTGAAGCCGTGCAAGGCTGCAATTTGGATTGCATATAGACCGACGCTGGCTAACACAATGGTTAACAAGAAGCTCGCTTATGTAGTTTCGTCAAGGCTTGCTCACAACTGCCACCCCAGATCAGGATCGAAGTATCATGCCCGCTGTCTCGGGGTATAGCCAGGCAGTCCTTCGAGAACAACGCAAGCCATGATGTCATTGAAGCCAGAGGCAGTGTAGCAGCTTCCTCTGCGGTGATGTTCTGAGGAACACGGAAACTGATGCGGTCATCCGCTAGGGTATACTCGCTATAACCTCCAATTCCTTTGGTTTCACCTGTTCACAAGTTAGAACGCCGTTGCACAGCCATCTGTGAAATTAATAATCACAAACCACCCCAAATCAGGCCAGCGACCTTGTCGCCCTTCTTCAACTTGCTGGCCTGGCTGCCAGTCTCTTCGACAGTGCCGACGAAGTCGCAACCCAACACTGCACCATCGCCAAAAGCTTTACCGTCGAATGCTTGTACTAAATGGGATTAGAGATTTGAAGCTATTTGTATGACACGAAAGAGGGCAGCCTTACTGTCTGTTGGGTTCTGGGCAACATGCGAGACCTTCACCAAAGCCTGGTTGGGCGCTGGCTCAGGCACCGGGATGGACTTTTTCACCAAAGTTGGTGACCCTTCCTTGGAGGTAACAATAACAATAGCTTGGCAAGTTTTTCCGCTCATGTTGATTATGATGAAATATCGATACAGTGCAACGAGGCAGGTGAAATTACTGTAGTATTAGGTGTCTAGATGTTGGCTCTGATGTCGTAGGTTTCTTGAAGTGTATCGTTCAACTTTATTTTCTTGGGAGACGTCATAAGAAGCTCATCACCGCATATCTGATTGATGCGGGGTTGCTAGGTGAATACATTACAAATGAACTACCTTATTACAAATCTGTCTCGGCCACCTGTGCTAAATTGCGGGCCAAACCACACAGGCGAGTCGCGGTGGGTTTTCCGGTGATATGATTGCTGATACACCGGCCGGAAATCTCGCGGTTTTTGTCCCTCAAGATTTTGATGCTTATCAGTGTATCTCAAGATAAAGCAGCGCATATTATGCACAGAGAAAGACTAGAGTTGCCGGCCCAGAAGCTATCTCTGAGCAAGAGCCGTCATAAAACATCAAACAAAACCTGCAATCAATTCTACTGCCTACCATAGGCAGCACTATTTCGGGCCAACGTTTTCGCTAGTGTTCCAAAATCCCCCTTCTAAATAATCACCTGTAGTATAATTCGTTCGGCATCGTAGAAACTTAACAATCTTCAGGAGGCGGAGATAGCCCCGCGGATCGGAACAACGGGAAATTGGAATTTAGGCATATTACGTTGAGATTGCGGAACATTCCTTGTGCCACTCACCAAACAGCGGTATAAACAGTATAAATCAGGGCCCCCACGTCACAAGGGATTGAGGGGTAGAATTGAATTCATAAGCTGGGGAGCTAAGAACGTTGCTCATCAGCGTGATAGGCGAAGCGGATAATTAAGCTGTTGTGAATCTGGTACAGGCAAATACTATCAATCTGCCTCACCAGAGATATTTGATATTGATGAATGAAAGTTGTTGAAGGGACAATAGTAGCAATAAGCACAATGTGGTTATTAGCCCTTGCACGCCGCTCTTGGCCATGGCTCCCAGTTAGACAGGATATATACCAGTTCGCAATCCTGAAACATGCATATACATAAAAGTTGATTACATGCATTTAGAATGCTAGCATGTAATTGCTCATTCTTGTGGCAGCTCAGGTGAAATGGGATCATTGCATGATTGCTATGCAGCCTCGGACGAAGGAATCCTGCGGCTTCATGCTCCCTCAATGCTTTATCTTCTGGTCAGTATAGCATATAATGATGCCGCGTGTCAATTGGGCTTCAAAAGAGGGGGAGGGGTGAGTTGAGATAGTCGCTTCGCATGAGTCGGATCAACGTTGCGATGCTTACTACCAACACAGAAGCCCATTGGTACAGCAAAGCAATACTCCGCATTTCAAGTTGGGCTTATAAGTTCTTTCATAGTAATCAATGGATCTGTACTACTAGAACTTGAAGTAATAGGATATGGACTTGCCTATCGAACTACATAGGAAAGACGGAGCAAGGCCCGTGAACAAAAAAGGTTGCGGAAGAGATCTTCCGTCGGCCCAAATGGAAATGACTGGCGCTGAAAGCCCTTAGCGAAACGCCTCATATTTTCAGCTGGTATTTCCAACTACCAAAACAGTAGTTGCTGATGCGGGGGTGGCTTTGTTAAAGCCTGAGATCATATGACATGGAGCAGCTTTCCCCCGATTGACATAAGCAGTGACTTTGACAGCATTTTGATGAAGTTTACTTATCAAATAAGTATAAGATGAGAGCTTAATACTGATGTCTATTATCTTAATTAGTTTGAAGTTCCATGGTATTCACTTCAACTATAATCTGAGTTCTTGATTTCAATTATTTTTACGTCAAAGATTCTTGTAAACCTACGCTCTCAGTTATGAAGCTGTCAAACTTTATCCTTCTAGGGCTTTATAGCCTTGTGCTTGCCAGCCCAGTTGACGACAAGACCTCGCCCCGTTTGCAAAGTACGTAACTTATATAAATGATGCTGAGATCTTTTATCTACTTGCCGGCAAGAGTCTAACTGATGATACAGAGAGATGCCCCAATTCAGCGTCTCTGTCAGCGTGCCAGACTGCATGCAATTCGGTTGTCATTAACGGCTGCAAGTCTTGCAATGGAAGTCCATCTTGCCTGTACAACTGTCAAACTGCGCGAAGGAAGTCATGCAATGCCTGCTGTTCTAAACGCTGTGTCACTTGCTAAGGCTGTCAGGACCACTTGGATTGGGATGATATATCGAATTATAATGGGTAGTACAGCCCTGCAGGTTCTTGGAGTTTGTAAGCATATGTATACCTTACCCAGAATTACTTTGCATGATTGCATCTCAAATTGAATCTGCTTTTAAGACACAATAAAGTCGTACCGTTGCCATACATGCAATACCCAGCTGCTTGCCTGGTAATGAACAATGTTTAGTAAATAGTTATTGTTTCCCAGTTCACATCCTTTGGCCTACGCCACCAGGCGAGCTTCTCCCACCATGTTCTTCTCTTGAGGGCAGCAATTGCCTCCCCATTCATGATACCGTGGACTTGGATGTCAGTTAGCAGCGAACCTTGAAGCCTCTTTAACAGTATTTAGTACTCACCATAAGCCTCCCCAATCAGTTGAAATGCAGAATCTTGACCTTTTTCATCCCTTATCTGTCGAAGAACCAAAGGAAAATTGCAACCAGCAATGATACAAATTTTGTCACCCTTGTTAGACAAAGCGGGGCCGATGCATAGTCGTTTTTCCGCTTTTGTAGTGAAGAATCGCCGCAGTGGCATTGTATTGCTGATGACCTCCTCTTCTGTTTTTTCACCCCGTGAGCCCCCCATCATAACTGTTCTGACCAACGCTGGTAAATCATCCACGACATAACCATTACACCATGAGGGTATAACTTGCTCAAAAGTCGCTTTGGCAACGGTGCAAGCGTCTTCAACTACTGGCCCAAGCTCGACTATCTCATGCTCTTGAGACGTTCCAAATAACCCAACCTCATCCATCACTACGGCATGAACTTGCAATGTAGAAAGGTCAGGCCCAAACCGTGCCACTTTGCTTTCTTGTCCACATGCCGTGTAACCGTGCCCGTTGACGATGATTGATATGACTGAGTGTGTGAACAGTAGAGACCTCAACCGTGACCTGTCGACGAGATGATGTGGTCTTCTGTCAAGGGCCTTTGAGCGCCAGTCTGGAACCCAGGATGGCAATGTGCCGCCATTGCATGGGTCTTTTGGCCCACCAGCTGCTAAAAGGATATCAAGATTACCTTCGGTCAGAATGATGTCTCTAGCCGTTTCACAGAAGACCTGTCTTGTGGTTTTGTGGTAATCAGGAGGCGTGAGGCCTTCATTCTTGCCAACAAGGCTTGATATAGCGAAAACCTTATCCCGTGGGTCAACAGCCTCCCGATCCCACGTATTCCATAGAAGATCTGATAGATTCCCACTCAGTAACCTCTTCTTACTCAGATGCAAAGCCAACTTGTAACGCTTCTTCAATTGTGGCCATATGTCGAGCCTGAAGCCTTCATTATCGGTCATAACGCTCTGTATATCATCCCATGTCTCCTCATATGGTAATGCCTTTTGAAATGTTTTCCACTTCATTTTGTGTGGCCCGCATTGAAGTATCGTTGCATCGCTAGCACTCCAGACTTCTGGCACTACCCATACCCGACTCCACCAAGGACGTAGAAGAAGTCGGTCGACGGCAGCCCAGTCATCAGCATATCGGCTAACGAAAAAGTCTCCCATATCATTCTCATAGAGAATTGGCCTACCAAAGGCGATGTGCCCGACTCTGGTTGCGTTTAGAGCCCAGGCATCAATGCAACTGTCCCAGGCTTTACTGATTCTCCAACGAAACAGTGGGTTCCACCATCCCAGAACAAAATAGTGATGATATCGACGGTAAGCAAAGTCTTTCATCCTGTCCAAGGACGCTTGAACCCGTCTCCAAAACTGGTAAAATGCGTTATGTGGGGTGTCATCCATTTCAACTTCATCCAAATAGGTCGCTATATTCTCATGCGAGGAGAACTGGGGAGAATCAGCAGTCTCATCTCCGTTAGTATCACTATCCTCGGAAGCAACATCGGCAGTTGAGTCACTGCCGTATCCTTCGTCGGCATCTCCTGAATCCTCCTCTTCTGACTCATTGTCTGACTCGCCTTGACACATTCCGATACCACATTCGGAGCTAGTATCAGACCCCAGCCTTCTGCTCCCCATATAGTGGCCTCGGTCAGCCCATTTTTTGTGCATCGCCATCCTTTTGAGGAACGTAAAGGCTCGATCAGTGCTTCCATCATCTGAGGCCAGTCCTAACCAGAGAATGACGCGTCGGGCCTGGGAGTACATATGTCGCATTCGTAGCACATGAGAGTTTTTCTCAGCAATATTTCTTGGGTTGATGCTGACTGCATCGAGCCAGATTGTTCGCGGCTCGGTGGTATGGCGAAGAGAGCGGAGAAGGGATGAAAGACATTGAGTTATCGGTAAGATTTGTGGTTCAGGCTCCAAGTTTGCGCCAGGACACGACAGAACGTTGAGTGTGTCACTCAATTCGAGAGTGTCGCAAGCATATGATACAGCCTCATAGACGGGAGCTGATTCGAGTGGAGTTGAATAGAACGAGCAGGAGAGGGCATCGGATGTGTTTCCAGGCTGTAGAACAAGGAGTCTGATGTGACCCTGAGGAAGCATTCCATACGTGTAACTCATTGTGCTGGAATTAGGTATGAGCGGGCAGTATTTAATATCAACAAAGATGAACAGAAGCACATACAGATGAAGGCTAATGGTTTGGGTCTTGTTGTCTTTGTCAGTGGAAGAAGCAAAATATCACCAAAGTAAGGCAAGGAGGTGTCAGCAGCCGCTAAAGAGTAAGCGGTTCTAATTGGTGAATCTGGAGCAAGGGTCTTGACTTGCTGGGGTAAAATCGGTCTGATCTCTCGGCAAGGACTCATCTTGTCCAGGGTACTCAAAACAGAATCAGAAAAAGTAGCCTGAGTAGGTGTCAACAGTTTTTCAAGGATACTGAGTCTTTACATCTATGTATTGCCAAAAAAAAAAAAAAAAACAGAACCAAGGATTAACAACTCATATAAATTCTGGCTAGCGAATCAAGCGCTGTCGAAGTTTTCTTAATTGCTGGACGTGGGTGCCTAAATTTAGTTAGTCAGAGAAAGTCGTTGTTTTCACTTAGACAATCTTAATGCTAATCGATAGAAAGACATTTTGGTTTAAGCCACACAAGTTTTATTTCAGGTAGAAAACAGCGATAATTAGAAACAGCTCGAGGATCACCCCAGTAGATGTTGCTAAACGGTACATAGGGCAAAGGGGGAATCCTGATCAACTTGACCGCACTTCCTGAGATTACCCAACTTGGAGTCAATGACCATCAGTTATCTTCCCCAGTTAAGCACCTCCCGAGTAATCTTCACTCTCCCAAGGCAACCAAGCAGGAGCAGGGCTCCTATCTCCCGAACAGTTTGAGTAAAATTCAGGAAGCTCAGGGTCCTCATCAGGCCAATCACCCCAGGCCGCAGGGAAACCTTGTATGCCAAAGGCTCCGGCCCCTTCGCCGTTTGACCAGTACACGCGGAATGGAATGTACTCAGACGCATCCTCAACATTGAGATAGAATGATTGATCAGGCCATTTGATATCCTTATCTCTCCCGCCGAAATCAGAGTTACCAGCCCGGAAACCTCCAGACCTGGCCTTGTCTCCAAACCAGATCAGGACCACATCTTGGACCCCACCGAAAAAGAACTCATAAATCCCAGGAACTTTGACCTTGATATAGCCGCGATGCACAAGAATGTTGCATTCCAAGGTAGATCCTTCGGGGCCTCTCAGCCCAGCGTAGTTGATTGGTGCATTGCCGTTTAGTTGCTCGTAGTAAAGATTTTGGGAGAGCCCAACACCTGAAGGAACACGGCCTTGAAGAAGGCTCCCAAGGTCGTAGGCCTTTGCGCGAAGGTTTTGGTTAGAAAGTACGTTTGTGCACAACGTCGAAGTTGGTTCGATGACATGGTGGGCAAACTCAATACCCTTGGTGCATGATGGCTGAGAAGCTGAGCTGGTCGGCGTGGTGGCAGCAACGGCTGGTGCCGTTACTGTAATTGTTGTGGGCTTTACGCCATCAAAACATTGGCAGGCAGACCAGTACGCAGCAACGTCGCTGCAGGCGCTGGCATAATCCGGCTTTTTACCAGTAATGACGGGTGTTGGAGTTACTTGGCGAGGGCCGTGGACATTTCTACCATCTATAACCGTTGGGAGCTGAAGCTCAGCAGAAGGCTCCGGCCTGTAACGGCACATCAGACGTCTGTTTGATAGAAACAACAAAGTATTTTGCTTACCCAGACGTTACTGTAACATATGTAGTCACAAAGTCTGCGCACAAGGACGATCTCAAGTCCCAGGAAGGGGGGTCCCTTACGGCTGTGCCGATGACTTGCCGGCCGCAGTTATTGTTGCATGGCCCGGCTGAAGCCAACTGGGGGAGGATGGCGATACCGAGAAGCGTGAACAGCTTCGAAATCATTTTCAGACTTTCAAATGTATGCAAATAAATAATCCAAGTTTGGTTTGATATGATTAGAAAGACTGGCAGTAGAATCTGGTGGGTAATATTGAGATTATATAGTTGGTTGCTCAGTGGCTCTTATTTGGAAAAGCTTGCGTCGACACTTTAAGATCAGTGTTATGTGTTTAGGTTGTCAACTACCACAACGCTTGCGAAGGGCGCTGTGCCTGTAAGCCGCATGCAAGTGGAAGTGAAGCTCCAAAAAGGGTTCTGTTGTCACGATAAGCTGGGGTTACATGTCAGCTGAAAGGGAAGCGAGATGCAAGGGACCACTCAACCATTCCACCTTAGGGTTGATTATTTGCCCCTGCGCAAGCCACATTAACCTCAACATCAAGACGCTAAGCTGGTGTAGTGCTAAAAAGGCACTCTATCATCCAGGATATACGTGTGGCTGAGATAATTGTAGCTGATTTTAATCATAGATGGATATTTCAGCTTGCAGAAAACAAATAGCCAACTGCATGCAAGGCCCTGAAGTAAGACCGAAAGTATCGGAACAACGTTTCAGCTGACGCCCTCTCGGCCTTCCCGCAGGGAAGTTGAAGCTCGTTGCAAGGGCGCTATTGGACAAGTGCCTGACGTCTTAGATCGGAATATCCGACTCAGATCAGTTTGCTCGGTATTTAAGGGCTGCCTTTTTTCTCAAACTCAATAGTAACGCTAAGTTCGTCATTCGATTTACCCTGCCCTTTGACCACGTTGTAGACTGCAAATTGCAAATTCAAAGGTCAGAATCCAGATCAAGGTCTTCAGTCATGAAAGATGATGGGGATAGTTACTTAATGCGATCAAGTTAGTTTCACAAAATTCAAAAGGAATTACAGTACATACATAGGATTACAACCACGAAACGAAGTTGCTATCAAATCCCAAAACCCCACGTGCCTTTGTGTGCATCTAGATTCATTTCTAAGTGATTATCACACCATAAGGAGATCCAAACAACAGTACCAGTAAGTTCAAAAGTAATGTTCATGTTGTAAGTCTGTCACTGGGCTTTTCAGACACAAGAGGGTAGCCGGGATAAGGTGCCTAGCAGGAGAGTCTAGCAATTCAAGGATCAAATTTAATTGTTGAAGCATTCCACCGTATCGCAAGCGGTCGCGGGTAAATACTTGTCGTTTTTGCAAATCACCGAGAGAACATGAGACCGAGATCACCTGCTGCTTTTAGGACTGCCCCATCGGACATTTTACTTGATCACTTCATTTTAGGGATAAACGCGATGTTTAACATTTTTCAGGCCAACGAGAAAGGTCCTGTGTCAGATCTGCTTAATACATGATTCTAAATATGGAACAATAAGATTGTATGGCATAACTGACGAATTGAAATCATGTTGGGAGTGCACAGTAATGCTACAAAGCTAGCTCGCTGTTGGCGTTTAATAGCGCCGTGAGGGATGAGACCAGCCATGTATCCAAGTTGGAATGTAATCATTATTCAGGAAAGAACTAGAGCGGGAGTTAAGACATTTCACAACTGAAAAAAACCGCCCGGTCCTATTTCGAGAAATACCAAAGGCGAAGGGAAACAGCTGACATGGAGAGCAAACGATAGCGCTTATACGGATGCACATGTTAAAAAGATGACAGCATATTCAGATCATTCTCGTCGTTTTATCAGAAAAAGAAGCCCAAAGAAAGAAGGTGAAAGCAAAATATTGAAAAAATGTCTGAGTAAAGTTGCCTATCTAAACTACCTTAAAATGGGATTGGAAACACGGTGGCAGGGACTATTGACAAGTCCTCTACCAACCTTATCATAACCACTCGTATTCCAATGAAGACAATGCCTGAGCTCTCCATGCTTTCAGGCTTCTCCAAATTTTGCGGAAATGATTCTCATATCTATAAAACTACCGAGGAATCAATCTACCACGGGTGTTGTTAGGCGCCTAAACTCTGGAAAGTTCTATTCCAACCCCGCACTCTCCCACTCTTGCCTTCAACTTTCTCTCGAATGGCTGGCATAGTCCAAGTTGGTGATTAGCTTTTTGACTTGAATAAACTATGAAAAGAGAGAAGGATAAAGGCTCTCCAAAGTGCACAAGATACAAAAGTCAAAGACCGAAGCTTTCATTTTCGTCAAAAAGCTTAGATTGCTTTACACAATGTGATTTTGCTTTGAGTTACAGCAACTGATCCAGCCGTTTTCGTTAATAAATGTATAAACGAGACCAAGATTTGGAAATTCAACGGCCAGAATTGAGAAGGAGTCCAATGTCAACCGATGAGTTTGGTCGCTACGCACTTTGATTTCCTGGAAAAGAACACCATACGCAGACAGCACTCCATCGACAGACGAAGGGATTGCATTAGCATATCAGAGAGGCCCACTGATACGGAGAATTGCGGGCTTCAAAAGAATCTCAACAGCCCCAAAGGAGTTTGGCTTCGGTATGGTAATGCAGTCAGCAAGTGGATGCGGAATCATTTCCATAGATATTAGCCAATGAGAACCGTTTTTCCGAATCCTTCACGCGTGAACTGACGATAAATCGCCCGAGCCGGAGTCGATGCCACGGGGAATCCAGCTGGGTGGCTCGGGCAAACCACTCAATATGGACCGTGGAGAGCAGATCTTTCCAATGCCATGGGTAACAATTGTGCGAAAATGTCCTAGCCAGTGGGGAATTTTCGACAGATTGCTGCAGAATGCACTGCGACTCTGCGGGCATTGTGCGCTACAATGCCGCTACTCAGACAGTTCTTGAGATGATTGGTTTTTAAAACATCTCATGTAACATTACAAAGGTACATATCCGGCAAGCCCAATCCTAGTTGCGGAGACTATCACCGCTTCGCCAGTTCCAAGCCGGACTTGATGTCAACTTCCGTTTAGCGTGACCTCGAGGTTTATGCCGTCGACCTGTGAAATTTGGGTCGCCAGTGGAGAGCGTTAATAAGCCGCGAAGGCGTTTGGAGTTTGAGCCGTTTATATGTGTGACAGCCAGGTCATTCCTACGCGATTTCCGTAAATCTACGTTCCCACCACACGCCTTGCTCTCCTAGCCCTTGATTCTGATAAGATGACAGAAACTGTCCTGATCTTTGGTGCCTCTGGCAATATCGGAGTGTCTGCAGTGATTGGTGCCCTTCGAGCCAAGCGCAACGTCATCGCCCTCGTGCGTAACCAAGAAAGCGGGAGGAAGATTGTAGATTATGTTGGTACGAGCGATGGCATCACGATCGTCGAGGCCGACATAACTTCTGAAGATGCGATTCAGGGAGTAGTTGATCAGGTTCGCGCAGGCAAGCTGCCCTCCTTTCAGCACGTCTTCGCCTCTCGTAAGCACTGGTTTTGGTTCTTGCCCTTCGTTAGTGTAAAGTCTCGCTGACAACAACCTACAGCTGGAGGACTCTACTGGGAGACGCCAACCGTCGAGCTTGAAACAGCAGCGCTTCGTGAAATCATGAGAGTCAATGTAGAAACATATCTTTGTAAGCCTTGCAACTTAAAACTCGAGGTCACATGAGCACGACGCTGACAATTCTCGCACTCCAGATGCCTATCGTGCAACTGTTCCTTATCTCCTAGAAAAAGGGGTGGCCAACAGTACATGGACAATGTGCACCGGTGCGTCAGGTGACATTGGCTTGCGGGCAGCTCCTGCTATTACACAGGGTGCTCTTTTTAGCTTTGCCAACGTAGCCGCTCGTGAAAACGAGGGTACCAACGTCCGATTCAACGAGATTTATCTCGCGTATCGCGTCCAGTACCACGTTGACTTGACGGATGAAAGTCAGTACTTGGGTTTGATGCATCTTCAGAACTCCAGAGACTTTGCTCCTCTGTACGAGCAGCTTCTAGACAGAACGGATATCAGAAGCAAGCGAGTCAATGCCCTTAGTCCGCAGGACGTGATCAAGCTCAGCTATGAAACCCGATTCAAGGATTTCTAAGAGTAGTAAAATTGCTGAATTTGCTTAAAAAAGCGTTATAGTAGTGTTACAGAGTCTATCTAGTCATTCAGTCGTGTCTCTATGTCTATCATGGTTCTCAAAATAGTTATAACAAACAAGTTTAGTATCTGGCCTAACCCGAATTCATCAGCGTATAAAATCCTATTTGCTGAAGCGAATGATTCATGCCAATCCTTGACAACCTGATCGATAGAAATCCAGGATCAAACAATCATCTGTTTCGGAGCGCCTGTACCAAGCCATGAAGCTCTTTCATGCTTGCCTGCCCAATGTTCTGCCAATAGTCGCACTGCTCTCCTGGTACGATGGAAATCTCGATGAAACCTCGAGTTAGCCAGGCAATACTATCACTGTGTCGTGGTAATCCACTTCTGTGCAAGACTTGTGGATCAAGGTTCGCAATGGTGACTTCCCAAATCTTGAACCACCTCGTAACGGCACGCAGAAGACTTGGCGCCATCGTCGAGAGCATGGACATTTGCCTAGCTGAAACTACTGTATTCACCAAAGCTAGGATGATAAGTTGTGCTGTCCTCTTGGGTGGAATTTCCAACTCACCAAAAATCAGAAATAAAAGATCATGTAGAGTTGCCGGCGACCGAGGGAAGTCCGAAGTGCCAACCCAGCTGTCTTTCAAGAGTGCATCATAACACTCACTTATCGTGGATGAAGGTGGGATGATGGTATTTGGCGCCTTAAGAATAGCTTGAAATTCATTTGCGTCTTTGGCATCCCAAATCGCCAAGGGAGACAACAAATCGCACTTCATCTCCGCAACCACTAACGCCGACGGACCATTCTGTGAACCAGCATCAAACCACGCAGAGAAAGCTGTAAAAGTGGCAATCCTGTTTATAGATGTCTTAGACCAATGTCATTACTGGACTGATACGGATTAACTTACCTGATGCAGGACTCCAAACGTACAAAGTCAGTCCACTCCGTCTCATGAATTGGTTTGGGATGGCGGAGTTTATTCAATCCAAAATATCGCACTATCGATACTATCAGAGGGAGTCGCTGAGCTGTCACGACGTTTCGCATCCTGGTTTGATTTGAAGCGCTAATGATACCGTAGATAGCCATCGCCGCAGTTAATATATCGACCACTTCCCTGGAGGGTAGTTCATTCTTCTTTGAGGCAGCCACGACTTGTTCAAGGCGACGAAAGATGTAGGCCTCACTGACCCGGTAAAATTTAACCGCCGAGATGGCATCGTCCTGCGGTAGCAATCTTGCTGAGCCGTTGAGCATGAGAGCTAACATGAGCTCGGGAGCGCAGGTCTCAAAATCAAAACTAGGCTTGTGAGTAAGGGGGAAACTTGGGTGGTTGAGTCGAAAATAAGTAGAAATAAATGTCTTTGCATTGCGTGTGGTAAAGACCGCCCTCGCAACATCCTCGTCAAAGGTACCGTCATAAAATGGTACGTGACAGAGCGACTCATGAGTACTCCTCAACTCTGAAGTCAAAAATGCGAGACGTTGGTCGAGGTGAGAGTCGCTATCACCAGGACTGGTTGTCACCTCTCTTGATTCGTAGAACTGGCTTTCAGGCCAACCGTCTTCGGTCAAAAGCTGAGTAAAACTCCAGAAAAAGGGCATCTGAAATGTGGTATCATCTGGCAAGTTTAAGTCGAATAAGTCTGGCTGCGCATCAAGATCTGTATCTTCGCCAATATCCTCTTTGCGCAGGCTATTTAGCATTGAGTCATTTTTGGGATTGGTGATCTCCAAAATGAACGGAATAGTTAATTTTGCTTGTCGTTGGTCTCCGCTGTGTGCTTTGAGGGGATCCAGACTGGTGGAGTTGGATGGATCCTCCATGGCTTTCACATACGTGCAGGCGACATGTCGCGCTTTACACCGGCCACATGGCCGTTCAAAATCGCAAGACAGTTTGCTTCGAGAGCATGCATCACAAGCACGGCTTTTGTTGCCTCGTTTAACCATCCGGATCTCTGCAATCCCTTGTGGCTGTTTGGGGCCCCTGGACGTGCATGATGTGGCATGTTTGCGGCAGACATCTCTATGAGAATGTTAGCTTAACGTCCCAGTAGATGGCCATCTGCCGAAAAGAGCCAGGGTTACCCACCGTCTGGCGAAACATTTCCTACAGTAGGGGCATGTGAAAGACTGGGAGCTTAGATCTGGAACGTGTATTTAGTTTCCCTCGCTTCCCGGGTATTTGCACAAACACCAAATGTCCACAGAGTTCACTCACGGGTGGCTTCATGACGACGGAAGTGGGTATTCCTTTGGTATTTCTTTCCGCAATGAGAGCACTCGTATGACATGATGTGGTTGATTGGAGCGGAAAAACACAGTCATCAATGAGGCTGATCTGACGAGGAAATGTTGGGCCCTCTTTGAGATGTTTTGGAGACGTGATCAAAATTGGGATTCCGAGGGTGAGTGGGGCCGCCAACTGGTTGGTGGGTTTTCGCCGAGCATCCGAACAACTGGTAATCTTAATAGGTACGATTTACGAGTTGCTCGCATTAGCGGGGGGCCAACACCACATACATTAAAGCTATTTCGGTTTTTACGGCTTGGCGCTATGGATACTCGGAGGTCAAGATAGTGAGAAAGAGAAGCAAAGTTGTGAGCAGTTAGTTTACCTTGAACGTTGATCGAATTTTGATAATAGGGATTTGAGACTCGCGAAAGTCTTTGAGAAAGCGCACGAGAGGATCCGAAGATGCTACGTAAGGGTTTAGATAAGAATAATCACTAATCAGAGTGAAAAAAAACCAAAATGGGCGTAATTGGTGAACTACGCGCGTTCGATCGAGAAAGCAAAATGGAATCTGGGATCAGATGCTGCTCGCTCCATATTACATGCTTCAGTAAAGCACATCGCCAACGGAGACTCGTAGGCCAAAACCCACCGAGCTCCGCTGGCCGATTTACTTTTAATTCACCGACGCCTTTACGTCGGCCGAGCCACGGTCGAAGAGTTGCCCAGACCTCCAGGCTGGCTTTTCACCGCGTTCGTTAGCTCCGGATGCGGGCCGGCGAAAACCCATTTGAAGTAAATTAGTTGAGGTTGACAGGCAGGAGGCTCGAACACGTCAGGCTCTCCTTAAAACCGTTAATCTTTTCTCCACTTCCTAGGATCCCATGATGAAGTTTCAGTATCTCCGTCATGACTTGATGCCCTTCTTGTTAGGGTATTACTGATCAGGCTGCCCATGGACGCAGTTTACGGGCTTCCGAATGGGTCTTGAGCCGATCCGTCGGGGCGGGGCTCATGGTTGGTTGCTCGTCAGGTCTGCCAAAAGCTGCAAATTTTGATAGCCAATCCCTTTCTGGGCAAAAGCCCTCATCACCCTGGGGCGGCCCTTCGGGTATTTCCTTGGACCACTTGGAACGGGGATGGAATTCGACGAACTGATAGAGCTGACGTTAGACGGCCCTTCGGGAGATCCTTTCGACCGCCTGACCAGGGTGTTGAATTTGGAAAACTGATAAAGCTGACATGCTGCTGCTGCAGTCCAAAAGCCGTTAGTATTGGTTTTTTTTTTCAGCCGCTTATTCTTCGACTCTGGCATATTTTACAGTAACTTGAGATGCCATCTTTTTAATCCATGCTCCATAGCTTCTCGCGATTCTTGCAGCCTGATCGTTCACCGAACAGAAGAACACCCATAATAGAAAATTGTGGTCTGCCACCATAATGGTGCACGGCGCCACATCTTCGACAGCGTCGTCGACTGACGTCGAGAATACAATCAATGGGTCTCGTCTAGGTATCACGAACCTCGCTCGGCAGATCACTGCAACCTCTGCCAAGCTAGGTCACCATGACGAGAACAATGCCGTGGCGCCCATCAAAGATAGCAAACTTGATCCATTTTCATCTAATTTCGACAGCTATCTATGGATCAAAGCTTTGAGACAGCTATTTGAAAATGAATCGGACGCGTTGCCTCCGAGAAGGACCGGAGCTGCTTTTCGCAGGCTCAGTGTCTATGGTCATGGCACAGGAGCGCGTTATCAGCAGTCCACCGGCAACATCATTCCAAGTATCGCGTCTTCGGTTATGGGCCGAATCACGGGTCGTGGAGTCAAGCGGGTAGACATTCTGCGTGACTTCGAAGGTGTTGTCCACCCTGGCGAGATGCTGCTTGTCTTGGGCCCACCAGGCTCTGGTTGCTCAACCTTTTTGAAGACTCTCTCTGGCCGCACCGAAGGCCTCAACCTTACCGATGATTCTTACATCAACTTCAGGGGTTGGTATCTCCAAGCTTGTTTGACGCTTCAGCTAACGAGATCTAGGTATCGCGTCTACTCATATGCACGGTTGGTTCCGTGGCGATGTTCTCTACAATGCCGAGGTGGACGTCCACCTAGCTCCTCTCACGGTTGGCGACACCCTGAAGTTCGCGTCAATGGCTCGGGTTCCGAACAAAGTCCCTGGTGGCTTCTCTAAAGCCGAATTTGCCCGCGCTTACAGAGACGCTATCATGGCCGTGTTTGGCATCACCCATACAATGAATACCAAAGTTGGCGATGACTTCATTCGCGGAGTTTCTGGCGGCGAGCGTAAGAGAGTCAGCATTGCCGAGGCCACCTTGACCGGGGCCAAGTTTCAATGTTGGGACAACAGTACTCGTGGACTAGACAGCGGCAACGCCATCTCGTTCTGTAAGACGCTCAGGGCACAGGCAGACTTGATGGATGTTGCGGCTGTCGTGGCTATTTACCAAGCCCCCCAGTCAGCCTATGATGTACGTGCAAACTCCATGTTCTTGCTGGAATATTTGACTGACAAGTGATGTCTCTATAGACATTCGACAAAGTGACTGTTCTCTATGAAGGACGACAGATCTATTTCGGCAAGGCAGAGAACGCCAAGGCGTACTTTGAAGATCTTGGTTTTGACTGTATGGCATCCCCATCGGAGTTTTCTTTTAGGCATTTATTAACTCTGGAAAGGTCCTGACCGCCAAACTACCGCCGACTTTCTCACTTCTATGACGTCCCCCCACGAGCGCCGTGTACGCCCGGGCTGCGAGGCTACAGCCCCTCGCACCGCTGATGAATTCGCCGCTCGATGGAAGGCCTCGGCCGAACACGCCGCTTTGGTTGAGGAACTCGACTCATACGAGAGAGAAAATCCCACCAAAGAACGTTTCGACGAGTTTGTTACCAGCCGCAAGGCGGAGAGAAGCCCCGTCCAACGCCTCAAATCTCCCTACCATCTTTCCTTCTTGCAGCAAGTCAACCTCTGCATTTGGCGTGGTTATAAAAGAATCCTCGCTGACCCTGCCTTTGTCATCGCCTCTGTCGGTTTTAATACCATCATGGGCCTCGTACTTGGAAGTGGTTTCTACAACATGCCCGAAAATACGGACAGCTTTTATGCCCGCGGCGCCATTCTCTTCTTTACTCTTCTGTTCAACGCTTTCGCTGGCGAACTCGAGGTTCTTACACTTTACATCCAGCGACCTGTTGTCGAGAAGCACAACCGCTACGCATTCTACCACCAATCCGCCGAAGCTATTGCCAACTACATCACTGATATCCCCGCCAAGATCATCTATGCCATCTTACTCAACATGATAGTCTACTTCCTTTCAAACCTGCGACGTACAGCTGGCGCCTTCTTCTTTTTCTTGTTCATCAACTACTTTCTCACACTCACCATCTCGGCGCTGTACCGGACGATTGCGTGCGTCACACGGACAGCTCATCAAGCCTTGGTTCCCGTATGCTTGCTTACCATTGGACTCATGCTATACACCGGATTTTCCATCCCCACAGATTACATGCCCGGCTGGTCGCGATGGATGGGTTATGTTAACCCGCTCAGCTATGTTTTCGAGGCTTTAATGGCTAACGAGTTTTCCGGCCGGGAATTCCCTTGCACATCTATCGTTCCAGTTGGGCCAGGCTACACCGATCTGTCCATGGCTGATCGCATCTGCACGGTTGTTGGCGCGGTGGCTGGACAGCCGTTTGTCAGTGGCGACCGGTACATCGAGCTCAGCTATGGCTTTTATAACTCGCACAAGTGGAGGTAAGTTGCCAGATGAGGCTCCAAGTCATGAACCTAGCTAATCGGAATCAGGAACGTCGGCATTCTGTTCGCTTTCTTGGTTGCTTATGTGATTGCTTACATTGTTGCCGCCGAGTTTGCCAAGCCTCCGGCAGCCAAAGGAGAAGTCCTCATGTTCCGCCGTGGCAAAGTTCCTGACTCGTATGAGAAATCGGCCAGAGACGATATTGAGACTCAGCAAGTGGCACGCGTTATCGATGAAAAGCCTACTGGTTCCTCGCCGGTGGTGGAACAGGAGAAGAACAGCCGTCCCTCTCCTAGCACCTGCGGGAAACCTGTGTTCCACTGGGAGAACCTGAGCTATGAGGTCAAGGTTCAGAATGATACCCTTCGGATCTTGAACAATGTAGATGGCTGGGTCCAGCCAGGTGTTACAACTGCTTTAATGGTTCGTGGTCCACCATAGATGCGATATTTCCAACTAACATTGATTAGGGCGCGTCTGGTGCTGGTAAAACCACACTCCTGGATGCCCTTGCAACCCGCCTGACAGTTGGTGTCCTTACTGGAGACACGCTGGTCAACGGCAAGGCGACTGATGACTCTTTCTCTCACCGCGTTGGATATGCTCAACAACAAGACCTCCACCTCAACACCACCACAGTCAGAGAAGCTCTCGAGTTTAGTGCGTTGCTCAGACAGAGCGCTGAGATTTCACGTGCCGAGAAATTAGCATTTGTGGACGAGGTCATCAAGATCCTGGAAATGGAGAGCTTTGCCGATGCCGTCATTGGCGTCCCTGGAGAAGGTTTGAACGTGGAGCAACGTAAACGGTTAACCATTGGTGTCGAATTGGCTGCCCGCCCTCAGCTGCTGGTCTTCCTTGACGAGCCAACTTCTGGATTGGACTCCCAAACGTCATGGGCCATTTGTGACCTGATTGAAAGGCTTGCAAAGAGTGGTCAAGCTGTTCTTTGCACCATCCATCAGCCATCAGCGATGCTGTTCTCTCGTTTCGACAGGCTGCTTCTGCTCCAACCCGGCGGGAGAACGGTATACTTTGGCGGTAAGTGTCCCAATAGTCCGTTTAATCTTCCATTACTAAAGGTTATAGAAATCGGACCAAACTCCCAGACCATGATTGAGTATTTTGAGCGTAACGGAGCATCCCCGTGTCCGCCAGAGGTCAACCCTGCAGAATGGATGCTCAAGTCAACATTGCCTTCTTCTGACGGCCCAGACTGGTTTGAGACGTGGAAGGCCTCCCCTGAGTACCAGGAAGTCAAGGCTGAACTGGGTCGTCTACGCGAAGGCAAAGCTGTCGTCACTCTTGATGGCGATTTCGACTCGCAGCACAAGGAATTCGTTGCTTCTTTCGCCACCCAGTTCAGGATTGTCCTTCAGCGTACTTTCAGGCACTTCTGGAGGTCGCCTACGTATCTGTGGTCCAAGATTTCCGTCACTATTTTCTTCGTAAGTTCTGCCGTCTATTCCAATACTTCCATTACTTATCAAGTCCCAGGCTCTCTTCCTCGGTTTCAGTTTCCGGGGTTCTGACCGCAGCATGCAAGGTGTGCAGAACCAGCTGTACGCATTCTTCATCGCTTTCCTCATCCAGAACCCGTACACCAAGCAAATCATGTCATTCTTCGTCCCCCAACGCGCCATCTACGAAGTCCGCGAGCGTCCGTCAAAAATCTACCGCTGGGACGTCTTCATGCTCACCCAAATCTTCGTGGAGCTTGTTTGGAATACGCTGTGTTCTGTCGCTTTTTACTTCTGCTGGTACTACCCGGTCGGCTTCCAGAACAACACTACTGACGACACAACAATTCGCGGCTTCCTTGCCTTCCTCTTCATCTGGCAACTCATCCAGTGGGCTTCGACGATATCGCAGGCTATTATTGCCCCTCTTGCAGCGCCTGATCTCGCCGGTGTAGTGGTTAACCTCCTTGCACTCCTGACGATGGCCTTTTGCGGTATCGGTATCAGACGCGACCAGATGCCAGCTATCTGGTCCGACTTTATGTATTGGGTGTCGCCCATGACATACCTCGCCTCTGGCGCGCTCTCAACCGGTCTCCACGGCGTCCCAATTGAGTGTGCTGCTCGCGAGATAGTGCATATCCCGGCTCAGGAAAACATGACCTGCCCGGACTTTTTGGGAGTATTCGTGCAGATTGCAGGCGGCAGGCTGGTGGAGATACCCGACGCGAATGCATGTGGTTGGTGTCCTTCGTACATGACGGACGACTTGTTGGCTGTTTTCAACGTCGACTACGGTAACAGATGGAGGAATTTTGGTCTTATGTGGCTGTACATCATCTTTAATATTGGCGCTGGCCTTGGCTTATACTGGCTGGCAAGGGTGCCCAAGAAGCAGGGCTTGAAACGGACTTGATTAGAGGAAAGACAAGAAGACCGATGCGCTTCGGACTAGACATATATGCAGGTTTGCAGGAAAGATTGGATTAGATTTGGCAAGGATACATATACATAGACTGCCACGGTACTCCCGTAATGGGTAATGTTTTACTTTGTATGGATTGGTATACATTTTTGATGGAATAAAAATCTTCTCTCGGCCCCTTTTTCAAACCAAACATCGTCCACAAATATCGAAATGTTTCTTCTAATGGCTTGTAATTGCCTGCGGCATTATACGGAATGTCTTCATCATAAAAGGTCGCAATTGAAGCACTGAAATCTTTGTGACGGCTTTGCTAAATGCTGTGATTGGCCGATAATAAACCGAAGTTGAGTGCTCAAGCATGGATTGGGCTTCCTAGGTAAATTAGGTGACTAGGTGGGCGCTGACTATGTGAATTACTCAGGGGTTTACTGCCGTTGAAGCGGATACATGAACTCGTAACCGAGGTGCTCACCATTGAAGCATGAAAGGGGAAGAAATATTTGCAGCGTTATTTACTCCATTACACAACATCATTGCTAGACTACCAGTTGGCATGGCGGTGAGTTAGAAAAATTAAGAAACAAACAACAGTTGCTATGAGAGTGGATCTTTTCATGCTCGGAAAATATTGAAGAACAACATTTTCTTCGTCAAACTCAAAAGCAAAAAGGACCACTCTACAACGATATTGCTTCCTTTGCATTCCACGGCAAATGTATGCCAAGTAGCCGGGCCGTTCAGAAAAAACTGACATGGCGGGGGATTGGCAGCCATTTTAGGGCTGAGATGCAGGGATTATGCATGATGACCAGCCATATTCAACAAAAACACTCCACTGGCTCACTCCGAGGTTGCAATATCAGTTAGTTTACTCCGTATTCAAATTGGATTTTTACCAAAGTTTAGACTAGTCCCACTCCATCTGCCGATCTTTAGGATTCTTCGTTAGTCTCTGTCCTTCCGAACCGTTCGATTTCTCAGATGAGAGTTCATAAACATTAGTGTCTTTTATCCCAACGAGATGAGATGAGGGCCCGTGCCCATGAGCATGAATCAGTTGTCGCTGATTGATTGACCAACAACTATTTTAGATCCTTAATCATCCCCCCTCTCCGGCTAGCGAAAACGAGTAACTCATCCACAAAAACGTCGCATTAGCGCAAATTTTATCGGCATTCTTTTGCCAGCAACACGCGGCGATCTCCGCACATTACATCATCCCCCCCTAAATAAGACAAAACACCTCCCGGGCCCTTCTGGGGCTCTCAAAAACTAAACTCAACTTCGTCTCATCCCACATGCGCCCGTCATGCAACGACGGCCGAGTTCCCAAACGATTGAAGAAGATGGAGAGTCGAGTTCGTCCGCCAGCTCCGTTCCCGATGTCGCCGATGCCATGAACTCCGATGAACAGCAGCCCGGTGCTGATCGGTCGGGCCCGTTCCCGGAACCCCAGCCCGAGGCACCCGCGCGAGCTCCGACTTCCGCTACTAGGGCGAGTAGCGCCGCGAAGGCTGATGCTAAACCGAACCTCGCTACGAGACTAGGCCTCGATGTACCGACGGTCTTGATGATGTTCAAGGGCTCTTTGCCGCCTCTTATCGGCATCGCAATCTACCAGTCGACAGCCGTTGCGCAGTATTTCACCACATTGGGTTATCTCGTGCCCATCATTTCGGTGCTTGCCCTTGCCATTCTCCCCAGAGGAAAGTATCTGCAAAATCTAGTTCTCAATGTCGCGGGAATCTGCATTGGCGCCGCCATCTCCATGTTGGCCTTGTGGTCTGGCGTCCGGGCCAGGCACAACACTGCTTCCCCGGAAGAGTTGGCTACCGGGCTGCCAGTGTACAACTCTAGTCAATCAGCAGTCTGTGGCGTTTGGCTCTTCTTCAATATCTGGATTTCCAACACCATGCGTGCCAAGTACCCGGCCATGAACCTGCCAGTTATGATCTACTCCATCTTCATGAACGTCGCGTGCACATTCGGCCCGCTCATGGTAACAACAGCCGCAGCCGAGTCCTTCGTGAGACGGCTTCTAGTAGCCATGCTCGCAGCTATGGGTATCGCTACTGGCGTGGCACTTTTCATCTTCCCCGTATCCAGTCGCAAAGTGGTTAGCGCAGAATTCAAGGGCGCCATTGGGTTGGTTCGAAAGTCCATCAAACTGCAATTGAATTATCTGCATACAATATCCTGTGAGGATATGCTAGACCGCTGCCCGACCAAGGCCAGCAGCGCTTTCAGGAGGAAGCAGAAGGGACCGGAAATGACCAAGGAGGCAAAAGCAGCGAGCGAATTAAAGGCGACAGCATTAGCCATTTCGACCTTGTTCGGAAAGATGCATGGAGACATGGTCTTTGCCAAGAGGGATATCGCGTACGGGAAGCTGGATGCGAAGGATTTGAGCGAGATTTTCAATCGTCTGCGGAGCATCATGATTCCTCTCAATGGAATCAGCACCATTGTCGACATTTTCCGACGTGCGGCTGAAAAGCACGGATGGGGTGAGAGTGATGGTGGTGACTCGGATGTGGAGAAAACTCTGGAGAAAAAGGTGTGGAATGACATCATGAAGCAGCTGTGCGAGCCGTTCGAGATTCTCACCGAAGCGATGGATCAAGGCCTGGACCATATCGGTATCGTTCTCGAACTTACACCGAAACCGAAGAAGACCAAGACGGCCGATGTCGAAAACGAAGCTGGAGCGAAAGCTCTGCCGAAACCCGGAGAGGCCGGATTCGCCGAGGTCTTGGCGGACAGGGTGCAGGATTTCAACGACAAGAAGGGCCAGATGCTGAAGGCTTGGTTGAAGGAACGACGAATGGCCACCGAGAAAGAGCGTCAGGAACTAGGTTTGAAGCGATTGGAAACCAGGATGAAGGAACGTGACCAGACTCAGCTCTATGTGATGCTGTACATGGAGAAGCTCATGCTCGCACTCGGCGAGGCCGTTCAGGACCTTGTTCTGTTTGCGGACTCAAAGGTTGCCGATGGCACTATGAGCAAGAAGCGTCTCATCGTACCCTCACAGCGACGGATGAAGAAGTGGTTAAGAGGAGCCTGCAGTAGCTCCCAAGATGCGACGCCAGAGCAGAACCCTGATATCGCGGATATGGGAGCCAACGTCGTTTACGCCGGCGATGGGTACAACAAGAAGAAGGATCCAGAGCATCTCCCGGCCCACGGAGTATGGCAACATTTCGGCAACAGGGTACGAAAGGTATCGGCATTCTTTGGTTCGGGGGAATCCATGTTCGGATTCCGCGTGGCTGTGGCGACTATGACGGTTGGTATTCTCGCATTCCTCAAGAACACGCAGACGTTCTTCACCGAGCAGCGACTTGTCTGGGCAATGATCATGATTGCCATCGGTATGACGATTACGGCTGGCCAGTCCATCTTCGGTTTCGTATGCCGTGTCGGAGGTACCCTCGTCGCTATGATTTTCACTTTCATCATCTGGTACATTGTCGCCGAAAAGACGGTTGGAGTCATTGTGTTCCTCTGGCTTTTCATTTTTGTGGAACAATACTTCGTCCTCAAATACCCCCGGTTCATGCCCGTCTGGCTCATCACCATCATCACTCAGGTCCTCATCATCGGCTATGAGCTGCAGGTCCGAAAGATCGGTGAAGCCGCCGCCGCTGCTACCGGCCAGCCTTACTACCCGACGTACCTCCTCGCGCCCTACCGTCTTGCATGCGTGGCAGCCGGTTGCGCTATTGCCTTCATCTGGACTGTATTCCCCTCCCCGATGACCGACCGCAGGTGGCTTCGAATGGATCTCAGCGCATCTCTTTACTTGCTCGCCAACTACTTCAGCGTCATCACCGAGACCATCAAGGCTACCATGAACCAGACTCACGGCGACATCAAAATGGCGGGAACTCCGGCCCACAAGATGGAAAAGGAAAGACGCCGGATCTTGGGCAAACTGCTATTGCTACTCCCGAGTCTTGACAGCCACGCGCAATGGCAGAGATGGGAACCTGATATCGGCGGCAAGTTCCCAAGAGAAACATACGATGATATCATTAAACGATCAACCAGCATCATGAGGTACCTGACGCTAATCGCATACACTGTTACCTGGAAGCCTCGCGATCGGCCATCCACCTCTTCTTCGACGCATGACAAGCAGTGGCTTCATGCCCTGAATCAGATCCTCGCGGGCATCGAGCCCACACAGCACAGCATTCTGTCCACTCTCACCCTCCTCTCAAACTCCCTTCTCTCTGGACAGTCCCTGCCTCCCTTCATGCAGCTCCCTCGACCAAACGAACTCACCCGTAAACTCCTCCATCTCCGCCCGCAAGAGCCCGAACAAGGAATTCGACGCAGAGGCAGCGAGCTCGAGCACAGACTCGTCACAGTCCACACCAACACTGGCGAAGAGGTCCGCTCGACAACACGTAGACAGAGTGTCGCCGATTCCCAGTCAGTCGAAACCGCGACATTGACGGGTATAAGCGAGCTGTCCGAGATGGCGAATACTCTCGGCAACGGAAGTATTCTGGACGTCCAGAATGTCGAGCAGCACGGATACACCGAGTTTGCGGTGTTGCAGGTGTGCAGCTCGCTCGTGTGCGATGACCTCGAGGGGCTGGTTCGCGCAGTGAGCAGTCTGGTCGGCGTGGTCGATTTTAGCTTCAGAGTGAATACGAGTGAGGCGATGTTGAGTAGTAGTGATGAGGATGACGGTAATGGAAAGACCAAAAGGCATTAATCATAAAATGTAAGATTTATTTGGATATTTAATACGAAGAAATTTCACCATTTGCTGCTGGAGGAACATCTCTTAGCATCCTTAATAGCGCACTGGAGCGAAAGAGGAGACACTACTTGTGAGAACAAACAATCCAATGTTTAGCGATTTCCTGGAGCAAGTGGAACAAGGGCAGGCTGGTATGGCCGATTTAACCCAAAATCCTTCGAGAAAACCGCCTTAACGGGTGACCTGCAAAGCAAACAATCTCTATCCAAACATGTTGTTGACGTAATGCTTCGTTTGAGTTCTGATCGTCTGCAGGAGAAGCTTTGAGAGACTGTGAAAGTTGACGGGTTCCTCGGGCTAATCAACTCAAACACTAGACTTATTTACCTTGCTTCATTTTCGTCAATGATTTAATTGTCATTGACACTGCCAATATTCGTATCTTGGCCTCTCGTTTCCACCGGAATTGGTGTCCTTGCGTATCACTGCGTTTTCCTAAGAGAGTACACCTGCTTGAAATACTATTGATAAATATCAACCTCAGTTAGGTATTACATCTAGACATTTCCAATAAGAATTAGAGGGAATTCCCTAAACAACGTTGATTTCTGATAGACGGATCAAATCTTACAAGTCGTTTCAAACGTCAAACAGTACAATCTAGAGTTAAAGCTTTCGTAGCTTGCGGTATTGATCCATCCTCAGTTGCCGAGATTATTTGATCACCCACCCACATTCAATCCGCGCCCGGCTGCAACATCTTAGACGATGTGGAACTTGACCGAACGCAGTTAGCACGTCACATCGGATGTCGGTGGTACTATGAATTCCCGGGATGTCGAAGCTTAGCCGGTGCTGTTCTCCTGCTCTAATCCTTGCACTCCATATGGCTCGCCACGAGGGGAAAGCTTCAATTTCAGTTTTGAAGACGAAAGGTATCAGTAATTGTTTTGAAATCGGGCCAAATGCTCATTCGGGACAAATAATCTCATCATGACTAGCGGACGCATCCCGACATGGGCTGAGGGCGTCTCTTATCGGAGTGTGGCCGCTGCCGCCTCGATGTCGCCATGTGACCCGCCAAAGACGACACCTAGTTGTGGCTGCCATGCACCAGTAGACGAGTCCGATGAAGGCGCCGACTATTTCGCAGGCGAAAGATAAGAATGGCGGTAACCCAGAGGTGCCCAGAACACCAAGCAACTTTGAAAACCTCAATGCGGCTTGTTATAAGCAAACCGAACATGGCGCAACAAAACGAAAAGTATCCTCAAAATTTAGGAGTCGCTGGTGAGAGCGGAGATGAGGGTGGTTTGAAGTCAAAAGAACCGATCCATGTCGAAGCAGAGGTTCCAGCATATACAGAGTCAAAAAGAACGTGGAAGTCCTTCTTCTGGTCGAGTAGGTGCTTGAACTCGTCTATGAGACAGTCAATTAAATAACCGTCGCAGCACTCGATGTCCCGGAAGAAGAGGCTCGATTCCTCACCAAGCTCGATCTGACGCTCATCTCGTCATCTGCACTGGGTGTTATGTGTCGCTACCTCGACCAAGTCAATATCACCAATGCTTTTAGTAAGAAATAGCTAGAAAGCATATTAGCATATTGTTCTCGTACTGATTATCTCTGCAGACAGTGGCATGAAGGAAGACCTAGCACTTTATGGAAAGGAGCTCAACTACGCCAATGCCATTTGGAGCGCGGCTTATGTGTTTGGGCAAATTCCTTCCAATATGCTGCTGACACGGGTAGCTAGCCACGCTTGATTATCTTGTTGCAAATCTTCATGTTAACGACTCACACAGGTCAATGCGCCTCTGTATATCGCATTCCTCGAACTGGCCTGGACCATCTTTACTTTCGCCACAGCAGGTGTCAAAAATGTCACCCAACTCTATGTTTTTCGGTTTTTGTAAGTCATGTACGCCGTTTATCTTTCTGAGGCGGTTCTAGTTCTAATTTCGCCTAGTGTTGGCCTGTTCGAAGCCGGCCACTTCCCGGCAGTGATGTACGTGTGCTCAAGCTACTACAAGCCCCATGAGTTGGCACGTCGCAACACATTAATCCAGGTATTCACTTCGGTCGGGCCTCTCTTTTCCGGCTTTTTGATGGCCGCAGTGCATGCCGGACTGGACGGATCCAACGGCCTTCCAGGATGGCGGTGGATGTATATGTGGGTGCCCATAACTACATATACCTTGAATCATTGGCAGTAACAAGACTATACTGACAAAGAAACAGTGTCTGTGGCTGTATCTCACTACCTTGCGCGATCTGGACTGCATTTGCTATGCCTCAGCTACCATCTCGAGCAAAAGCCAATTGGTATACTTAGACGAGCCATCCATATGATTATAAAGCTAACATCTGCTATCATCAGGATCTTTACAGCAGAGGAAGTCAGACTCGCTCGAGCTAGAATGCCCTCAGAGACGAAACCTTTTACTGGCCTATTTAAATGGAAAGACATCAAACGCTGGCATACTACATGGCATGTTTATCTTTGTAAGAAACCCCTTTTCCGTGTCCACCGAATCATTTGTACTGACAGCCTAGTTCCCATTTTCTTCGCATTCTTGGTACAGGTTGGCCAGTCAGGAGGGTCTAGTAAGTAGATCCTAGTTCTGTTGCCTAGTTAGCCATTCACATTAATGACCTCTTGTAGTGATCTTCTGGGTTAAGAGTTACAACTTGCCCGGAAAGCCTGCTGTCTTCTCAGTGGCGGAGATTAACATCATTCCTCTCGGGGTATGTTCTCCAGTTTGAGGCTTCGGAGTACTTATTAGCTAATGTGCTACTGCAGATCAACATCATCTCTATTGTTTGCACCCTTTTGAACTCTTGGATCTCGGACGGCTTGCCCGGATCTGCCCGCTGGCCCGGCATGGTATTTGCCAGTGTTATGGGTATCATCTTCCCAATCGCTCTAGCAGCCACGCCAGTCCACCCACCAAATATTGCCACTCGATGGGCTCTTTATTGTAAGGATTCTCCTAACTATCTTATAAGCTGTAACAGTGAAAGCCGTACTAATCCAATGCTGTCCAGATCTTACTGCTCTCTCTGGAACATGCGCTGGCATTACGTGGACATGGGTAAATGAGACAAACAGACATGATCCAGAAAAACGGGCCTACACTTCTGCTCTGGTTAGTCACCCCATAAGTAACTACTTAGATTATTTATTGACCTGCTGAAGATGAATGCGTTCGCTTACATTTTCACCGCCTGGGTCCCAATCTTTACCTTCCCAGCCAACCTGCAGCCGTACATTATTACCGGTAATTACATCACTGCCGGGTTTGGCGCGGCGGCGGCGTTGACTGCGCTTACAATTCGCCATTTCTATAACCGAGATCTTAAAAAGCAGCAGTATCTATAGGAATTAGTCTCTTCGGCTGCCGAGAAGGCCGCTATGTTAAGGGCATTATGTGTTGTTGGCAGGCACCAAATGCCTAAACAGCTACAGACGATCACGTCCGGTGGATCTTATCGGCGGACTACTTGCTTGGACAAGCATTGACGGCTCTGAATTTCAATGTGATTAGACTCCTCATTATGTTTCATTTAAACACAGAGTAAAATCACGTGGTCAATTCAAGAAATCCGTTTCACCGCTCCAAGCCATCTGCAAAAAGGGAGGTCTCTGGAGCAAATATAAGCTACTCTTAGCAGCTACTTTTATCCTTCTAAAAACGAAATATCAGAACCCGTCCTGAAACGCAACCAATAGCCACTGTTGACCCCATTACAACTAGTTCACTTGGGCGGTACTCTGTCGGTAACCATAGAAAGTTTTTAGAGTCTTTAATAATCCAGTCCCATGTTGCAGCAATGCCATAACCTTGAAAGCTAGATTTATTGGCAGCATCGGATGATGCTTCGCTATTATTTGATAGCAACCCATCAAGGTTTATAATTCCAAGTTCAGTTTGGAGGGCATTGCTGCTTTTGAAATAGAAAAGCTGCCTGATGGCACTTCCAGTGTCAAATTTTGTAAGACATTTACCAGTTACTGTGTCCCAAATTCTGATAGTTTGATCTTGAGACAGCGAAGCTAGCATTCCACTGTCGCCAATGTAGCAAACTGATAAGATGTTGCCGCCATGACCCACAAGTGTCTGAAGACAATGTCCGGAACTTAGACCCCATATCTTAATAGTGCAATCTTTGGACCCTGAGGCTAGCCGCGTGCTATCGCTCAAGAATGTTACTGAGCTGACGCTGTCGACATGACCCTGAAGCGTTTGAAGGCATTGGCCGGAGACGAGATCCCATATCTTGATAGTTCTATCATAAGATCCTGAGGCTAGCCGCGTACAATCGCTCAAGAATGTTACTGAGTTGATGCCGTCGGAGTGGCCCTGAAGCATGTGAAGGTGCTGGCCGAAGGCTAGATCCCAAATCTTAACAGCATTATCTGATATTGATGCGAGATATATGTTGTCATCCGAGAACTCCAAGGGATCCATCCAGATTCTGTATTCCTCCAGTGTTTTAAGACATCTGCCGGAAGCTACATCCCAAATCTTAATAGTATGGTTGCTTTGCGACGCTAGATATGTACCATCTCTTGAGAATGATAGCTGGTTAATCCAGTCACCATGGCCCTCGAAGTTGTTACAACACTGGTCTAGTGATAAACCCCACCTCTTAGTAACCTTTTCATGGGATGTAGATTGCTGCATGTCTTGAATTTCTGACGACTCCATGTCTTTGCCATGTCTTTTGAGCTTCCGGTAGTTATGTTCAGACGAAACATCCCACAACTTAATTGTCCCATCGTAGCTTGCTGATGCTATCTGGATCCCATCTCCTACAAAAGCCACTGATGACACTGTCATTCTGTGGCCCTCAAGGGTCTGCAGACACTGTCCTGATATTGTATTCCAAACTTTGATAGTGGAATCATAAGATCCTGATGCAAGCAGGTTTTCTAGAAATGCCAAAGCATTAACCGTTCTTTTGTGGCCCTTGAGGCTCGTTATATGCTGACCCGACACTGCATCCCAGATCTCAATGGTAGTCTTGGTGGATGCTGACGCCAACTGAGTCCGTGAGAGCGCTATTGACATAATGCCAGTACTGTGGCCTTCGATGGTCATAATGTGCTCGCCCGATACTGCGTCCCAGAGCTTGATAGTTTTATCAGAAGACCCTGACGCTAACTGTGATCCTACAAAGGCCAATGACGTAACGTCATCGGTATGGCCCTGAAGGGTCATTAGATGCTGTCCCGATGCTGCATTCCAGATCTTGACAGTCTTATCAGAAGATCCTGACGCTAACTGTTCTCCTAAAAGTGCTAATGACGTGACAACATCGCTATGGCCGTTGAGAGTCATTATATACTGGCCTGATGTTACATCCCATACCTCGATGGTATCATCGCACGATGCCCACAATTGCCGACCGTCTGAGACCACATCCGATTCATAATTACTGACTCGGCGCTCAATTGTCCGCAAACACTGGCCTGATACTATATTCCACAATTTCATAGTGCCATCATCAGACACTGACGCTAGTAGCGTGCCGAATATTGCTATCGAGTTGACATGATATTGATGACCCTCAAGCGTCTGAAGACACAAATCCCAGTGGTCCTTCATTGAAGGTTTGTTCATCATGGCCAGCTCCTCTTGATGATAAAGCTGTCTCATAACGCTTTTCGCTGGACTGAGTATGAGGGCAGAGCTATATACTTGGAGCGGGCTCTTTTCGATGCCTAATTTATGTGCCTTCACAAATCGCCAGGCATCCCAGACCAAAGGTATGAGCTCAGACATGTCTTCTTTTGCCTGCATAATATTAGTACAGCCAAGATTGGTGAAGCCGGTCTATCCCACAGGGTACACGTACTTGGACGAGCGAGAGTAAATCAAACAGAGAACCGATGCCTTCCGGTACACTTCGTAGCAAGCTCATAGCCTCTAGCCAGTGCAGGTAGTGTTTTGTAAGGAATGAATGCAGCTTATCACCATCCTCTGTGTGTGCGGGAAGCAGCGTCACCATATTAACATAGCTGACTATAAGATGATTTACCCAATATATGCAGGCATACCGTGTTGGCGCCAGTGGATCAGGATGAGGGGTTTCCACATCCTCTATAGCGTATCCAGGATGGGATAAACCGTAAATATCGCGACGTAATGTGTTGCACATGACATCGAGTAACCTTGTGGCTACAGCATGATGATGCTCAGCGAAACCCGAAGGGAGGATGTTGTGACGTTCCTTCTCTAACAGAAAGTCCTTTGCCGACTGGTGTACAAATGAGACGGTCCTCTCTCTTAAAGTCAGGAAAGAACCACAGAGCTGAACAATCTCTTGCAAGAAGTCGAGATTTGTAGATAAGTTATGTGGCATTTCAACCAAAGATATAAGTTCCTCTAAGGAAAGAGGGCGATAAGTAATGGACATGATCCCGAGAACCTGACGGCAGAGATTCGCATCTGTTGGCTGGTTGTCCGGATTCAACACTTGGTCCATCATTCGCTTGTATAATGGATATAGTTTCGGAGGGAATAGTTTCAATTTCTCCCGCGTGTGCCATTTCCGAACTCTCGGATCCGCTAGTTGCTGGCAGACTAATGCTACCCAAAGGAAAGTGTCATTTGAGTTTGTTTCGAGGTGTTGTTGAACAGCGTTCCGCGTTTCATTGTCATATTTCTTTAGTCGGTTGAGCTGATCCACTTTATATGAGATATACGTGCTAACGGCAGCAGAGATGGAATTCTGGTTCAGCTCTAAGCACAGCGGAATCTGTTGCGGGGCGATGGACAGCATCTCCTCAATATTCAGCCAGTTTCGGCTGGAGACGACTAACTTTGCATTGCATGATGACGTGATGTGAACCACAAGGTCCACAAGCCGCTCAAGATCTGTCTCACATTCGTCGAGCGCATCAATGACTAAATATGTGTTCTGCGATCCCAGGCTCTGGAGAATGTTCATAAGCATCCTGTATAGCGCATCCCAGCTGTTGACGTCGTTAAACAGGCTTTGTCCCGCATGGTCGTACTGCTCGCGTACGTTTCCGATTATTTTCGGGTTTTGGACCAGCAAAAGGTAGAGAAGGCTACGGAGAACGGCCATAGCACTATTAAGCCGCACATCTGTAGCTTGACAAAATGCAAAGGATAATAAAGTGGCGCTGGGAATTGACTTTTGCAATTCATCGATGATTCCGCATAGCAACATGGTTTTACCCTTGCCAGCATCGCCTTTGATCCAAACTAGTCGATCGTCCTCGCTGTCTCGCCATTTTTGGAAAGCGTTGTTGTTGAGGACCCAAATGTAAGAATCGCGTAGCAGACCACCCTTGGTCCGTTCTATTCGGCTTTTATCGTCGCGTGGGTCCGTCGTCCGTAGGTCAGCCAGGAACCTAGCGTTGGCATCTGCATCGGCTTTTGGTTGACCTTGTAAAAGAATCAGCAATACCCTTTCGCGCATGCAAGTCCACTGGCTGACCAATAATCACGTCTCTGCCAACTGTGATGTTACCAGTGCCAGAGTTTTGAACGCCTTGTCCTTGGAATCTGGACTGAAAGCCAATGTCGTTTGGTCCAAGCATTAGCTTGCCAGCGTTGTGTGGAGGCGTATGCTCCGCCATATTCTGTTGCTGGTCTTTAGCGAGACAACCGAGATCTCGTTCGTTTCGTCTCTTGTCGCTCTGATCATTCAAAATACCGTTACTTGAGCAAAGACCGCGAAAAATAGTTGAGAGGATTCAGGCTGACATGGTTTCCCCTCAAAGAAATTAGGCTGAGCCAAGAACCAAAACGGATAAACAAAACTTCCATTGAAGGTTGGTCCTGCAGTGGTACCACACCTGCAGAAGCCGAGTGGGTCCGTCCCCAAGGAGGTGGCATTATTGCCTAGACACATCGTGTTTGTTAGAAGATTTGGAGTGTCCAACGCCCAATGTCCTTTGAGTTGATTGTTCACTCAATTAAAGCTACAATACTGCTCTTCAATACTGGCATGTCCCTGCTGGTGCTAACGTGCTCATACCCGCTACCTAAGGTAATGAGGTAAAGGCTTGCGTATAACTCCATGCACAATATCACAGTAAAAGACTATAGAAAGAATCATATGCTAACGTTAGTTGCCTAATACAATCCCGCATTATTACTGTCCTTCCATCTGACTATTTAATACTGCCTGTCCCAGAAACTTATTGCATGGATTTGCCGAACAAGGCATAACAAAGTAACCACATTGCCGGTCGTCGAGGTCGAACACTGAGTCAACATACTGAAACGTCCGTTTTATTGAGATCCAACCTTGAAATAATGTTCATATAGTAATAGAATTTGCTCCAAGTACGACTGGTGATTGCGCCTACGACAGCTTGACAAGATTTAGGTACTCGGTGAAATCGAACGATGGCATGACTCAATACGAAGGCACAAATAGGTTCAGAATGAAGTTCACGAGCTATCATAAGATGTTCAACGTACATGACCATCTGAAATCTTCAATAGCCTATCCTAGTCTACTCATGCCTATGGTGACTTGAGACGGACGCTCTGGGGGTTATGGAAAACATCCAGGGGGTCCCAGGTAGTCTTTATTTCCTCCAAAGTACACAGGTTAGCTCCCCAGTACATCCTCTGCGGATCTCTCAGTTCCGGGTCGGCAAATCCGGGGTAAGTACTCGGAGTGTTGCTGGGAAGACTGTTCAACATCCTTCTGTGATATTTTTCCAGGAGATTCCTCGTCACCATATTGTCGGTAGAGTATGACTGGTAGAACATAAACTTATCGCGATGCGCGTATGCTGTGGCAGTCAGGGGGGTTTTCGATATTGCCCCGCCAGCTGCTTCAAACTTAATGGACCACGGCCCGGATCCCTGGTGTTGAGATTCCAGCAACTCAAAGAGATCAGCAATGGCTTTTTTTGGCAAGAGGTCTGCTTGAGTGAATCCAAGACCCTTGGAATAAAGGTTGTTTGACACATTCGGTATGTGACGTGACTCTACTTCAGCATTCATGGCCAGTGAGAACTCCCAGTCTCCTTGGTGGACGGAAATTTTGGCGCCGGTGGAAGGCAGCTTATCGAGAATTCCAGACTGGCGCATATCTTCTTCGGTGCCGTACCACATTGTCGAAATCCGGGCGCCATCAGAAGTGAAGAAAAACGCAGAACCGAAACGGGGATCGAGGCGCGGATCGGCGATTAGTGTTTGCCAGTCAAAGTAAACGTCGACCAAATCGTTGAACTGTTTGAACTGGAGGTCGTGACTGTAATGTAGCACTTCCCGTGGGGTACGTTGTGTTCGCATAACAAACTCGGTAACTATGCCAAAGCTGGCGCCAGCTCCCCTAAGTGCCTGAACATAACATGACGATGTGAGTTCGGAACAATCATCTCAAGCTAAGAGACTTACAAAGAACAAGTCGGAGTTCTGACGGCCATTGGCGCGCACAATTGTGCCGTTTGCCGTGACAACTTCGACCTCTTCGACGTGGTCCAAAGTGGTTCCCCACATTCGCGACATTGAGCCGAGGCCGCCCTGTCAAGTAAGTAAGGATTTACCATTGGAAATTTCTTACTTACTACTGTCGCATGACCTCCAATCCCAATACCATAGCATGCTCCATGAGGAATGGCTCTCTCATAGGGGCGGAGCTGCTCGTCGATTTGGCCCAGTCTTGTACCACCGCCAACACGGATGCTTTGTGAAGGGTCTACTGAGTTTACCGAGACATACTGGAGATGGTGAAGGTCAACAGAAATAGCCCCGTCTTCACCTCCCATTCCTGGTTAATTTAGTCAGTGATAAAACGAATTTGAGCCGTCGGTTTGTGGTGGGGCTTAACGAAACCTACCATGATTTCTGCCACGGGCATTAGTAACTATAGCGAAGCGCAAACAAGACTTGGTTACTCACGCAAAAGAGTGACCTCCGGCCTTTGCCTGGACTTTTTTGTTGTGTTTTAGAGCACATTTGACGATACTGGCTACTTCGTTGGCATCCTTAGGCCGTATGACAGCTGCCGGGACGGAGATTTGACCGAGATTGAATGGTCGAGCCCACTCGTTCATCTCGCTCTCGGTAAACCGAACACAGTCGGACCGGCCGTCACAGACCTCACTAAGACATGATTCAAGCGTCGACGGGACACTTTTAACAGTATTAAGAGAAAGAAAATGCTGAAGCGTTATAACACAAAAGGCGAAAGCTACACCGGCATGCCACGTCTTCTGTTTGAAGACTTTAACACTAGCCGTGTTTAGGTGTTCTCTTGCTTGTCGATAGGTAGATTCCATGGTGTTAAGAATGGTTACAAGAGGTAGTTGATGATGGCATTTGGTTTGTGGTTCGTTACTTCTCGTTTCGGTCTTGTCTGACTCTTATATTCTCGGATTACAGTCACAGGCGATATAAAACCGTTACTGGCCACCCACAATCATCCGAAAGCGGTCTGCCAAACCGCATCGCCGATTGCTCTTAGCCTGGAGCCTTAGCTTTGGACGTTTACTATCAATGGCTTATCTGTGTTCGGACGTGAAGTAAATCCCGCAGCCTTGAATTGGAAAACATGGCGAACTCAGATCGCGATGACCTTTCGTCTCGAGGACTTTTTGCGATTATCAATGTAGTTTGATTTGGTAAACACAGCTAGTTCATTCCGATGTACCTATGAGATGGAAGGTCCAAAGTCCTTGGCAATAGAGGCTACTCCAAAAGGTCATTAGTTTAATCATGATCTTGGTCCAAGTGCTTCAGCAAGATTTGCTTATGTTTGTCTCACTGCCCAGCTCGCTTGGAGAGACATGTCTTGAATGAATGGTTTAGGCTTTGATGTTACTATATACGTCATCAGTTGATAGCAATGTAATTTCTAAACAAGATGTGTGGAGTTGTCTTGTATTTTGATCTTCCGAGCGGGCTAAAGCTAACGGTAAACTACCGGTTCGGTCCGTCTGGACTGTATCTGAGTGAGACATAAGCCGGAATTAGGATTCAGCGGCAATTCTTATCTGAAACATGGCATGTGAATGGTCCTCGCAACGATATTTCGTTGAAAACGTTGGCTCTGCTGGAAGAGGCAGAGGTTAAACGCAAAGCAAATGTCTCTCTTCGCCCCTTTTGGAAATGCAATTGCGCAGCTAGTTTGCAAGGCTACTTCTGATAGTGCCATAACAAAAGCAACTCAATACATCATAGGTAGCGGGCAACTCGTTTAGGTGTCTAACTATTCATACTCTTGATATGCTGCCGCTGATAGCACCAGATATCAAGCCCTTGCTATGTGGTAGTCGGCAAAATGCCGTATTCCCTTCTCTGAAGCAGACAGATAGCTAATGGGCGATACAAAGTCCCACGGATCTGTATCGCTCTGACTTTTATTCAACACCATTACTTTCTGTAGAAACATGACACTATGAAGACTTAACGTTCATCGCGTGTCAACACCTGGTCAAGAGGCTTGCACTGCTTCAGCCTACGGGACTTTTCCGCCCTCTCGATTGCATAATTGCTCGTTAAAATATGTCATACGAGTTTATACATCGTATCTGAAAGAGCATAAAAGCATTAGAAGCGGTCAGCTCTGACCTTCATGGAGGAAAACGTAGATCATCTATCCGATGACATGACAGAAATGATAGACCACGCCTTCAATAGTAGCAATAGCGGAATGAATAGTAAGATTTTGAGTGAGAAATTTGACTAACTCGGGAAGATACTGCGCTGGTCGATGCTGCAACTTTTCAAAGCGCAAAACATGGGGGAAGTAGGAGCGTAACGAGGAGACAAACCTTGTCCCACTATGGTACAATGAAAACCAACCAAGTCAAAGGACAGACAAGCAATGTTGTCAGACTTCTCTCGGACCCTCAAAGCCGTCTCTAGGTTTCGGGTTTGCAATGTTTCTGGGCTGATACTAGATAATCCAGAGACATTTGGGTCAAAGAAAACAAATACCTGGGGAACCACTCGTAATCGAAATTTTCTGTATCTAGGTGCGGGATTTAAAAAAACCGGATAGCTCTGAATATGAACAAGTCCCCAAGAAGGCGCCAGAGTTGTAAAACGTCAATAACGCAACAAAGCCAAAGAACCGATGCCCTCTGAAAGACTGTCGGTTTTAGACAGAGGAGGGAGGAGAGGCAAGATATAAAGACACCTACCGTGAATAACCAGATTTATCAGCGCAAAGTAATCCATTACTAGTATTTGAGACGGAGCCAGGTTGAAGGGTTGTCGTGTTTCACAAGAAGGCTCCTTCTCGGAACAAACGGGATCAGTTCCTTGACGGAACAATACCGAACAGTTCACTTATTACATCCTTCTTCGATAGCAAAGTATCGTTCTTTCCCAGTACCAACACTGATATTCGTTACTGGGCGGGCAAGACAAGTAGCATTTGAGCGTCGGTCGGTCGTTCGGAGGTAGTAACACTTTCGAGCAAGTTCACCAAAGACCCCGATGATACTTGTCCGCAATTCAGTCCTTAGATCAGTTATGGAACCAAATTACTATGTTGCAAAGCATGTGTTTCTCGTCGACTCGTACTCGTCTCGTCCGAGGAGAGGGGTAGCTTCGAACATCCCGCATCGCTCCGCTCAATAAAGGTGTAGTTCATCGTCGCCAGGCATAGAAGCGATCGAATAGTGATTCTTCGGCTTTCGTAATTGTATAAATCCTTCGTACTAGACCCTATGCTAACACGGCCATCTAACTCCAACTCGTTTGCGGCAGCAGGGTCTCGATAACGTCTTCAGCCCACATCGTGGCATCTCGCTCAGGGGCTCGTCAGTCTCGACGACGAATCGAACAAAGTAAGGAAAGAGACTTCGAATGTAACACGCTTCAACTTCCGAGGATCGAAGAGGACGTCGACGATGGTAACTTCGTTCTGTGTCTCTTTTTCGCTATGGCGTTAGAAGTCAGCAACTCGAAGGTAACAAACCCCGCAAGTAATCGTCCAAGAAACTCCGAGAAGACAAATCACCAAGTCAGACATAATCAGCAAGTATACTTTGACGCGTTCAAAACAGTTCTCATTCTTTCACTCACAAAAAACAAACCAAACTAAAACTACAGAGTCGGGGAATCTATCCCCTAAGTAATCCCTCACAAACCCCAAGAATCCCCTAACGCTGATACCAGGTCACATCATATCAGAAATAACAAAAGAGACCACCCAAATAACAGAAAGGCACATAAGCTTTATCCCCTCCCCGGTACCGAAAAACCCTCAACCAGAGACCGCGATCCCACGATTCCATCTCCCTCGGAACACCAAAGAAAAAGACAAGCGACACAAAAGACAAAGGGGCGCAATCACCTAAGAAACTCTCCGCAAGGGTTTCAAAAAAAACACCCGGGTTTCCAAAGGCCTTGGTTCACCACAAAAATGTCAGTAGCCCGGACGGCGGAACGGAAACCGGTGGGCATTTCATCTATTGTCTACGTGGGGGAGGATCTTGTTGGTACCTTATCCCTACATGCTCATAGGACCGACTACAAGGCCATGGACACAGGGCAAGTCTTTTTTTTCAATTTTATGAAAGTCACAATTTCTCATGGTCCTCGCCAACAAACTACGAAATACAAACGGGCAGAAAAACTACCAGTGTTATTCGCAACTATAACCGTATTCACTTTTTCCCTTTCCCAATTCGTCAATACGTAAAACATAACAGAAACGAAAAAAAGAAAAAAAAGAAAAAAGAACTATCGGACTCGACATGTACGCGTCCATTTAGGAAAAAAAAAAAAAAAAAGAATCCCACCATCCATCCATGCCGTCGAATTTCTCCCCGCATGCCGGTGCGGCGGCTGAACACGGTCAAGAGGAAGTAGGATCACAGGATCCGGCGGTCCTCCCCCCTCACGCCCAGCCTCACTTATCGGTTCAATCCGTCATCCCGGCAAGGTGATTTTCTTTGCGTGGGAAGCAATTTGAAGAAAGTCGCGACACGAGGGTATTGGGCACACACGGTATTGCTTCGCCACTTCCACGGCATTGAGGCCCGTTGGACGAAGCTTCGGAAAGCATGGGCTCTGATCTGCAGACATGTACACACACACACACACCTCAGCGGTCGTTGGGATTTCCTCCCCTCCTCCCCCCTCCCCCATCGTCGTCACCCATCGGTTGGACGGTGCGGTGATCGCCGGGGTCCCTATACAGACGCACGAGGGAACGTCCTGCGAGGTCCGCATCACACACCTTTTCACACATCTTTACACTTTCGCCTTCACAGTCTAGCTCGCTGCATACGGCATCACAAAAGCGTGCTGCATGATGCCCTGCAAACTCTTTCAGATCACGCGAACGGCAGCAAACCAGCTTCATGCCTGAACTGTTGGGTCCAAGTCACCAAACTCCACTCGGATCCGAAGGGCCAACTCCTCATCACTCGCCTGCAGACCGCCCACTGTAGCTGTTCTTGGCCGAGAGATTTGTTGGTACCTCAACGTTGCATAAGCCACCTGTTTAGAACGCGATGTAACCGCGGCTCGACGAACCATCGTTGGCCACTGTGACTTTGTAGAGGGTGAATACCCGGAAAGCCTGCCCTGGGAACCCGGAAGAAAGTGCGCGGGCAAATAACGTGTGGTGTTCAGGTCCAGTTCTGCGAAATGAGCCAACTTCTTCCTGTCGTTTGTCCGCTTCAAACGAAACAATTAAATCTCCGGCCCATCCACGGGATTTGGTGAAGATGAGGGGGGAAACGCACAAGGCAGATCGGACGCACTTAAAGTTGCAGTGCAAATTGTCCGACAAGGAAGGGAAGCCGTCGCTAAAGGGTCTCGACCTGCAGAAGCGAGGGAGGGAAGTGGAAGACACGAGGTTGTCTGCGAAGGTGGTGTGAAGGGGGAGGAGGGTGGGGAATCGGTGAGTGAAGGCTTACGAGACAAGTCGAACAACTGGTTGGACAGCGACAAAATCCTCTCTGGAAAACCTTGGTTCTGGACTCTATCAGGTAACCGCGTCTTGGAAGAACCAGAAAATCAGGGAATACCGTGGGGAAACATCAATATTTGCCATGTCGTTCCAAAACGCCCGCTGTCAAGACCCTCCAAGGTG